TAAGCATCAGGTTCCCTTGAAATCTCGGAACCCAAGCCAACATTCCCTCTATCTCTCTACATATCCCCCCATGCAAGGGTCAAATCGACATGCCAGCTCATTAACATTCGTGTCGATATATCTCAAGGTAGACACATGTATTCTGCGGGAGAAGGTTAGAGTGTGTAAAAAAAAAAAAAAAAAAAAAATTGAGATTCACCTCCCTCGTATGTAAGTACCCTCCCAGCAGAGCCGGTTTCAAGGAGTCCTGAAAATGGGGACAATTTTGAGCAAAAAGCTCCTTGCACCTGCATTTGATGCTGCAGTAGATGATGCACGATTCGATTCAGCTCGAGATTCCGAGTGGGTGCAGGCTCTCGTTACAGTTTTCTTTTTGGCTCAGTTGCATCTGTCTCTCTCTGGCTGTCTGGCTGTCTGTGGGGCGATAGGAAAGGCTCACGCAGCAGGACGGAGAAGGACGGCGAGAGTGAAGTTGAGCTGAGATTCCTGCCCTGCTTCTGGACGATGGCGACGGGTATATCTCTTAATCTACCATGGGCCAGCTCGATCAGACCCTTTGGGGGGAGCATCCTCCAATTTGCCTCCCGAGTTCATCGATTGAGGTCCTCCACCCCCCCTAGGGAGCAAGTCACCCGAGAAGCGTAAATGTGCAAAAAAGAGAGGATGTGTGAGCAGGTTCGTCTGTTAGACGTTTAACTAACGAATCAGCTATAGAGCTTTAACTGGCTTTAGGCTTTTGGTAAGGGGGGTGAGCGGGCTTTGCAGTAGCAAATAGTCGCGGCCGAAGAGAGGTCGAACTTGGCGAAGGCACCCACCGCAACATGGAGGGCTGACCCGATGCTCACTCATTCTTCAGCAGAGTACGGAGTCGAGTTGGGATGATAGTCCGTAAGGTTGAGTGTATATGTAACTCCGCGAAGGCGAGCAGCAGTGATGGGGGAGAAGTGCTGTGTGCATATGTAACTGGCTTGCCACCCCCTTGCTTGAGAATATCAAGACAACGCAGCTTAAAACCGCCTGGATATGGCTCCTCGTTGGCGTGTGCCTGTGCCTGCGCCTGTCAGAGGAGAGGAAAAGACAAAAAAGAAGCCAGAAGCCAGGGCCAAAACCCATCTCCACCGTCCCTAATATGTGTGATGTTGTTTTAGTTAGTGTTCGTTACATAGTAGTTGTAACTAGCAGATGCAATTCCCCAGCTGCCTGCATTAAACATCGGTCTGTTCCCTCTCCATTGATGGGTCAGATCCCCCTTTAGTCGTTAGGAGGTTATCCCAAAGCCCTGGAAGGTTGTCAGCCCCCCCCTTCGCTCCACCGTGGAAGAAAGAAAAAAGGGTCATCGTCGTATCGTCTTTGGCCGACCCTTTCTTGTCTTTCTGTCTGTCTTGTCTTCTCCACTGTGCCCGTCTGATCACCTTGGAAAAAGGACAGATGCCGGGCCCTCCCCATCCCCTCCCTCCCTTCTCTCCCCGTGCCGTGTGAGATCGGGGTGTTGATATTCCCTCTTCTGGTTCTGGAACGCCTGGCTCCAACGGCGGGACGAGCCGTGCGCTCTCTCCAGTATAACTCCGTGCCAGCAGCCTCATACTCTGTCAGTATCTCCGCGATGCACACCTTCTGTACCACCGCAGGCGACTCCGAGCCCTGCTCAGCCATAATCTCGCCCGCGCCACAGTTATGGAATCATCGTACATACATATACATATATATATATATATACATATTGAAATAAACCTCCCTGCCAACAACAGGTACGGACATATAAAAATATGTATAATAATGTGTTTGATGGATGGGATATGCCTGCTTTTTCGTAACATCCATGTCAAGCAAGTAAATACTTGGTTAAGAGACCGAGGATGACGGTGTTTGCAAAAAAGAGGACCAAAGCCTCCCTGCCCATGTCGAAGCAAAGCAGTTCGAGTTAAGCTAGTCAGAGTCAGTCAGTTAGCTATGTATGTACTTGCATCCATCCCAGGGACTTCTTAGAGGGAGCTCTACTCATCACATCGGCCGGCCACCGCCGCTGATTGGACCCTGGCCCGGCATCAGGTTTAGCAAACTATCATGACTATGACTTTTGGGGCAAAATGAGAGAGTCACTTAAACGGCAGTTAAACTCGCAAAAAAAAAAAAAAAACACCACCCAAGCAGCTCAAGCAAAACACCAATGGGCCAGGGGAAAAAAGAAACGAAACGAAGATTAAAACCAGTTCGGTTAAGAGGGCGCCCACAGCCCAGGAGAATGCACCACTGAGAGGCCGGCGGCTCAGGGACCCCAGATTCCGCGATCTCAACCTTGCAGCCAAATGTTCCCGTCCAGTTGGTTCATCATCGAGATTCCGCGCATCCCTGGGCCTGCTGAAATGGCCAGATTAGGGCAAGGCGAGAGACTATCGCACCAGCACTGGTCAGAACAGCAGGCGTTGCTGCTTTTCCCACCGAAATCCGCATGTTTGCTTTTGCCCCTTTTTTATTTTGGGTAACTTCAAGTCGTCCTTTTTCGTCTTCTCGCTGCGTCAGTCTGCTTTGCCCTAAACCCTGAGAAAGCGACAAGAGAAGAGCAGACGGCCAGAGAAAGGGCAAGAAAAAAAGCCAATCTCTTTCTTCTTATCCGGGCCTGCGGCTTGAGAATCCGTCCCTTTATTGATCCAGACTGACGGGTACTCGCCGGTGTATATCTTGCTGCAGTTACCAGCTTGCTTCCCCCTTGCCACAGCTGAACTGGATCCTGGAGCAAAGGTACGACGAGCAGCAAGTATACACGCTGAAGAGAAAAGAGACTACTCTCCTGCAGGGCCATGGTTCACTTTGCCGCCTCCCGATCGAGGGGATGTTGACGTTTGACCGGACCACCGGCGGACGGGGGGGAGACGTCCCAACGCTCGAGTCAGCGGTCTCCATCCACGGTAACCCGATAGATGTACTTGCTTGCCTAGAGATTTCGATAGTGGTACTCGCGCGAGATAAGCTAACTTAGCTCTCTCTCTCTCTTGTAGCTCCTCGCTTTCGCTGTGTTGACCCGGGTGGAAGGCGGATGCAAGCCTATCACTCTGCTGCCGGTGGGCTCCCGTCTGGCTTCATCTGCGTCTTCCAGCGTCCCTCCATGACTTAGGGCCCATCTTCCCTCTCTCTCTCACACTCTCTCACTCTTTCTCGCTGCCTCTGCTTCTTCTTGCTGCCTCCCTGGGCTGTGCCCGTTGCTTTTTCGGCTTTCTGCTCTCTTTCTTCTTCCTGGCCGTTGCTTTTTCCTCTATCCTTTTTTGCATCTTGTTGCTTTTTCGTGTTTTTGCAACTCCGTCGTCTCCCCTTTTTCGCAAAGGCTCTTCAAGGCGATATATAAATATACGCACAGACATGGGGTGGGCCATCCGCTGGCCTCCAAGCCAGTAGAAGTCCGAAGGGACTCGCTGTGTAAGACGCAAACTGTAAGCCTGTCTCTCGCCCGCGCGGTCTCTTGTCTCGCCCTCGCCTCGCCGTCCGTGTGTTCAAAGGGCCTCTTCTCTGTACAGAGTTATATGTGTATACCTGGGCTGTCTCTGGCCCTCGCGGCGGCTGTCCTCCCTTCTCCCCCCCCTTAACCGTCTGCCAGCTCCCTCTCAGCCCCCTAAGTTTGGGGCAAACGTACGGTGGAACGCACATCAAAAAGCACCAACCCGCCTTCATCGTGATCGACATATTGGTTCCATGTGATTGAATTACTCTCGGAAAACCCTGTTATACTCTCTTTTAGCTACAGAAGCATGTAAGTAAGTTGTTAAGTATGTGTGTATGCTGGGTCGAAGCAGCGTGCACCAGCAGCAGCACGCAGGCCCAGCACCACCCAAAACCGCCAGCGAGAAAAGCAAAGAAACACGCAAAATAGGCCCAAAGCAAAAAAGAAGCAGCGCAAGCCACCACAGGATGGCCCTTGGTGACTGTGGGGTATTCAGTTTTATGCACAGTCTGCAAGAGGTTGTAAATTCTCGAGGGGCCCTGCAGTGCGTTGGGTGGTCTGTAACACTATTTATGTATGTCTGTGGATCAGTATCAAAAAAGAAAAGGTACCTCTGCTTCTGCTTCTTCCTTATTCTTCCTCGTCCTCATAATCTTCATTTTTTCTTTCGTCCTCATCATTGTTGTGTTAGACTCTCTCTCCTCTGCCTGTCCTTCTTTGCTTTTTGCTTGGGCTGGCCTGCTTGCTTTTTTGCACCTTGCCATCCGCACGTTCGAAGAACCAATATATTTATCATAGACCTTTAAAGGACGGCCTTATCTTCTGATCCCGATCGCATCTTGATTCCCTCTGCATCCAGCCAGAAGAACCCCTCCAGACGAAAGGCCCGTCCTTTTCTTTTTTTGGCGTATAATTACTTCGTCCATATATATCCTGCCAGCCACCCTTTGCCCATCTCCTGGCCTATTACCATCCTCTCCATCCTGAGGAACCACTGCTCTGATATCTATACATACATACATACGCTTGAACATAGCACCAGCATTGCCGTCCTTGGTTGATATCTTCCGTTGTTGATCATACATCGTCAACATTCCAATCCCTCCTTTCAATTCAACCACAACGGCGTCATTTTGATATCCACCATATCAGTATCTCCAACGTCTCCTCCTGCTCTTTACTCACGGTGTGCCAGCAGTATAGATCCTGATATATCAGCACCAAGCCACATCTTTCACTCTCTTGCTCTTTGCACTCCTTTTTTTTATTTTTTTTTAAAAAATCCCCCCTTCTCAAATCTTTCTCTGGGCTAGGGAGCGGAGAAAGATTCAGTCAGGCATATCTATCCACTCTCTGCATCTCATACACCAGCAAAGGGTAATTTAAGTGGTTCACCTCGAGTGAGCCCCTTTTTCAGACTACTCACAATGGTAGTCAACACCGAGGCCGGTCGTCCCCGTGTCAACATGAAAGGGATGGACCAGTATTCTCCCATGCACTGCCAGGCTCAGGCTCAGGGAGTCGAGGAGTATCCTTCATGGAACACAATGCCGGTAAGTGAACAGTCTGATATCAAATTCTGGTGTGACCTTGGGAATTCCGTTCAATTCGGCTAACATTGGTGGACTCGACAAAGCCCGTGATAGCCGGTACTCCAGTAGCTACAACTACTACTAGCACCACCAACTCTCTCAGGGTGCCATATCCTCACTTTGCCCTGGTCGGTATCGACTGGTCAGGCCAGCTCAAATTCCATTCTTCTCTGCTCGAAAAGTTCAACGGGCCCGTCTTTACTTCGGAATTCAAACATTGGTTTGAACGGGCCACTGGTATCAAGGCTCTTGATAGATCACCTATCTTTGCCGGTTGGTGGCTGCCTATCCAGACTCCCTTATCCTCTTTTTTTCTCTGCATCTTATGCTTATCATGTCATCAGGAGACGACTCATACCAAGGAAGACAGTGGCCCATGGCCCAGGAAGTAGATGTCTTCCCTAACCCAGCTTTCCCCAAGAAGCGTCGTCGAGAGATGATTCACCACCAGGCTGCCATTGAGCCAGAGGAGCAGGTCAATGAGATGGAGGCTGTGGAGATGGTCCCCCTTGAGATTGGAAACGAAGAGAAGATCGAGGCATACTACGAGTCAGCGTTCAGGGCCTTCCAGCAGATCAACTGCCGTCAGGTAGCAAAGGCATATATCAAGATTATCGAGCCACGCAAGCAAGTCAAGCACCCATATAACGGCGGACGAGGAGCTCCAGGCGAAAAAGGTGACCCAGAGAAGACCAAGCCGGACTGGTGGCCAGCCGGCGTTATCCACCGAGAACCAGACCACCTGAAGAGGCCAGAACGGATACGCCTGCTTGTCCATATCTTCCGCAAGCTAGGAAAAACACATGGTATCACTGCTGACAAGCTAGAAGAGGCCGGACGAGATGCTCAGAGACAGATAAAACCACGAGAGAGGCTTGACATCCTAGACGAGATCTACAAGGTCCGAAGGGCGGAAGAGTGTTACGAAAGGGGCGAAGCAGGTAGGCATATACATATTTCCACACCCACATCTGTGTATATACGTATACCCCTTGGGTATCACAGTGGCTAACGTAAAAGGGGGTATAGATGCCAATGCCGTCGTATACGTCGTCAACAGAGATGCAAACACCAAAGCCGAACGAGACTCCGAAGCAATGAGCGATGGCGGTCAGAACTCAGCCCTCACAGAAGAATCCCGCAAGGCAATGGAAGCCAAATACTCGACCCTCTCACCTTCCCACGCACCCAAGAGACAGTCCCTCGTCCGTGACCACAAACCACCTCACCTCTTCCGCACCCCTAACCTGGCCGACTTCAGCAACATGGAGAGCAAGCCCCCGGCTGACCAAACTATCGAGTACTTCTCCCAGCCCGAGTTCGCCACCTCCCCCGTCGACGAGCACATCAACAACACCATCAGAGACAGCCATCACTGGTCCTCCTTCCAGCAACCCCTATACAGCCCCGTAGAATACAACACAAACCACCTCGTTCCTCAGCAGATCCTCGCTCCTCCTATGGTCACTTCCGAAGCCCCCAACTCCGCTCTCCAGCCGACTCACGGCCTCCCTATTCCTGAACCACATGGCTCAAGACATCAGTCCTTCGATTATATCTCAATGGACAACAACCCCTTCAATGCCGGACCAATGACACACCAACTACTACCACAAAGCAGCCAGGAATCCCGGCCCAGTTGCACGATTTAAATAAACGATCAAAGAACCAACAAGCAAATGGTCAATGACAGTTCAATTCTCAATCTGATTCTCGAATAAGGCCATCTATTCCACTGCGGAAAAAAGGGGGCACGGGGATCCGGCCTTTCAAGCCGGCCGAGATTATTATCGCATTATTTTCCTTCCGTCGCCCGGTTCACCTTTTATTGTATTTTCCCTTTTTTCTTATTTTCTTTATTTGTCCCTATTTACTTAACTCGCCCAAGTGAGGTGTATGTATGTATGGCTTGAGCTCTCTCGGCTCGCTTTTTTCTTTTTTCATGGTTATCTTTCTTGGATATCTTGACTCTTGAACTCATGAGGCTACTTAATTGATCTCGTGCGTTACTTTTATTTTACCATATTTTGTTTCCTCGTGGTTCATTTTTTTTTTTTTTTTTTTTGTTTTTGTTCCGCTTTGCCGTCTTGCAATGCATCGTCATCGTCAATCATCGTCGTCATACAGACGATGTCCTTGACTGACAACAAAATTTGGATTGAAAAAGGGAGGCTGGCGGATATCTACTATCTACGTTGCGTGGTCTTTGCGAGCGAGCTTAAAAAAAAGGAGGTGGCGAAAAACGAGAACGTTCTGGAGAGAGGGCATATACCCAGTATTTATGCCGGATGGTTAACTGACTACTGATTTATATGGTGTGAAAGGGAGGGAAGAAGGGAAGGGAATGGGATAGTGGGAAGTGGTTCATTACCTATTGGAGTGGTGTATTTACTGGCGGCCTGGTTTTTTGATGCTTTTCGACAATGGCTCATACTATTTATTCATCAATGGATTTGGGTTATATCAATCTCTCCTGTCCCTTGTCTTTTCAATTACGCTGTAAAGCAGGTACCATGTAACACGTTTCGAAGACTAATACCTTGGATATTCTCCGCCTTGTTACTCTGTACGTTAGTACTTTTTTCTTCGTATATCACTATCCCACGTTAGACGGCAAAATGAAATTTTCTCTCCTTGATACAAGGCTCGTAGAGATATTACCAAGCGGAAAAGGCAAATATCTTGATAGGCGTACGCACACGTAACAAGGTCGATACCCTTGAAGTTCATGAAACAGCTCGAAGGGGATGTAAGGATGTCCGTTGATTTTAGGGCAGGTACTTCCTGCTTTTCCAAAAAAAAATTTTGTTTTGCATTATTGCCAACACATCGAGGCAAAAAAAAAAAAAAAAAAAAAAAAAAAAAATCCCCGTTGAAACAAGAGTGTCTAGGCTACTTGGACAAAAAGTAGCGGAGAGCATGGGAGAATGATAAGAGACGGAGTACTCCGAGATTTGGCAGATTGCCTGAGTGTTAAGGCAAAAAATATTACCCAGAACCCGATACGAACTGCCATAATGATTCTCTGATAATGCATATTCGTTCTCATATTGACGTTGGTGGGGGCAAAAGCTGCAGCAGCAAATCTGCCCAGCCGTCTCTCGCCTACGCAGCAAACTCCCGGTTCTGCTGTGGGCCAGAAAAAGCCTTGCTTCCAGGGAGCATATGAGGGTATGTACATATGTATACAAATCAACCCACATATCCTTCTTTTGATCAGGGTACTTGCATTATTGACGGGCATCCGTTTTTTCCCCATTCCAACGGGGATGGCGAAAAGAGATGCGAGTGAATAGAGGGGGGAGTGGAAGAGGGGAAGGGGCGTTTGTGGCTCATTGAATAAAAGCCAGCCCTGACCTCCGGAAACTCACCGTGATGAGGAGGTTAACCGGATCAACTAAGATCGACCACTCGGGGAAGTTCTGATATTCCCAGGTCTGTTGTTTCCACGGGCTGAGTGTGCCGCGATAGATCAACTTGCTGCGAGCTGCGTGTATATGTGCGTGTCAGGGATGTTGTTTTAAACTTTTATGCGCTTGCAATGGACAGCAACTTGAAGCCAGGTGAAAAAAATATGGCTGCTGCATCTACCTATCATGAGGCCAGGTATTACTTGCATTGTTGGTGCAAGTTGAGATAAAGAAGCGGGTCGAAAGCTGTGCTTTAACGAGGAAAACAGAGGATTGATGCAGTTATGTAGTCTAGGTCAAGCCAATAAAAAGCCCAGTATTAGCTAGCTTCCCCAGAGCTGCACCAGCCTGGATGCATCGACAGCCCGCGTGTTCCCTGGTATCTGTGTGGTACGGATAATGGTGTAACTGGAAACGCATGTAGCGGTCGTGTAGCAAGCTTCTTTCTTCCCCCGTGATGTCTTCATAGCTGGGGTCAGTGATCAAGAATGGAGGGGGGAACAAACCGGAAGACTCAAAAGTAAAAAAAAGTTGGACCAGTGAAGAAAGAGTGAGGGGGAAGAGGGGAAGAACTTGAATAGAAGGCCATAGAGAATAGGGAAAAATAAAAAGTAAACAGCTTCGGTGGCTGGGCATTTTGATAATCTGCCAATTAACGTGCCGATTAGATTTTGTGGGCGTGTTGGTGACTGGGTTGATGCAGTGTCCAAATCGAGCAAGTCGAAAAGGTAAGGACAAACTCGAAGGAACCCGAGGGACTGGCAGAGATCCGGATGGGAGCCGACTATTGCAGAGAGTTCTTGCAGGGACGTCTTTTTTATCTGGGATTGAGTGACTCTATGCACATCGGAAACAAGCACGTCTTCCTTGCAGTTGTTACAACAACTCACTGCAGGGCAGGGAAAAAGCATAACACCATACAAAGTGTATGTATAGATGAGCTCCTTTTTTGCAGAGTATCTGTATACCGACTGACTTAAATGATATTTGTTTTTATATGAAAAGAGTCCCGTTGAAAATCGCGGGATGAGGTTGCACCGCACTCTGGCCTGTCCCATAATCAAGCCACAGTCGAAATATATAGCGTCATTTGATGGACGCGGAGACTCGGGAGAGCAGGATTATTTAATATGAAAACCATGGCCATGCAGTCTCATTAGAAAGCCAGCTCTGCAGTTATCCGTAGTTGCAACCTGGCGACGCATCTTCCTTGAATTGTAAGCCGTTCCTCTGCCGTTGAGGAGAGTGAATCAGGACAAAATGCAATATTGCAGATTATCGACAGCAAACGGAATAGGGGGCTCTGACGGGGCCGTGAACATGCTGACGGCAGCTCCGCACCGTTTGCCCAGCAGCCAGCTGGCGGGATACCTGTTAGGATGAAGTCGAGGATGCGGATGAGGTCGAGTGAGGTCGAGTGAAGTCGAGCTGCAAAAGCGCATCATGGGTGGAGCGAGCGAACACTGGAAGTCGGCCCGAACCGACCTTTGAGCCGACGAGAACGCTTGCCTAGAGCTTCGCGCCGTTGCTACACCCACAGTCCCAGTTCTCGCCCCCCGATAGACGGCTTGGCTGTGTGCGCAGCGAGCCCCAGCCCTTGTTGTGAGCATTTCTGCGAGGTTGTGTCGTCCCAGAGCAAAGGCCGAGCAACGACGTTGAGGTTGACGACGACATGACATACAACGTGACCCGGCGGCTATTCTGCAGGCGCTTGTCGCTCGACGACAGCAACGTCCAGCGCAGCGACTGCCCATAGTCTACACTACACCGACTATCCGACTACGTACGCAGCATTCGTCTGCAGCTCCACCATGCAGCATTGGACTTGCATTAAAGACTTTTACGGCACTGCGGTGCGGTTCCTCCCTCCGGCGTGAGTATAGACGTCACGATTTTACGCCAAACCCCTCCGCTGATGCTCTGATGCGCAGCAGGAGGATTGACCATCCTAGAGCTTCTCCGCGCAGAGAGATCCTTGCCTGGCTGAGTTGTCCATGAAGGTAACTCTCTGCCACCAGCGACGGACGGAGAGGCCCCGATTAAAGACCCTCCTCAATGTCGTCAGGCCTTCTTACATGCATTTCCGTCTGATGACCCTCAGCCGTATGGTTTCTCTCTCTGCTATCAAGGGCCCCTGGACTAGCGAAGGCTACCACCAAGGTCTCCTCCCATGGACCTTGTTGTCGTGGCGAGGGAAAGCTTAGTTGCCTGTCGCGTGCTGGGCTGGTGGACGAGGGGGACCGTCTATCACGGAAAGACACTCGTCTGAGGGGAGCAGGGACAAGAGAGCAGTTTTTTCGTCAGCATATCTACTGTGTGTCATCAGACGGGACGGCCAAGGAGTACTCTATTCGCCGGATGTCTCGTTACGCCTCGCAGGCGTTGGCGTTCGCACCCAAGAGGTCCAGAACAAGACAAGAAAACACCTTGAGAGACAGGAAGCTCCCATTCTGAAACTCCAGCATGGCCAATCATCCTCGCGGGCGGAACCGGAACCCGTACCCTTGCCAAGCGCATTTCCCGGAAACGCTTCTCTGGCAAAGGTGAAGCTTTTCGAACTGGATACGGAGTGGAATCGCATGGCTCAAGGGCAGGATTTTTTGCTGTCAGATGAGAGAGTTATCGCTCTGCCCTTCCGGACGCTCCCCACAACCCCCCTCATTGCTGGCTATATATATATCCTGTCGTGGTGGCCGTTTGTTGCTGTTAAGTTCAGTCAGGCCAAGACTCTAGGAAAAAAGAACGACCGCCCCCCCAGAACGACACGATGAATTGCCCATCCCGTACAGACGAGGACCTAGTCCATCCAGACTGGAACCAAAATCCTCCCTTTTTACCCTCTGACTTGACCAAGAGAGAAGACCTCAATGGTCGTGTCAACGATAGGCAGCATCGGGGCGGGCGAGACTTGTCGTCTTCGTCGCTTGCCTGTCCTGGAGGAGCGTTTGAGTCGTACGAGGCGACTGTTGACACCACGCCGTCACCGGCCAACTCCCCCTTAGCAGATGCAAAACTCGCTCGCTATCGAGAAGGTAAGTTGTTCTTACCATGTAGTTAGTCAATCATGGTTCTGTATTGCGTAGATATCGTCTAATTCTCTCGACAGAATTTTGCTCTGCTACCAAAGAGACTCCGTCTACTGTCCATGACTCACCTGCCTGGACCCATTCTATTAAGCGGTGGTTCATACTCTACCAAAGCCATCTTTGGTGGATGATGGCTACCGTTACTACTACACTTGTAGTATACCGCATTGCGGCCGTCTTTCGAACTCCAGGTATGTTTACTCCACCAGTCCTTAGCACAGCCGAATCTCAATCTAACCGGGTCATTTTGCAGCCTCTTCGAAACTGCCCAGGCAAAAGGCAAAAAGAAGCTCGACATGCGAAAGCGGCGGTGTAGATGGTGCAGAATATAACTTACCTCTGCATGTTATCGCCCTTTTCATCATCTTCTTCGTATCCTCATTTGCCTGCGGCTTTCCCATGCTAGCTCTCAAATTTCCACGATTGCACATCCCGCAGTCCTTCTTATTCGCTGTCAGGCACTTTGGAACCGGTGTTTTGATCGCCACCGCGTTTGTCCATTTGCTGCCCACGGCTTTCACTTCGCTTGGAAATCCGTGCCTGTCTGGTTTCTGGACGACTGACTATCCTGCTATGCCTGGTGCTATCGCGCTTGCTGCTGTGTTCTTTGTCACAGTTATAGAAATGATATTCAGCCCTGCTCAGCATGTATGTAGCGGCGGCAGGGATGTAGAAAGAATCGTCTGTCGTGAGATGCCATCAAGTACGCCAAAACCCGCTGGCGATGACTCAAAAGTTATGAATACCCCGGATGACCTATCTCGAAGCGTCAGTCGTCACGAAGAGGAGCCCCGGGTAGTAACGGAGGCCGGAGTAAGACGCCAGCTAAGCCAGTCACCTTCACAGCGTGCAGCTGATGCTGAAGAAGGAACTAGCAGCGCTTTTCTCCCAATCATCCTAAGCCCAGAACAAAGGCGCCAAAAGGCGTTCATGCAATGTATTCTTCTTGAGATTGGAATCTTGTTCCACAGCGTCTTTATTGGAATGGCACTAAGCGTTTCTATTGGGAGCACATTCATTGTCCTCCTGATTGCAATTGCCTTTCACCGTGAGTTTCCCAACCTAGATTTTGAATAGATGGTCCAATATTAACTAACTGTGGGTCTATCTAGAAAGTTTCGAGGGACTGGCTCTCGGTTCTCGCATTGCCGCTCTGGATTGGGAACAGGGTGCTATACAACCCTGGCTCATGGCTATGGCCTATGGCTGCACGTAAGTTGATTCTTATCTCCCTTAGAAAATGGACCTTGGTTAACGTGTCTGGACGACAGGACCCCAATCGGTCAAGCTATTGGTTTGGCTACCCATACATTGTACTCCCCTGACTCTGAGGTTGGCCTGATCATGGTTGGCACTATGAATGCCATATCTTCAGGACTTCTCGTATATGCCTCCCTGATTGAGCTCTTAGCCGAGGATTTCCTCAGCGATGAGAGCTGGCGTATTCTTCGCGGAAAACGCCGTGTGTATGCCTGCATTCTTGTATTCCTCGGTGCTTTCGGTATGAGTTTGGTCGGAGCTTGGGCCTAAGCATCTTTCACCGTCCCGTAGCTAGAATATAGCAATCGCATCTAGACTTCCTTTTCCTGTTATAACGTTAAAACGCTCAATCCACATGTGTCGTCCTCGTGCTACGTTTAAGTGAATACCCGCGGCTGTAAATTAAGCGCGGTCCACGTGACCTTGACTGGCCTGTCGATCACATGATATATTAATAATAATAGATATCGAGCTTTCTTAACCAACGGATTAAGCGCAAAAAAGCAGCAACACCCAATAGTTACCTGCATCGCCTTTCAACCACCGCAGCCTGGAGCATCTACGGTTGCCTGCTCGCAGTCCTGCAAGTATCGCTTTACTGGACGATCACCGCCAGCCTCATTTCCCTCGTCCTTGCAAAGCACGCGAACTCCCACGCCGGCTGCCCTTTTCCTTCTAGCGGACTGAAAGCTCAAGCTCGAAATCACCTTTCCTAGCTCGCGTCAGGTCTACGAGATCCGAGTACGTAACCATCACATTCTCCAAGCTCCAGCAAGCTCCTTACACACAACGCATTCGTATGCCGCATGATGAGATCGCCGTCAGCCTCTCGTTCGTAGCCTCTCAGTCCTAGTTCCCCGCGCGACACTGGAGCCACAGCCCAGAATCGAAATATAAGATGGGGAGGGATACGGGAGATACATTTTGGAAATGGAGCTTGGAATGACTTATGCAACCCTAGAGATCAAAATATGGAACCTGGATAAGTATGCGATAAGCTAATGAGTGTGTTTTTCCTCACAGATAATAATCAATTTCTTTCACATCTGGATTAGCCTTGCTTCACGATACACTGAAGCTATCACCGCCAGCCATAAACCTCATCCTGGCATGTTTGTCTAGGCAATATTTCTCCCTTTGCGCATAAAAGGGAGGAGGCCGCTCCCGGAACGGTGTGCTAGAGATGTCCAGCTTATACAAGTCTGTTCTTACGAATTCTGCGGGCTCAAAGCGCGGATCGGGTACACCTTTCCGCGGCCGTTCAACGAGAGGAGGGCACCGACCCTCAAATTCATCCGACTCAGGTGTACCTGCTGCTGTCGGAAATAATGTATCGAACCAAGGCCACTCTGTGAGTGCCAAAGGAGGTCGCGGCAGGGGTGCTAGCTCGTCACCCTTCGGCACTTCATCACACGGAAACCTCAAAGCTGGAGACAATAGTGGTAGAGGCGGGTTCACAGGTAACACTAATCTAGACATGCCGAATACTAGCCATACGCATTGTACTAACCTCTCCTACAGGCTTTCGTAAAGGATCTAATCCCCCTGTCGCTCAGACGAATGGCCAACAGGCGTTCAACCCGTTTGGACCTAAATCAAATGCACCAGCTAACGCGCCATCTGGCCCTGTTTCTCGAGGCAGAGGAAATCATCATGCCAACTCTGGACAAACTCGTGGAGGACGTGGAGGAACCCACGGGTTTGGAGCGATTGATCGATCCAGAGATCCAAGGCGACGCATTGATACTACTCCTACGGTATTCAAGCAGGCAGATAATCTCGAAGACTATAACACTCGATATGAACGGGTCAGTGTTTCTCCATATACCCGCCGAATTCCCATCCCACTAACTTTCACTGTAGCTAAAACAAGATCGCGCCAGCCAGCGCATACAAGCTATCAAAGCCGGAATTATGCCTGATCCGGATCAGCCGACTACTTTGAAGCAGGCAATCACTCCAACAGGTAACTGCACGGATATGTGTCCTGAGTTCGAACGAGTAGAAAGGATTGTCCAAAAAATGGTGGATAAATGTGAAAAGGTTCGCATATCACGTTGTCTTTTTACAGTATGGGCAGGAACTAATGATCTTAATTAGCATGTTGACCCGGACTCTGGAGTCTCTAGCAGTATGGAAGGGAAGATGATAAAACGATTCAGAAGATCAGCTGCTGGTAAGGACGAGCAGTTGCCATCAGATATCCGTACCCCTAAAACACTGTTACAAACGATCAACTATATGCTTCGACATGTTACTACCAGTGATGAGACCCTTGGTTCGAGGCACAAATTTGTTTGGGACCGGACACGTTCAGTACGAAACGACTTATCCATCCAACAAGTTAGCCAGAAACAAGATATCGAAATTGCCGTCAAATGCTTCGAACGGATTGCTCGTTTTCACATTCTGTCGCTACATCTGTTATCGAGCCCAACGAACCAGGAGCAGTTCGACCATCATCAAGAGCGAGAGCAACTGAACAATACCCTTCTATCGCTGCTTTATTACTACGACGATAATCGTGGAAGACTTACATTTCCAAATGAGGCTGAGTTCAGAGCTTATTACATCTTATTTTCTATCCACGACCAACGCCCGGATCTTGAAGCTCGAGTTCAAAAATGGCCCCGTGAACTAAGGGAGTCTCCTCGGGTCCAGGTGGCCATGGAAATGTTTGCAGCTGCAGGAAATACCTGGGAGTACCAAGGCACATTAGATGCTAAACGGCCTAATCCACTTGCTCAGGGCCTCTATTCCCGATTCTTCAAACTTGTCAAATCGAAGAGCGTGTCTTACCTTATGGCTTGTGTAGCAGAGGTGTACTTTAACCAGGTCCGCCAAACAGCGATTAGGTCAATTTGGAAAGCATACTGCCGACAACCTGCCTCGCAGCAGCATAAAAATCAGGAGTGGACGGTCGATGAACTCACTACGGCTCTTGCTTTTGACAATGATGAGCAGACGATTGCCTTCTGCGAGGAGCAAGACCTTCAGTTCGCAACTAATAGTGAGGGCCAGCTTTATTTGAACTGGGCTAATCTCCCACTTGACTCAGTTGGTGCGTATTCAACTTCGACAAAAGCACTTGATATCGATTAAATTGCAATGTTGGTGTGATTCTAATAATTTGCAAATAGTATTCCAGCCATCTTCCCGGCAGACTTTCTCTTATCGACTTGTTGAGCAAAAACGCTGCGGAAGATCATTGGCTGCCGTCATTCTTGGGATGAGTGTTTCCCAAGCCATCAGGCACAAAATGATTGATGCTTCTCTCCTTCAAAACGAACCATCCGTTCAATCTATACAAGGGGACGAAGAGGGCCTTTTCGTTAGCGACGAGGAAGATAAGCCGAACCCCTTTCAAATAACGCAGCAGTCACCATTTGAAACGGTTAATAAGCCAGTCACAACATTCGGCACACCGTCACCAGCTGTTTCTACGTCACCTTTCGGTCAAAGCTCTCCATTTGGGCCCCCATCTAATTCCCGATTATCTCCCATTGCCTCGCCCTTTGTCCCTCAAAACTCTAATACTAAGGTATATGGGCGACCCTTTGACATTTGGTCCCTTTCTCTCTTGAGTGTGCATGTACGCTGACTACAGTCATTCTTTCTAGCCAACCGTTCAGTTTGGACAGCCAAGCCCGGCTCAAACTCCAGCCTCCTCATCTTCTTCACCAACAGCTACAATAAAAAATTCAAGTGAACCTTCTGCTACAGCTACTTCTAACCCGCCTACATTCTCATCAACGTTTCCTACATCTACCGTGTCTGGTTTTGGATCACCATCCTTTTCATCACCCAGCACCAACGGGTTTTTAAAAGGAGAGCAAACTACTCAAGCTGCTCCAACGTTTAGTTTTACCTCCACTGCGCCTACTGACACGGCCGCGGCAATTGAAGTGAAGCCTGCTGATCCTAGGACACAGCAGCCTCTATTCGGATCCCCTTCGCCCTTTGGTCCCCCGGCCGAAACTAAGCCTCCTGAAGTCCAATCTGTTGACTCCCCATTTGGGAAACCTCAGCAAACATTTTCGCCCCCGCAAGGTAAGCCTTTGGACCTACACTACGCCCAACCTATATGGATATACATTTCTAACAGCGTACAGATGAAACTCTAAAGAAGCCGTCTCAGCCTTTATTTACTCTTTTCCCTGGGAGTTCTACTGGCCAGAAGCCTCCTTTGTTTGGACAAAGTAAGTACAATATCTCTAGTCGATGGTATATCTGCATACTAATTCAATACAGGCTCGATCTTTACGTCAGGAAAGCCAGCTCAGTCCGCGACCGAACAGCCATCAAATGAAGGCAGAACCCTCGAAACGGCCAAGCCCGCATCCCCTTTTACCATGTTCCAGCCAACTTCGTCTCTCGATTTGACTGGAAATCACGAGACAGTGGAACCCGAACCCCCTTCCTCGGCAAAGTTCTCTTTCTCATCCTCTCCCTTTGAACTTAACGGTAATGTTGCTACTCTCCATGGACTCTTTGAGGTGCTTTTATCACTAATACCGTCACCATTCAGACTCTGAAGCAGCAGTGTCTAATGCTCAACCTTCAAACCCATTCCAAACGGAGCCAAGTACTGACATACAACCTGGCCCCTCCCTGGAACAATTGAAAGATGCAGAAGAGGAAAAGTCGAAGGAGAGGGAAGAAGCTGAAGCTAAAAAGGCAGCAGAGGAGGAAAAGAAAAAGCAAGAAGCACTTCAGTTAGAACAGGAAAGAGAGCGCCAGAGGCTTGAGGAGGAGAAGGCCAGGAAAGAAGAATTGGAGAGGCAGGAGGCTGCTGCCCGAGAGGCCGCCAGGGAGGCACTACGAAAGCAAAAAGAGGCCCAGGAAGAATCCAGACGCCAGGCGGAGGAGAAAGAACGGGCCGAGCGTGAGATTCAGCGTCAACGAGAGCTTGCGCGTGAACTCCAGGCAGCTCAGCGAGAAATAGCAAAGAGACAAGCAGCTGAAAAGAAGGCCGCACGAAAAGAAGCTGCTAGGCGGGCCTCGATAGAAGCCGACATCATGAAACGAAAAGCCGACGCGCTTATCGAGGAACTGGATGTCCACCATAAGAGAGGCTCAAAAGTAGCCAGACTCACCCCGGAAGACGAGCTTTCGGTGGAGGAGCTTATGACTAGTAACCGACCTAGACATAATAAGCCCCCAACATCGGCTCCTCAGCCTTCGAAACCTGCCATAGACGAAGATGAGCTCCTTCTCTCCGCAGCTAGGCTGGCTGCTCATACCCTGTCGCAGGGAGCTCGACTATGGGACGAGATTCCAGACTTTACCCGCTCTGTTTCTTCCCCATCTAGCTCCTTTTTTGGGAGATCAAGCATTGGATCTCAATCTAGCTTTGATGGATCCCGTGCAATCGTTAACGGGTACGACGTTGCTCTTGCCCCTTCCTCGCCGCTTGGTTTGGGCAGGACTCTCTCCCGGACAGAACAAAGAATACGGGCCACTGGTGCCAAGGGCCTTGCAACCAAGCCAATCACACCCTCCCAAAGGGTGAAAAGGAACAATGAGAAAGGAAAAGAACCGCAGTACTAAGTTACCTTTTTTTTTTTTTTTTTTTTTTTTTGGCGTTGAGCTTGATATCCTTGACGCTCCAGTTTGTTTTCTGCACGACCTCCAACATACATTTTTTAGGATCTTCAGCATTCAGGCGTTCAGCATAAGGGCTACTCTACGTTTTGTTGTTGTTCTGGTGTGGTTTGTATTGGGACGAAACAGAGTTGGTTGCAAGGGTTATTTTGTCATGATTCAATTTCCACTGCCTATATTATACCATTTCAACCTATTTATATCCTTTCCTTCATCAATCATACATGAACAGTTCTAGCCTTTCACCTCGTTCATACCCAAATGAGACGACCTTCGTGAAGAACGTTCAAAGTTCCGTTTTGATTTCAAGGGTCAATGATCATGCCACGTGAAGATAGATCGACGGCTTCCCTGTCCATGATATGATGGCTCTAGATGTCGAGTCAGAGCAGGCCGTCCGTAGCCTTCGATGATGCGGCAGTGTTTGCCCTTTGGTGCAGCCGTTCGGAGACGGGAAGCTCGCTGGAGCGAGTTTCATAGATATAGCGAGTCAACATGGACTGTTGGAGACTGTCTGCCTTCTCCTTGCTAAAGAAGAAATGAATATTAGCACCCTGATAACCTGCCCTGTATCATGTGTTATTTCATACCTGTCGGAAGACGTTGATGGTTGCACCAAAGGGTTTGACTTTTTGCCCCTGGCAGCAGTAGATTTGGTAGACGTGGTACCGGCCATAGTGACTTGTTATGTTTTCTTGATGAAGGCAGAGGAAGATAGAATGAGGAGTACATGAGATGAGCGCATGTTGGATTTCTGTCGAGGAGGGGCATGTTAATATAGGATCGATACTAAAGAGTAGATGGGTGATTGCCCAGGGTGGATTGTAAGTAGATTGAGATGAGATGCATGTCCGAATGAGGCCTGGCTGCGTCCACCAAAAGCTCGATCCCAAACGTTCCATGCAGCAAAAGCAATTAACCAATATCCTGATTGGTTCACTTAACTAGCTAGTCAATCCACAACGAAAGTTCCAACTCGTTGTGCTTACTTGATACATCTGCGTGGCTGCTAATGGAACTTTTGTTTGTGCCGCCACGAATCAGCCGCTAATTAACGAGGTGACTCTGGATAAAAAGGGTGACTGCTGCAAGGCCTGGGTGGACCGCAGGCATCAAGCGTTGACCCTTGTCGTCCCAGGCGCAGTCGCTCGTCCTGGATTTCTGGATAACTAAGTTACCGTCGATCTGCGGTTAACTAAAGATGAAGCAGACACAGAGCAACTCCAAGACCATCTATAATAACTTCTCACTTAAACCTACCCTGTGAAAAGTGTCTCGACCATCTGGCTCCAGTGCTAAAGATGGACCACAGCTGTACTCCTGGCTCCTTGTCTGGGGAAGTGGACATGATCAGGCTCATCCCGAACACGGTCGGCCTCGACAACTTAGAGGGTCCAGATCAACCATCAGCAAGTCTTCCTGACCTGGTATTTCATCAAGGGAGTGGCATAGTCTACTCTACCCAAGCCCCCTCTGACAGCAACAAGCAAACTACGAGGATATCCTCTCAAGAATGGACCTCTGTAAAGAAGAAGATCCGTCATCTTTATGTCGAAGAGGGCGTCTCTATCTCTGCGCTAATGCAGACCATGGAAGAGAAATACTCTTTCAAAGCAACGTACGAAGACTGCGCCTCCCTTTGAACCGGTCTCGGAATTTTATAGCAGCCATAGGATTGATCCATGAGCTCGCTTCAACTATTACCATGGTGGTCGCTGAGCTGACTTGACTTGCTCGTTGTGTATGCCAGTCGAAAGCAGTACCTGAGCAGGCTCGTCAAATGGGGGTTCAACCGCAACATCAAGGCTGAGACCATGATCCAAATCGTCCGTATCCGAGAGCGAAGAAGACGGCGGGAAGGGAAGTCCACTGTATTCAAATACAACCAGCTGAAAGTCGATGAGCAGAAGATCGAACGGTTCATCCGAGAAAAGCTCGGCAGAGATCAAATAGACCGCATGAACATTGACGATGGTCTCTGCCTACCTCTCCAAACCTCCTTATCCCGAGATCAACTTAATTTTACTAACGATATGCATCAGTGTCGACGCCCGCCGGTATTACTTACGGGTCACCTCATGCTATGACTGACGAAGATGACGGCGGGGGTGCGGATGAGAACGTCGGTGAGGATTTCAATGACCTTCATATAATACCACTAGACGGAGAAAGTCATGCGCTCGCGATGCCCCGTGCAATAATATGGGCACTTGGTGCCTTCAGGCCTCTAAGACACGAAGAACTCGCGATAGCCTGTGCAATCATGCATGGCAAAGATTTGGAAGCCTACTTGGAAGAGGAAACCGCTTTCTGGACTTACGGTGTCTTCGAGAAAGATAACGATGGCTTCCTCAAACAAACGCTCCGTGCTCCTGGGATATTACGACAGTTTATCCCTACGGATTTTTCTAATAACCTGATATTGAACACTATTCTTACGGGGATCGCTGAAGCTAAGTATTTGAGGCATGAGTACAAGATCCATAGAGGACCTAGAGCTGGAATCTTGAAACCTAACCGATTCCAACCCTGGTGGCGATTTCTGGAATATTCAACACTCTACTGGCCATCACATCTGTGTGATGTAAAATACCTCATAACGCCCACGGAGGAATCACATTTAGTAGAGTTGTTACGCCAGCCAATGTGTGCGGTATGGATTGAGATTCTTGCTTCGTGCACAGGGGGCCGCTTTGGGATTGTCCTTAGCCGGATAATACATCTTGTCTTGATTTTCTGCAATGGAAACGGGCGCTATCTTGTCACAAAGAAGACTAATTCCTCATTGAAAACCTGGGCAAAGTCTTGTCAGCATCTTGTGCATGACTGGGGGGATGTACTCGCAAAGTCACCTGGCGAAATCTACTACATAAAGAATAACTTTTTACCAAGGGATAATATCTTTCGGAGATCGACGTTTGTCAGGTTCCGACAGGATTTGGCCGGATATCCACCACTTGAGCCTAGGATGCAAATTTCATTCTTCGAAGAAATGAGCAGCGAGCGTGCGCCGATTGAGGTTCATCGGTCTACTAAATGCATTTATTACGCCTCTCCGCGTTATGCCACAGTTTCATCTCCATCGGAGCGTCAGTGGACAATACTTTGTATCTCGCTGGATACAGGCTTAAAGATAGCAGAGTACCACGGGCAGACCGCTTTTGAGGACCAACGGTATGAATGGGGCCTAACAACTACCCGTACTGCACAATTAGCAATTAGTCCTGATGGCCGGTACCTCGCATATGAGGAGCTAGTTGACTGCTCAGAGGCTAGTGATAACAACCAGGATTACCGGGTCTTTACATATTACTGGAACATACAGCCTAATATCACCATAGACGGTGATCTTTTTGGCGAATGTTTTCAAGTAAATAGAGGCTCTCAAGGCCCACGGTCTGCTCACTCTGGAAAAACACTTGGTTTCGATAATGATGCCAATTTGGTTCACACATGCGGCGTTTATAACGTGAAAACCCAAGCTGAGGTACATTCTATATCTTCTACTGATTTCCTACCAGATATAAGTTCTGCAGCACTTTCACCAGACAGTACTGTGACGGCCTTTGCACAAATGGGCCCAGAGGGCAAGGGATTCAACATTTGGGTGCGCAATAATTTTGGGGCTGGCGTGACTACCACACACCGGGTTCGTAATGGGATCATCAAGCTTCTTGATATCAGTACATCTGGCCGCTTACTAGCATTCTTGGAACAGACTCCAGAAGCGCCTGGAAGAAAGCATGTGTTTCATTACAACCTAGTTGTGCTGGATGTCGCATTGGGCTATAGGCACATACTAGACTGCTTTGCGGGTCGTATTATACCCACTTCATCGGACAACTTCTACGATAATACCCTTCCTTTCCTGGTTACCGCATTCTTTGGTGACAATGAAAATGAACCTATATTGTTTGCGTTTGAACCTGCCAATAGCAAGGGTCGTGTGTGGCGGAAATGTCCCGGGAATTGGACCTGGAAGTCAACTTGGTATACTACCTTTGATGCCACCTTAAGGCCCTTGAAATTCTTCGATAGGGATAATTGGATCATGGGAATTCACAGGGAGGGATACTATACATTCTCTATACTCTCTGCTGATAACCACCCTCGCATTGCAGAAGTTCGCCGGAGTGGGTATGGATTTATGCTTGTCGCCTGGAGTGCTCATTCTCGCTACTGTATAAACACAGAGTGTCAAAGTGAGAAGGGTTTCAAGGTAATCCCCTTTAACATACCTCGTATATGCCATAGTATATCTTTTGCTAATAATCTGACAAAAGATAATAGGCCGGCGGGTGAGAGACTATTACGGATTCCCCAGGGAGTTTTATTTCATATCTCCGGTATCCTTGCAGTCAATCACCTCAGTAGAGATACCTGCCTCGGGAGATTATATATATTACACTAATGGGATTAATACCCGCCACTACTCATCGCGCATCGTTTTCGATGATGATCTGGTCGATGGCTCGGAGCGCCATCTCGAATATCGATTTACAGGTGGACACTTTGTCTGTGTTTCTCCGGACAACCAATATATACTAGTTTGCTTCCCAGAACAGGATGATGGCTTATTGTCTAGCACATTACGCTTTGAAATCCTTAGAGTCGGAAAATCAAATAACAGCGTTCGCTCATTTTTATTCAGCTGCCAATATTCTGCCAAAGACAGCAGTGAACCCAATGATTTTCCATCATTGAGACTTCAGGGCTCTTTCCATCCGACACTTCCAATTGTTACATGGACAACCCCGGCTCTAAAGCTGGGGTTTTGGATTGCCGACCTTCGAACTGGGAGCAGGCCAATATTTATCAATGGTAGGCTTTTGTTTTGACGTTTTAACTAGTCAAATTAGTTAGCTGATCTAACTTCTTCCATCAGATGTTGCCTTTGCAGCCGATAAAGCATCATTTTCAGAATGCGGCCGTTATCTACTGATAATATACGACGAGACTGATTGTGAGCGAAGTTCTCTATATTCCAACGAGCCAACGATGGGGATTTTTATCCTCGATTTCAAGGAAGAAATAAAGTGCAGGTATCTATGGAGCCCCGAAGTAATGCGTTACCGGGGATCCTACGCCTTTTGCTATAATGATGAGATTTATGTCGTCGGATTTAATAGCGACAATTTTCTCATTTGCCTAAGGCTACTTGTATCTGCTGACGGGAACCCTCAACAGCAAAATATTACGGCTTTTCCACGCTCATTTTCTCACATTTGCATCGTACAGCGGGCCAGCTTTTTACAGACCACTCAGTTGCACGTCATAGTCACAGAACCAGAGGAAGAAGGAAGCATAGCATCTATGTCAAATGTTCTGACATCAACATCTCACGTCCACGGTACCTGTGACGGTTTTAATATCCCGCAGGCTGCTGTCGTCACGGCTCCCTACAGTGTTTGGATAAATACTAAGTTTAGGATCAGTAGGGCCTGGCAATACGGGGGTCCCATCATAGAAACGGACGGACCGCTGTGTCGTCTCCGGGTTCTGCACAAAAGGAATCCGCAGACCGAGAAAATAGTATGGATGCTGAAGCCTTCGTCGAATAGCCCTGTAGTCCAAAGTTGGAAGCTGATGGATGGCGAACAGCATGTTCTCCTGGAAAGGGAATATTGTGACATATAGCTGGTGACTATGTGGTATCCGAAGTAGCATTATATAGTTAAAGCATTTAGTTTCTTAAGAAGCTTGCGGGGGCAGTATATATTCATGCAATCAAATAGTTATAATTAACGGTTTGCTGTTGATAAACAGAGAGAATTAACCACCAGGAGGCGATGACCATCCAGCGGGTTAAGGGAACGTGACTAATCAAATATCATCACCCAGAGCTCTCTTATTTCCATTACCAGCTTTGCAGATAAGTGAGTTTTCACGGAGTATGAATGCATAAATCTACTATTTGATATCGACTAGACCACTGTTGCCCTTCATATCATTTGATTCTGTACTACAATAATTCCTGTTGTTACTTTTCCTGCTTGGTGGCAATGAGGATCGCGACCTTCCAGCTACGCTCCCGACTTGCAGATGTCGAGGGGAATATCCGAAAAGCTGATGCACTGGTTGGAAAGCTAGACCGGATGCTTCAAGGCAACGGCAAGAGGAAAAATCTAGATCTACTTGTTCTACCTGAGATGGCGTTCAGTGGTGAGTGAGTGATTCACGCGCAATTCGTAAATCTGATACCCGGTTATCAAATGATCATGCTCATGCCCTATCCATAAGGATATAACTTTCCATCCCTGAAGGCTGTACGACCGTATCTTGAGCCATCAGAGGCCGGACCATCGGCTCGCTGGGCGCGTATGGTTGCTCAACAGTTAGGTTCCGTGGTAGCCGTGGGATATCCAGAGATCTGCCCTTCGACGCTGCAAGATAAGCTATCTCTGCTAGCCAAAACAGGGGAAGATGCGCAGGACGAGCGCCGATTCAATTCGCTTATCGTTGTCAAAGAATCTGGCGAGACGTTGGTGAACTATAGAAAACACCATCTTTACTACACTGATGATCCGTGGGCTCACGAAGGAGAGTCTCATGAAAGAGGATTCTTCTCAATGCCCTTGACTACTCCTACAAAGCAACAGAGTATACCCAAAGATGACAGCGGTGATGCCAGTGTCGGTTCTTCTCCAAAGAATGAAATACCGACCACTGTAGGAATATGCATGGACATCAACCCGTATAAGTTCATCGCCTCCTATAGTGCCTGTGAATTTGCAACGCATGCTCGAACAAGCGGAGCAAAGCTAGTGGTTCTATCCATGGCATGGCTGACACTATTAAGCTCCGAAGAACTATCTACGATGACCGACAAACCAGACATGGATACGTTCCAGTATTGGATATCCCGGTTTGCGCCCCTTTTCTTGCCTAATGAAGGGGGTGTGGAGGATTCGTCTGGTGAAGTGGCTGAGCCCCAGGTCATAATCGTGTTTGCCAATCGGGCTGGGGAAGAAGAGGGACAGGAAGGCAAGGATACTGCGAGGTATGCTGGGTCAAGTTGTGTGGTTGGCATCCGACGCTGCCCAGGCAAAGTGGGGGACGAGGAGGATGGGAATAAAGTCGAGATACTGATATGGGATATGCTTGGGGCCACAGAGGAGGGTATCTGCCTTGTTGATACCGACTCAACGCCCAGAATGGTTGGATCTGTGAAGATATGATATATAACTTGTTTGTGTGGTAGAAGAGTATATTCAGAAGTAAGCCTGCCAACATCAGCGGCAACAACAACAACCACCACCACCACACCACCGCAGCCAACCAAGCCCATCCGTATCACATTTTGACAACAACCGCCCAAGAGAGGTTAATGTGTCTGGTCTGGCGGAGCATCTCCTTGCCCCTGGCCTTCGAGAGTCCTTCGAGGCTCTCGTCTGCTCCGTTTTTGATATCACCTGAGCCCATGTGAGCCCATGTGACTGAGGCGTGATGGTCCCAGTTAGGGCTTCAACCTCCCACGTAAAGAAAAAAAAAACAACTTCATCTCTTTTTCTTCTTCTTCCTCTTCTGTGAACATCTGAAGGAGGCCCATCTTTCAGGCTCTTCTTCATGCAGGATAAACCAGTTGATTGTGGGTGAGATGTGGAGAGCAGAAGAACGAACGCCCAGTCAAAGGACCCTGACCAGCAAAGACGGCGGATCCTGAGATGAGGCCGCCGGTGGTGAAGACGATAGCAGCAGGTAAGTTGGCTCTCGCCTCGGACGTTATTATTATTATTATTATTCCTACTACAGCTCGCTGTCCGAGAGCTTATTAATCGTGTACAAGAGTAACTAGAGTGACAGGCTGAAAAAAGCAACTTTAGTTAGCCGGTGTCAACTTTCTACCACATGTATTAAGTGTGGCCGGTGGTCAGAGGCTGCTGGCAAGTCGACCGGTTTAGTTGGCGGCTGGTGGTACGGTGACGGGGGAATGACAACACCTATCCGGTCACCTAGCCAGCTATTCGACCGGTCAAATGGAAGAGCTAGCCAGACAAACAAGAGAGAATGTCTATCTTTCAGAATGCACACCTTTCCCGTTTGTACTAGGGCTGTGGTCTGGTTTTGAGTCGTCTCTCGTTTTCTGGGGAAAGGAAGAGGGACAACTAATGAGAAGAAAAAAAAAAAAGCAAACATCGTCCGGGTAAGGATGACTGTGAACTCGCGCTACCAACCATACCAGTGGGTACCCTGTCATGAGCAGGTGATGCGAGGGCTATGGGGTGAGAGAGCTCTTCGTCTCACCACCTTTGCGTGCCTGTTGACGGGGATTTTTTTGGCTGTCCGAATACGCGGCCATGAACACTGCTGCCCTCCTTCCTCCTATTTGATAAACCTGAGTTTCTTCCTGGACCAGGTCAGACCAGTCACCTGAATGAATGCCGAACGGGAATGATAAGGATATCCTTCTCTTATCTTCCCGGTACCCCATCCATGCAAGGTCAAGAAAAGGGCAAAAAGGTAACTAATTATCCATGGGGAGATCTGGGGCGGATCAATAGCCTTTGGATATTCTGCAGGCAGGAAACGCGGAACAGATAATAATAAAATGGCGACCGTTGCAACCGAGAACAGATGGATGGGCAGCCTCTTAACTGTCCAAGCTAAGCTTGCGGTTGACAAACAGCAAACAAACGAACCGGTTGGCCCACGGGAGGACCTTGATTTCCCCGAGTTGTGCTTTTTCTCCAGTTGAGATGCATGCCTGACTAAGTGGCGGGAGGCTCAGTCTTTCGAGAACTGAGCAAGGTTCTGCGGCAAGAGGACCATGCGCCAGATGGGCAGCCCTCTTCTGTCCTATCGACGCATCCAGCGCTCGTCGGCAAAGATCCATGGTCCTTGATCCCTGGTAGAGGTGTGTGTGAGTGTGTGTGTGTGTGTGTGAGTGATAACAAACTCATGGCCCGTCGAAGCCAGCTCCCGTGCACACCACTATGGGGACACCGGCGAGCAGTGGGCCAGCCAATAGGAAACGAGAGCCTGGCCGTGGAGCCTGATTCGTCAGCGGCGAGCAAGGCACGGGACCCGAGCACATGACCGGCGGAGGGAGATCCAGAGGGCGAGTCGAGCGCAGGCGGAGGGACGAGGGCAGCGAGGTCGAGGAGAGGCCGGAGGGGGCAGAGAGGAATAAGGGGCGGGCAGCAGGGTCGCCGCAGATGGGAGGCAAAGGGCTGGGACGAGAGATAACTAGCTAACCATCACCTTCACCGTCACCGTCGCCATCACCATCTCGACCGGCGAACTGTCATCTATTGCTGCTCCGGATCACAGTCTGCGGCCTCAGTCTGACAGCAGATGCACAGAGTCATCCTCCACCGCCGGCGCCAGCATCAGCATCAACTGCTCCGAGCACTACCAAGCATCGCCGTCGTGTTCTTGTCCTGTCCTGTCCTGCCTGTCCCGTTCTTGTCCTGCTATCAAACTGCGCAAGTGGCGTGTGCAGCTTGCCCTAGCCTCGCCACGTGAGTTTTCCCTTCGCTCTCTCTCTCTCTCACTCTCTTCGTCCGCTTCTTCTCGCTCGCTCGCTATAACTGCAATTCAGCATCGCCTTTCCAGCTTCTCGCTGTCTCAACACCGTCGCCGGCCTCTGCTCAGCATCTCGCTGCGTCTTTCCAGACATCTATCAGGTCTGTCTCTTCGGCCTCCCGTCTCCTTGCTGCTCCCGGCACTCGTCGCGATCTATATATCGCAAGCCCTCGAGCAGGTGACTTCTCGTCACCTGATAGATCATCAAGGTATGCAAGGCCATTTCATCATCAGCATCTACTCCGTCTTTCTCTGCTTTATCTTTGGGCTATCGCGAGCTGCACAAACAGCTCTGGCTGCTTGGATCTGTCTGCGTCTTCTGTCTCTTTCCCTTCTTGCTGCTGGCTTTTTTTCCCTCGCGTTTCTCTCACTCTCATGCTCTGCACAAACATCGCCTTAAAAACCCCGCTCTGTACTGTGCTTGTCTTGTTATTCTTTGCTCTAGAGTCGCGTCTCGGCGCGATATCATCCTCCTACAAGCTGTTTCTCTATCCTCCTGTGCGCTTGTTTGCTCAAATAATAATCTTATCTACTCCTATCTTGCTCTCACTGTGTGCTGTGGCTGTTGGTTTGCCTGGCAAAACTCCTTCCCTGACGCGACAAGTGCTATTATCACCTATCTTTCTGTGCCTTATTGGGATTGCTATGAATATATTAATTACGAAAACAGCTTGCTATCTTCTATTTTATTGCTGTGACTATCATGATATTCACTAACATGGACCTGACGCGATTAGAATCTTCTCTTTTCTCCAGAAATTTTTTTTTTTTTTTTTTTTTTTTTTTTTAAAAAAAAAAAGAAGTGAGATAGCAGGATGTCAGAGCCTACTATGAACACCATGGAGCACAGCTCTACCGATCCCAATATCTCCTCTGGCAAACGCAAGCGAGAAGTCATGGATACTGGTGATGTCCAGCGTCTTCGCTCTGCACATGGGGGCCCAAATAACTTCGATGTCAACATCCAGGCCACTGATAACTACGGCTATGATGCTCATGGCATGCCTAGCAACACCACTGACTTGAGCCACATCGACCAGCAACTGCTCCAGGCCGTCGGTAACCAGAATGGTGTTTCTGATGACAATGCTATGACTGCTAAAGCGGCACTCGCTGCTCACCAGCCCGAGTCCAAGTACCCGCCTCCCGAGCCGTCCTTTGATAACAACGGCCTCGGAAACAACCTCTCCTTCGGCCAGGATGTCGGCCAGGTTTCCATGGGACCCGTCCAGAGCCACACCTCTACCGCCGCTGCAGTTTATGCTGCTCGAGAAGCTCAGGCTCAGGCTGCCCAGCAAATCAGTCCCAAGCCAACCGTCGGATCTGCCGAGTGGCACCAGGTTCGAAAGAACAACCACAAAGAAGGTGAGCTCTTATTATTCTCTCATTTTCCACTTTATGTATCCTTACTAACATGCATTCAGTCGAGCGCCGTCGCCGTGAGACCATCAACGAAGGTATCAATGAGATCGCCAAAATGGTTCCTGGCTGCGAGAAAGCCAAGGGCTCGATCCTCCAGCGCGCCATCCAGTACATCGCCAAGCTACAGGAAGATTCCAAGGAAATGGCCGCTCGGTTCGACACTACCAACATGACCACAAACCAGGCCATTACCGAGATCAGCGCTCAGAACGCCAAGCTCAAGAATGAAGTCAACCTCCGCAGCGACATTGCTTCCAAATGGATCCAGCGTTGTCGTGATGCTGGTCTCAGCTTCGACGACTATGATGATGAAAAGAGCCTGACCAAGCTTCCCGTCGACGAGTCTCACAATATCTAAACTTACTGCCACGACGTTCATGATACCTCTTTGCTTCTTTCTCATTAGTTCTACATGTATCTCACTTTGCTCTGTGTCTTCGTTTTCCTTTCATTTACGGAGTCGAAGTCATGGGCAGTAGTCACACCTCACAGTCTCACTTCTCTGTTTATCTTCTTATCACTTTAGTTTTCTTTTTGTGTTCTTTCTTACTCGGCGTACATGGCTCATTATATCTCTTTATTTCTTCCATTTCTTTTCACACGGCCACACCAGGCCCAATTTCGCATGACTCGAAAATAATGCAATGGGCGGATGCCTCGTTTACCTGTCTGCCAGCCTGAATAAATGCTTTACTACGGGGTGCTCGCTCGTTCTATTCTAAGGGTTAAGGGAGGGGAAAAACGTTCCATTAGTTTGTTGGAACCGCATGGGACATACGGAGCACGACGGAGCAGATGACGGTTATCCGGCCTTGTCCATATGTTTCATCCTTACTTCTCTACTTTATTTTGCGTTCTCTAATGAATTCTCCTTTCTCCTTTTTCCCTTCTCATGGAGGCGTCGCTGGCTTGGGGCTACTCTGGGAGGGGGATGTTCAGTAATGTTTCCTATCCATCCTCGCGAGGCAGTTGTGATGCAAGGAGGATCTCAGCCTGTCTGTCAATTACAGTATATAGCACATGTTATCCATCCATCTAGCCCTTTCTCCCGCCTCTCATCCCTCGTACTTATACATTAATTATGCTATCAACGGCCTTCGATAAGGTCGCTGCGCGTTGTGAGCACGTGGCTGACTAGTTACGCAGTCTCGAACTTCGTCCCTCTCAACTTCGACTTCATCAACTTCAAAACACGAAATCACAGTCAAACAACGTCCGTATCTCCATCCCTCTCGTTGCCCTCTGTTCTGGCCGTTAATCCTCATATTACCTGAATTTTAGCACCTGGATGGCTCTTTCTATATTGCTCCCAATAAGTCCTGCGCCGACTTGTTGACAGCACGAAATATGACATCGGTTGGTGGTACTGTGCGAAGGCCGTGTACCTATACGCCAGCGACATGAAGCAATGAAACGCCTGCTGCGTAAATGGGATGTTTCACACTAGGCCACTCAGGAGGAGCTTTAGTGGTGCTGTTTCTCCGTGAATTGACGGTGGTACTTCATGGCATAACCTTCATTTACCACGAGGGTGCGAATTTTTACAATGAGAAGATATCTATGTATGTTCTCCTAAGAGGGGAACAAGTCTAAGGATCAGCTCATTCCCAATTTCAATACCTAATATCTCTTGAACTAGGAAGCTTGTGAGGTCATGCCCTTTTGGTAGTGTCTAAAAAATTATGTGTTTTTGTCAAACTCCGACCTCTTTTTATCCCAAACCATATTCCATCTTTCCGGTTATCCTTATTGCAGCATACGCCTCATTTATTTTATTCGATGAGTTTCGCGGTCAAATCCAATGTCGTGCCTCATTATCCATGCGCCTCAAACCATCCTAATATAGTGTACAGGAATCTTCAGCATCTGCCATGGGGAGTTCAAAGAAGCCCATGCATTTCCTTCTCGTTCGCATATTTAACGAAGGCCGCACTTGATGTGGACTGTTAGTCTCATCTGGAACACAACTGGGGTCCACGGAGCTTATCTTACCCGTCGTCCGTCATCCACTCACTGTTGAAATTATGCTCTGTTTTTAGTATGTGCCATAATGGTATATGTTCGACATCATACTCGATTTCTTCGCCAGCCTGTGCATTGCGACATTGACGCCCGCACTTCGATGGCTCTCCTCGGTGCACATATATTCCACGTGGACAGATATATATTTTTATATCTTTAGTACCAGCTCGCACGATAGACATAGCCCTGGCACTTCCATCTCCCGTTACGGCTATCGTCTCCCCTTCAACTTCCTTTATGGAGGTATGCCAGGTCACACTTTTGTGATAACATTGGTCCTTGAGCCAAGTAACTAGATGGTGACACTGGAAATATATTGCCTCCTCCAGGATACTCGTGTACAGGTGATAGTTGTGCCCTTTTGCTGCATCAAACGCCAGTGGGAAGACTCCTCGTCGAAGATACCGAAGGACATGTTCAAACGCCTCGCCGTCAGCGTCGATAAAGATGGACCCGTCTTCCATGGTTGGAATTGTCCATTTCCCTGAGAAGTAGGCCTTGAAGTAGTCGCTTCTCTCAGTCAAGGTCTCGGCAGTTGTGTGAAATGTTCGTTCGCCAACTCGGAGCATCACAACTTTGGGAGTGTTTGTGACGCTCATGGTGTTGGCCAGGAGAAGCGCGTACCAAGTCTGCTAATTGGCGCCAACACTTATGCGGGCTATTCTGAATCTGTGACGTGATGGATAAGATTGTCTGCAAATCAACTGTCTTGACACTTCCATGGAATTTGGTCGCGTGGCTGATTCAGTATATAAAGAAATTTCAAAGGCAACTAATTAGCTAACTAACTAACTGGTTAGCCTAACCCCGGCGGCTTTGAACAAGGCTGGAGCCGGCTTGCTGTTGAATTCCAAATATCAAGAACTTCCTAAGCGCCTCCACACCGCTTGGACCCAACTCCTAGCGTTATTAATAGGGCCTCAAGTCGGTTTAGTTAGACAGCAACAACTATTAGCACGGAAACCGATTGAGCTTGGAGTTCATGATGGTATCGCAAAATCCCATCAGCCATGGCGGATCTTCGAATGCGCTCGTTCGCGAAGGCCTATGTCTCCTATTACTGGACGGTGGAGGTGTCCCAGGACTATTGTCGGTGTATATCCTGAAGGCAATCATGGATCGCCTGAACACTGGAAGGAGAGATTCGCACAAAGTGAAACCGTGTGAGGTGTTGACCTGATCGGTGGAATCAGCACCGGCGGGTGAGACGTCTGGTTTCTTTGTGAAGACTCAAAGCTGATCATATATCCTAGGCTTACTGTGATCATGCTTGGGCAGCTCGAAATGGGCGAGGGCGGATGCATCGACATATATTGCAGAGTTTTCAATAAAGTCTTTAACGAAAAGAAACATTTCACCCTTATGAACATAAGTGGCAAGATTCAGGCGCGATTCGATTCGGACAAGCTTGAAAAGATAATCAAAGAGATAATTTCAAGGAAAGGGATACCTGAGAATTATTTGCTTGATGATGGTGAAAAGCAAGGATGTCATGTGTACGTGACTCCATACAACGTCTATACAATGGGAAGCTCTACTCTAACATACATCAGCTTTGTATGTGCTGTTGATTGCATAACGAAGGGTGTCACTTGACTTCGGAGTTACAAGCTTATTGACAAATCGAATGTCTCGGCTACTATCTGCCAAGCAGCTCTTGCAACTTCGGCAGCGACAACGTTCCTCAATCAAGTCACCATTGATGACCGTGCCTTTGCCGATGATACCCTGGGAGCAAATAACCCCGTGAGCGATGTAGTAGCGGAAGCGTCCAAGATCTGGTGTAACGATACTATCTATTTGGTACCACTGGTATAATGTTTTATCTCAATAGGCATTGGATACCCTGGAATACGGCCTTTTGAAGATTGGCTTCTGAAGTTTCTGGGGGATACTCTTGTACAGCTTGCTACCGCCACAGAGAACAAATGGAGGGAATTTATCGGTTTTTAGAGAAGCCATTATGATGCCAAACGCTACTTCCGGTTCAATGTGGCACAGGGGCTGCAGCGTGTTGGTCTGGGTGGATATACTAGTGAGGCACTATCAAATCAGTTATAGACCAATACGTCGATCATACGGCTCAATCGCATCTAGTGCGGGACTGTGTTTGGAATATGCAACTGAAAGAGAGTGTGTATTTGAGAACTTTTTCTAGTCCATAACTTAGCGCTCTAACCAATCATCATAGATTGTAATGAAAAGAATTGGAATATCGAGTGGCTGAGAGCAAACCCGAATGTCTATTTTCTAAATATATACTAACTGCAGGATATTAGTACAATGAAGGGCCAGAGGGAATAGTAAAATAGGTACCTTCTGCTCCAGATATATCAAAGGCACTCCCTGTAATGGGTAATCACTTATACCTGGACTTTTAAGGGCGCCTTCGAAATAAATTTTGCTGTGTAGAACGCGCTAGCATTACGCTCTTTACAGGCCGCCGTGAGATTATAGACTAGATAGAAAATGCCATAATGTTAAGGGAAGATATTCAAGTTCAAAGACGATTTGCTATCACTGGCATGGGTGGGATTGGGAAAAGTGAAGTCTGTCTCCAGGTTATCCAAGAGATGTGAGAAGACTTGGTTGTCCCGTCTCTGCTGACCCAAACCGTTATCATTTGTTAGATAAGAACTCACCATCATATTTAGGTTCTCGGGCGTCTTCTGGGTTGATGTATGCAATGATGGCACAGCATCTGATGGGTTCAATACCATTGCAGGTGCACTTGGGTCCGCTTCTAAGACTATTAACGGCACAAAACTTTTGCTGGCCAATGCACAGGATGACTGGTTGCTAAATTGAATAATGCCGACAAAGATCGATGTGGATTACACTAGTTATTTCCCCTCTGGATCGCGATGCTCCCTTCTTCTTATATCTCGTAACGATGACTGTGATCAATCAAGTACTGTGGGATTCCTAGCACTTGAAAGTCTAGAGAGCAGTGATTGCATAGGGCTTCTGTTGAAAGCAACCGAGCTGAGTCCATGAGCGGAGTACAAAAGCCAGCAAGAACATTGTGGCTACTCTCGACTCCCATACTCTTGCACTCCTACAAGCAGGAGGATATATCAGAAAGATCTGCTCTATCAGGGAATACCCTGCGATATATGAGAAAGAATCAAAGCAATAGATAATCTTATATCATGGCATGCTTCGCCGCTGCCTCCTTTTATACAATGGTGGAAAGTACGTGGGAGCCATCCTGGAGACACCTGAAAAAGTCTCAAAATCTGCTCAAGAGCCTAGCTTTAATTCAAGAGAGAGAGGAGCGTAGCTACCTAAATATTTCACTACACCCTCTTGTGCACAAATGGGCCTATATCCGCCAGACCGACATGAGTGCAATGAGTCATGGGTATCTTCTGGATGCACATTAACACTGTCATACTATTCAGACTATCGGTCAGGAATTGTGACAGCCCCTTTGAGCAATGGTGACGCCTCTTCGGGCCGGTCATATTCCTTATAGGCCATGCCGAGTCGAATATCTGACTATATTCAGTAAATGTTATTCACTGGCAACTTCTCTCCGGGCGGCAAACTCCTCAAGTAGTTGTATTTCTTCTTCAGTTTAGCCATTGCATTGGTAGTCTTCTCAAGGAGTAAGATCCGGAGTGATTGCATGCAATAACTTCGTGTCCTTGAGCACTCTGACAGTACGAGTGCTCGGGCAGCAGGAGCTTGTCGAGCTACTGGCCAAAGCTACCAAGCGGCGAGTACACCGATCACAGTTAATGAATCATACTTCGACTGGATATAGTATCTTGTCGCTCTACATCTGATAATTAGGTGAGCACACCAGCTTATCGTTTCAGTGGATGCATCTTTCCTTTCTCTTGTCGTCTTGAGGTAGTTAAGGATGATCGTCGTTGATGTTTATTTGTTATACTTTTTTAATTTTTAATGCATATCGACTAACTCTATAACTCACGAGTTGATTGGTTAAAAGGCCTGATTTCTATTGGACGGGTAATTAGCTGATATTTTTGAAGTATTATTGGTCAATTGACTAGTTACGTAATGAGCCAAAGTAACCTAAATTCAACGTCAGGCCAAACGCCCGCTTGTGTCTGTATCGCTGAACACAGATATAGGCGCTTTCGTGGTTGCTTGACTAGTTGAAGCTGCTTGTAGATACTCTATGCTGAACTAGAGCTTCTTAAGCGGAAAGAGAGAGCCCAAACAAAAATGAAAAGCGCCAACATAACAAACCTCCCACATGTTATCCATCCGCCGATCATTTGGAGCCCTGGCTTCCTGGTACCAACATCCTCGAGTATCTGCTCACAGACAATCTTACTTCCCGCCAAACAAACCGGGACCCCAGTACCGGGGTGTGTACTGGCACCAACGAAGTAAAGTCCCTTGATGGTGTCGTGTTTGGTCTTCGGGCGGAAGCTCAGTACATTGAAGAAAGAGTGAGAAAGCCCCAGGATGGCCCCCTGGTGGAGATTGAACTTCTCCTTCCAGGTGAATGGTGTATTGACTTGCTCTGAGATGATACAATCACGCAGGCCTCGAACACCCGTGCGAGATTCGATAGTGCTAATGACTCTCTCTCGGGTTTTAGATACGACAGAATCCATATCGTCAGCCCAGGCGCCGTTGTCGACCAAATGACCCACTGGGACAAGTGCCACTGCAGCGTCCTTGCCCTCTGGTGCTGCACTTGGATCAATACGACTGGGAACATTCACGTAAAACGATGGATCAGCCGGTATCGTGTGGTCGTTGAAAATCGAGTCAAAGCTTTCCCGGTACTCGTCTGCCAAAAAGATGTTATGCGGCTGCAGTTCTGGAATGACGCGATCAAAGGACCAAAAGAACGAAATAGTGCTGCATGACGAAGGTCGCGTTTTCAAGTCGTGAGCCAGAGGAGAGATGGGCAGGAGCTCGTTATAGGCATAGGCGAGATCAGCATTGACAATAACCGTATCTGCAGTCAAAGTCTTGCCGGACGCTAGTTTCACTCCAACTGCTGTGTACCCGTCTTTGGAAAGTTGGATTGATGAGACAGGCTCGTTGAGGAGGTACTTCACTCCCGAGCGCTTCCCGATATTCGCCAACGCCTCGAGGACCTTTTCGCGTTATTAGTTAGGAAGTGAGTGTAGGGAATATAGGAATGAGAAATTTGGGCGGCTTACTACTTGGAACCCACCAGCTGGATACCAGATACCATCAGCAATTTCGGAGTACTGGAGCAACGAATATGTGGCCGGGGCATCGAAGGGGCTCATGCCAAGATACATGCTTGCAAAAGTGAAAACTCGTCTCATCTTCTCCGAAGCGAAATATCTGCTCGCCCGGCTGTATATGCTCTCGAATGGATGCAGTGGCAGGGTAGAGAACAGGAACTCAGCCCGAAGCATGCTGAGGAGGCTTGTGAAGTTTTTCCTCATAACATAGGCCATGGATAGGTCGTGGTGCTGCCCAGACTCTTTCATGTACGACAAGTACTGATCAAACCCTGCGTCACCTTCATAGCTCTCTATTTCCGCTTTCATTTTGGCCAAATCCGTTGACATGTCAACTCGGTCATGGTCCCCGAACCAGATCCGATAGTTGGGCTCGCACTTGAGCAATTGAATACCTTCATCCTGCATTGAAGTACCGAGATCTTTGAAGGTATCCACAAAGAGCCTCGGGAGCAAAAGGAGAGACGGTCCTTGATCAAATCTCTGGTAGCTTTTGTCAGTTCTTCTATTCAGGTATCTTCGAGGCAGCAACGTACATAGCCATTCTCCTGGATTAGCGAGCATCGACCGCCAATAAATCCGTTCTTCTCTACCACAGTCACATTGAAGCCTTCTTTTGCCAGACGAGCAGCCGTAGCCACCCCACCGGCACCAGCCCCTGGTAGTTGGAGTGTCAGTGAATACGTTGAATGTCCCAGAGAATATCTGATGCCTTACTTACCAACGATAATCGCAGTTCGTTTCTTCATTTCCATGGTCACTCTGAATACTCTGGTCATACGTTTAGGAAGCCAATCTCCCCAACTGCCATTCCGTACCATCCGGGCTCTAAATAGTTGCCTGACCTTGCACCTTGCTTTTCCTGCTAGGCAAAAATTGCAGATGTCGACCCATGGCAGCCGGATAACCAGGAGGGTATTAGCGCCTGGCCACACCCACCACCCGCATCCCCACTGGACATGGTGGTCCTTTTTTCCTTTCCCCATCTAAAGAGCGCCTTGACAGCACCAGTTCGCGAGGTGGGCTGACAAACAGGTTACCAAAAAAGGCTATTTCAGTAATCTTTGGCTTGCTAAGGCGTGTGTAGCCACAGCAGGGGCAATTGATGAACGGCTTTCTTTTTCTTGTGGCGCTTTGTCAGACTGAAGGGCCCTTGAGCCGTCGAACCTACTCCGGGAGCAGACCAGGATGGAATCAAGGGTGATGGTGGCAGACGGAAGTGCAACAAGTCAGCGGAGCCGGAGGCAATCAAGAATTAGTTTACGTTATGGCAAAGGGAAATCAAGAATTTGGATCCGCGGTTCACTACCATAGCCAGAAGGCAGTCTCTAGGGATATATGTCAGCCTCTGCGTCTGGCCTGCCCGAGGAAATGTGCTTCAGGCCTATCCGCGCCAGACTACCCACACCAAATGGATAACAAGAAGAATAATGCCTCAGGAGCGAAGGCTCCCAGCATACCTATGTACGTGGGATCAGAACCCCCTCCCTCCACTCCCTCTATTATCTAGTAGCCCTTGTTTACCAGATAGTTATCAGGTACATGCATGGCAATTTTGCGCCGATGCACAATACTTGCCCACCTACACCTTGTCATTATACCGGTGATATTCCAGAAGAGTTCAATGGCGGACAGTACGTTCGCAATGGGGGGAACCCATCGATGAACCATGATTATGGGAGGGATGTCCACTGGTTTGACGGTGATGGGATGCTCAGCGGTGTCTTCTTTAGAAAGATCAAGGGCAAGACGGCTCAGCCGGAATTCGTCAATAATTACGTTTTGACGGACATTTTCCTTGCTTCCCGAGCAAATCCTAATCTGCGCGTGCCCATACTTCCTAGTGTCACAACGTTGATCAACCCAAGCTCATCGATATTTAAGATAGCTTATGCCATTTGTCGAGCCATTCTTCTTGTCCTTTGGTCATATTTAAATGGCTCAAAATGGTCGATTAAGAAAATCAGTGTGGCCAATACCGGCATCGTTTATCATAGCGGGCGTGCATTGGCCACTTGCGAGAGCGGACCGCCAATGAGAGTAACGCTACCAGAGCTCGATACAGTGGGTTGGTTTAATGGCCTGAGGGCGGAGGGAGAGCCAGAAGATTCAACATCTCCGTCTTTGACTGGGTTCGGAGGCCCTGGCTTCAGGGGATTTCTAAAAAAGTGGACGACCGGACATGTGAGTGTACTGGGCTGACCTTCTCTGTATAAGTAACCATTCAACTGACTGGATATAGCCCAAGGTAGATCCCATCTCTCGCGAGTTGATTGTCTATCATTCAACGTTTGTCCAGCCATTTGTGCATTACTCCGTTGTACCCGATTTACGAGCCCAGAGGGCTTCCTTGGAGCAGTCAGAGCCCCTCTTCAACCTTCCCGTCCCAGGAGTCAAGTCAGCCAAGATGATGCATGATTTTGGTGTATCACGCCAGCATACCATCATTATCGATCTTCCTCTTTCTCTAGATCCACTGAACCTGGCTTACAACAAACCGGTTATTGAATATGACTTTTACGGACGCACTCGTTTTGGAATTTTCCCCAGGCGTAAACCAGACCAGGTACGCTGGTTTGAAACCGAACCATGCTGCATTCTTCATACCGTCAATTCCTGGGATGACAGCATTACTGATAAGGGGACAACTGTGAATCTGCTTGCATGCCGAATGACAAGCGCTGCCATCGTTTTCAGTACGGGAAACATTCGACCTCCACCCAATCTACGGAACATCGAAGACGAATGTCGCCTTTATTACTTTCAGTTTGACCTGTCTCAGAAAGAGAATATCATATCTCACCAGTGGGCTCTCTCTGTAATCTCTTTCGAGCTTCCTCACGTCCCCCAACACCTCGCCATGTCAGCTACACAATATGTCTACGGCTGTACAATGTCGAAGGGAACATTCTCCACGGCACTTGGGGGCGCCGCTAAAATTGACTGCCTTGCAAAACTGGATGTAAAGGCATTGATCAGCGAGGGCCTTAGAAGCCCCCCACGGTCGGTGACAGGCTCAGTGGATAGCCGATCCGTTCAGGAGATTTTGGCTTCAAATGATCCAGACGATCACATCAAAATATTTCAGACACCCCCCGGATGGTACCTACAAGAGTGCTGCTTTGTTCCTCGCACTAACGGGGTGTCGGAGGATGACGGGTGGCTTCTGACCTTTGTGTTTGATGAATCCCAGCTTGATGAAGACGGATTTGCCCCAGTGGGGAGTCAAAGTGAACTGTGGATGATTGATGCTAAGACTATGCGTATGGTAACGCGCATTTATCTTCCTCAAAGGGTACCCTATGGACTACATGGATGGTGGTTTTCAGAGGAGGACGTTTGCAATCAGCGGGCAGTCGAGACTTGCCGAAGCGGTTGAGGAATGTTGTGTTATTATTTGGTCGTTACTGATAGTCAGCTATGTGAAGGGGTCTAGTTTTCTACTTGACTTTGGTCTTACGTATGTAGTTAATGCTCCAGCCTCCCGCTAGCCTTAGTTTCAAACTGGTGTACACTTTTATTGGAAAACAAGAAACGTTCAAGTAATATGGATATCTCTTCTCTTCTCTGTCTCTCTGAATATAATATGTTCGTAAATTTTTACATTCACGTGACCTGTAAAATCATTATTCCACAATATTTACTACGTAAAAATGTAACTAACCATAAATTTAATTGGAAAAAGTTGACTGGCCCGTCTAGATAACCAATCAATACCACCTAGTTGCGAAGCATAAGGGATATGTAGTATTGATTAGTTGAATAGGCGATTGAAGTATATATTCTTAGCTAATAGAAATACCTAATTGATACCGAATGAATAACTAATTTGTGAGTATTTCTTTTTCTCTACAGCGAGCGTAGCGAACGCAATCTGGCTTGTAATAATAACAAGAATATTAATCCCGGAATAAGGTGAAGTAACTGAGGTCTACATAAGATTGGGTTAAAAGTGGATTCTGCTTATAATAGTATAATACTGGTTCAGTTGTTACCTAACTAGTTACAATTATGCATCTATCAGGCAATAGTGACACATTATCGCACATACTGGAAGACTTTCCTCCTTTAGTAAATCAAAACTTAACTCAATCATTTATTGGGAGCCAAATATGACCCGATATATAAGTTAAAGTACCTCGGTAAGTTAGTTATCAGGTAATTCCATGGTTGAATGGCCTGAAATGGTACCACCATCATGACATTGCCAACCAAGCACCTTTGAACAGCCTCCAACGCGAAATCTTCAACTTACCATTCCAAAACTTCCTTTCATTTTCGCGAATAACTTGACCAATGTCCATATAAACCGTAACTGTCGCTCGCACGGGGCCTCGGACATTTGCTGGGAGTTCCGAAATTGCTTCCCGCGTATCCCGGTAGCATTTCTCAGCCTTGTCGAGTAATCTTCTCCTCAACGGTATCAGCTTAGGGTCTCTAGGCTGATTAATCACCATAGAGGGAGTCAGGCCTTGCTCTGCTAGCCATAGGCTCGGAATATAAACGCGGCCAATCTCAGCATCACGAACAATATCCCGGGCGATATTAGTGTACTGTAATGCTCTGCCCATGCCCTCACCAGCTGATACCACTCGTAAACGATCAGAATCGCTGATAGACACTGGATAGTGACGGAAAACCAGCTCCAGGAGGAGGGTGGCTATGGTTCCTGCAACATGGTATGCGTACACTTCAAGGTCATGTTCTGTAGCAATAGGGAATATACCTCTCTCGGAATCAAACTTCATATCAATCTCAAAGCCTTTAAGGAGGTCGGAAAGTGGCCCCTTTGGAAGCCGAGATGCCGGTAACAAATGGACTGCAGCATGCAGCGGTTGTGGAATTGATTTCGTCAGTTGTTGGTAGGCCTCCTTGTTGTCCAGTGCAGCTCCCTTTAGTTTGAATCTCAATTCCAAAGCCTTTTCACACTGCTTAATCCAATATTGTGCAGTCTCACGATTGGGTGCATCATCGATTAGATCATCAGTTTTGCGGCAGAAAGAGTACCTGGTATATATGTTGTTAAAACATGCTATCTGAATATATTCGTTAAGGGAGTATACTTACAATGCGATAAGGTCTAACCGGATCTGCCCTTCAAAAATCGCACTTCCCAAATACATGCTCTGGCTTTTTTGCTTCAGAAGGGTGACAGCTTCCAACATCTCCTGGAGAACATTCGTGTCACAATGATGGTGGCTTCTCATGAAGAAAAGAGTAAGGAGCCGAGATATGCAGGGCGTTTCGCCAACAGCAGTGGATACGAAGGCTTTGTACTCGAACAGCGCAATTGCATTGTCCATTCCTGCAATACCTAGAACGATCATAACGTTTGTTACTAGAAAAAATAATGCTTCCCTAGATCAGTTGTTAGCTTTCAGCTAGAATTCTGGCTGGGCTAGATAACTGGCGGCTCACTCTAGATCAAGCCCGTCCCAGAGCTGGATATCAACTTTCGTTCCACTTTCTATTACCCAAGTTCCTCTTCTCAAAGCGAGAGTGTCAACTATCCAAAGGTAAAGAGTTGGTAGAACAATTGGAATCCAAAGGCTGGCAGAAGGGAGTCCAAGTAGGAAGCGATACATAAGGGGCCTATATACTTAGTAAAGGTCTTGTAATAACTGTTGGGGTTGTATCTTAGTTACCCACCATTGCACGAGCAGTATTGGAGAAATCCAAGAGAGAATCAATCCGAGATACATGTATTCGCCGCCAGTGCGGATACATAAAATACCCAGAACTGAGATCCCAGTGATGAACAAAATACCTAGGTCCCTCCATGTCCGAAGAGCTACAGTACCGAATAATCCCTGGGTCAAAGGCTTGATCGGTCCAGATAGGTAGGGCAGAAGGATCAATCGCTTGTTGAAAAGGATATATATAAGGCTGGTATTGTAAGTTTGAATAATAAAAAAGAAGGCTTCCTCAAGGGGGATTCGAAAAATGGTGTAGCCGATAACTGAATCCGCAGGATACGACCATATTCGAGTTCGAATCAAGTACGAATCCCATGGAGTTGTCCAAATGACAGCAATCTATATGGACATCGTCAGTTAACTAATTAGTGTAGTAAATCATTGCCTCGGAAAAAGGTCAAGTGTAGCCTACCGTACATAGAAACACAATTTTATAAACCTCCAGGCGGGTGAAGAAAGGTTTATAGAGAATTGTCAATAACAGAGCTGGAGGAATGTTGTATTTTACATGGCTATAAAATCGTTATTCAAAATGCATTTGCATATCTATTTCGATAAAAACACTTACACCATCAAATAGTCGAGCCCCATTGCTGCGCTTCACTCTGAGTGTTCTGGCAAAATCACCACAGTCCAAATTGTTAAAAGTTGAGCTCAACCATAACTGGCACTGAGATAGTGGCAGATATGGAGGGCATATTATACATATTTCGACTACCGAGTCTGGAAGCCAGGAAACCCATGGTGCAATTGTCAGAGTGTGTAACTAACTTGGCTGGAGTGTTAGCAAGGCCGAACGACATGACAGTTAGGGTCAAAGTGCGGATCCCCGGTGCTGAAAGTAGCCTTCCACTCATCCACTAGTTCCCTGCCTGGATTAGTTAACTAGTATTGGGTATCGCATTTTGTAAGTCTAGCTTCGGGAAACCCTCGATTACCCGCTGAGCCGACTATGCACGTCATCAAATTGCGGTGGTGGGTATCTATTTTCGAGAGACATCCTGTAAGGCTGATATTCTATGCGCAGAGATACGTCACTATCAAAGCTCCGGCCAATAATCTCTGGACCACACTTGACAGAGAATGCATACAGCAATGACAGTTACATCAACTTCATCTCTTGCTATGAGGTCAAAATGCGTCACGCGCGAGAGACAAGATCAACCTTCTCCTTTGTGATTTGACTCGCTGATCCACAATTGTTAAGGGTTCCATAGAAATATTCTTGCGACTCCTCTAGCTCGTTGCCCAAGAGGTTGTATATTGGTATATATGCCGGTTCCGCTCTGGTATTTGCAGAATTGGGTGAGTGACGAGGCTTGCGTTCGGCTATGGTAATGCCGGCCCTTCTGAAAACACATCCTGGTACAATGGTTGTCTAGAATCACCCCTGGCCCTGGAGTAACTTGTCTTGCAATTGATATATACCGGTGCCTTCATTTTACAGGCCCACAGAAAATGCCCTATATCTGCGAGTTGATCTACTCGAACTTTTTGCAGTACACCGAGATTTGTACCCCAGAATTGAATGACAGCCTGGTGTCATTTGGTGGTCTGTCATCTGGACTGCCGCAGTGTAAACTCCAAGTATATAGATGTATGTGTCATCAGCGAACTAGGTTCGTTTCTTTGGGGATTGACTTTCAATCCATGCGGCAGCTTAGGTTAGATGCCGACCCCAAGTTAATAAAGTCACTATTTATAGCACTGTCAAGGGTATATGTATGTATGGGTAACGAATGGCTTTTAATCCGCGGTGAATTACGCGATCAATTCACTCACGGTCCCGTTCCCCGCACTATTCTCACGGTCTCCGGCATGGCCATGCTTGGGTAGTACTCAAGGAAATAGTTTGTAAAACCTGTCTAGGCTTGTGTTAAGTGATCTGTTCCAGCCCTGGAGAATCTTGGAAGGTGCTTTTGAGTGTAATGTAATCTGCGAGAATGTATGCGTTCTTCCCACACTGGCGGCTTTATCCCCCCTAGTACCACTTTCTGGTGCTCCTGTATCCTAGTTGGTAGGAACTCGGGCAATAGTCGTATGATATAATGTTAGGAATAACCGCAGTTTTCTATGGGCCACCTCCGTTGCCTCTGTGATCAGGGTCTGTCGGAGCAAATGTTAGTTCATCTCCGATGGGTCTGAAAGGGATATCTTGCGTTTGATGTTTAGTTTGCTTGCTGCTAAAGCACTCTGCATGGGTATGAGCAAGACCATTGGCCAGCCATAACGTACCCTCGCGGCCATACGTAGGTGGCGGTTGCGATGTTGCGACCCGAAGAGGCTTGTTCGTGCTTGAGCTTCGAGTGTGATCCTTTTTTTGACTGCGCCATGCGAGGCTCCAAAAGAAGGCTCCATCCAGGTCGGATGACGCATTACGTGATACAAGCTTAAAAAAAAAAACACTGAGCGGGTTGCCAGGAATAAGGTTTGACCAATAGAAAATTTACAAAATATTATTATTAGTATACTGCGTTTCCACCGCTAAAACAACTTTACTTGCTCAAAAGCGCTTATTCAACAAGTTTTTTTCGAGTCTATTCGCTGGCGGATAGCAATTTTCCATTGGACGGTGTCGTGCCTCTTTTCTCGGCGGGTCATTGGCCAGCAAAACAACGACTGGACGTCCTTTTTTCACCGATAAATCGATAATTGACACTAAGTGAACTACTTACTTACTAAGTTTGGGTAGCAACTCCATTTCCCGCGGGCTGCAAGGGTTAGGTAACGACAACATAACCATCCATGAGCCATATAGATAATCAATAATTACATACAGCCTTGCGGCCTCCTCTCGCGTACGTTTCTGGGATATTCTGACGAAAGGCCAGCCTCGCTGTCGCCTCCAGCGCGCTGCCTCGGCCCGACTGCTCCACCGGGCTAACTAACTAATGCATTCCACTGAAGAGCCATCTTGACTTGCAGGGTTGCCTGATCTGTGTATATATATATTTACCACACTCTCCTTCTGATGCTCTTTTTCACGACGTTATCATGTCGGACAGGGTAGCTCCCAATCTTATACCTCCGCGCACAAGTTCTACAGGTGTCACCAAGCCCGCGGCTGAAGAAGAGTGGTTTGCTTCGTCTGCTAGAAGATCTTGTCCTGGATCTATCGGATATCAGCGCGGAAAACCATTCTCTATCCGGAGAGGAAAGCCCGCTGAAGGCATGTGGACAGCAGGGAAAGAGAATATTGTGCTGGGGCCGTACAGCTATACGGTTAACCAGCCCGGCAAGGATGTCCGGGGACAGCTGATCGCAGCGTACAATCGATGGCTGCAGGTCCCTGAGGAAAGCCTTGCGGTAATTACCAAAGTTGTCGTGATGCTTCACACCGCTTCGTTGCTGTAAGTCTCGCTTGCTCCGATAGAGTAAGCAGTCGGGAAATCGGAGAAGATTGAGCAATACTTTTTGCTAACACATCGCCTCCCAGTATTGATGATGTTGAGGACTCTTCCCATCTTCGCAGGGGAGCGCCAGTCGCGCACAACATCTTTGGCATCCCACAAACTATCAACTCTGCCAACTATGTGTATTTTCAAGCCCTAGACGAGATTCAGAAGCTGAAAAGTCCTGAAGCTATCAATATCTTCGTCAAGGAGCTTATGAACCTGCACCGTGGTCAAGGCATGGACCTCTACTGGAGAGACACCTTGACCTGCCCCACTGAAGAAGACTACCTAGAAATGGTCGGCAACAAGACCGGCGGTCTATTCAGACTGGCTATCAAGCTCATGCAAGCGGAAAGCAGTGTCCCTATGTATGTTTATCACTGCCGTATCTCCCCCCTCCCCTTGCCCCCTTACCTATCCACGATCTACATCGCTAACAACGCCATGAAGAGATTGCGTACCCCTTGTTGACCTGATGGGGTTGATGTTTCAAGTCTGCGATGACTATCTCAACCTTTCCAACCCAACTTACAGCAAAAACAAAGGCCTATGCGAAGACTTGACGGAAGGAAAGTTTTCTTTCCCTGTCATTCACAGCATTCGAGCCCAGCCCGAAAATCGCCAACTTATCAATATCCTCAAACAAAAGACCAACGACAACGAGGTCAAGAAGTATGCTGTGAAGTACATGGAGAGCACTGGGAGCTTCGAGTATACCCGCAAAGTCGCAATCGAACTACGTGACAAAGCATTTCTCCTGATCGATGAGTTAGAACGTACCTTTTCACTGATACCCAGCCAAAGCGAAGCAAACGGAGAGGCTGGAAGTGGCAGTTTGGTGCGTGCTATCCTCAATCGAATCATTGACCCCGTCTTGATGGACTGTGGGGATAAACGAACATCTTCTGAACACTGAGTGATCTATGTGGTTTTGATTCATGTTATTTTAATGTTTATTGTTAACTATAATGTTTTACCTTTTTTGCTTATCATGCGGCGGAATTTATGTAGCTAGGTACTGTCTAGCCGGGGGTGGGGTGGCTATCTGCTTTAACTAATAACTAATTTGAGACTAATATTCACAACTACTTAATGAATCTCATCATGGCTTCTATCTAAAGGCATTATATACGCGGCTCAAGGTTTGAAAAGCACGGAAAAGCAAGCACATAAAGGCGATCCAACCCGCACTCAACCGATTTGGTAGACGTTTACCAGTATCTAATAGTGCTTGCCAAACAAAACACTATTCCATCAAAACTAGAACACGAAGGGAATAAAAAAAACATATCTACCCATTATATATCCAGCATCAAAAACTCGAGGGAACATAATCCACCCATAATCATTTACATAACAATACAGCAAGCCTTCTCCAGCTTCCTGAGAATGATTGGCACGGCCTTCCGAGCAATTTTCTCGGCAGGAGTTTCCTGTTGATGGCCTTGCTGGTGATGAGGCTGGCCATGTGGTTGACCGTGGTGTGGTTGACCATGTTGCGGCTGGCCGTGATGAGGTTGACCGTGGTGAGGCTGGTTTTGGCCCTGGTTCGGATGTGACGAGTGGGGAGGCATGTTGGCAGGGCCGCCGGTGAGATTGACATATATCCGTCCCGCATTCTCTTCAGTGGCATACTGAAGGCCAAGATCTCGGCAGACTTGTTCAACGCGAGGTTTAATCTTCTGAACGTGGTTCACGGAATGGTTTCCTTTGCCGACGATCCTACGTGTAATTTCATGTCAGTCTCAACGCAGCCCAACGGGAGTGGGGTTCTTGCACAACAACATACACATGAAGATGGTCTTGTCCATGCTGTCTGGCATATTTAATGCGCTCTTCTAGAATGTCCTCTGCTTCTTCGACGAACTGGCCATGCAAATCTATGGTGTCCGCAGCAACGCGACCTTCGGCGTTGTTCTCTCTGAAGATGAACTCCGAGGCCTGCTTGTTGTACTGTTCCATCTTCCGGCCATGCTCCTTTCCCTCCTCAGACAACTCTTTGGCCCGCTGGCCGTCGCCATTCTCGTACGCTTGACGGGACTGTACGGGTTATTGGAACAGTTATTGGGTTGGTTCATGAAGACGCTCAATGCGCGGGGAGGAAGGTATTCATACCCGATCGAAACAAGAACCACGAAGTTCGGCCTCGTGTCTGGCCAGCCCTCGTAGCCTATCGTACTCCGCCTCTGCATCAGAATGCTGTTCATGGTTGAACGCTTCATCGATTGCCAGTTAGCAGCTAATTGTCAATGCGCCGTCGATAGCTGTCATCCGCCCAGTCAGGACTCACCGCGAGCGCCAATAAAGGAGGCAGACATAACTGCGAAGCAATATGCTAGCAGGCTAATAATATATAGTGACTTGCGATTCAGATGAACGACGTTCGTTGTCCGTATTGAATCGCAGTCTCGACGTTGCGATCGAATGTCGAGATTTGGAGGTTCGTTCGCATCGAACTCGAGGGCGGCCAGGCACAAAACTTTAAAATCCGATGGAGCGAACCGTCAAGATCCAACGGCCCCACATTTTCACTGCCAAGTAGAATATTGATATATATCTTTTCATTGATCAAAACAGATAATTGACTACGTGTAGTTACAAGTCCCAAGGAGAGACAAGCTTAGTAGTAACAAGTAATCCTATGTGACTTTATAGGCCAAGGACTGTCGAAATCCACTCTTTTCGATCACTAAATGAATGAGTAGAAGTTCACTGGTGGCTCTCGTATCGTGTTATAAAAGATAGACTTGCTTCTTTGAAGAACTCAAGGGTGCATCGTGTAATCAGCTCGTTAACTAACTCATCCGCGAAGATTTCACGTCAATGTCTATCGCATTCAAAACTCCTTCAGCAGACGTAGATCTGCCAGAGCATCCGCAGCCTCACAACCAGCACTTGACGTTTAACATAAACGACCCGGAGGAACGCCTTTCATCGTTTCGGATCAGGGTTCACGATAACGAAGCTCAGCTAAGCATGACATTCAAATCCCCAGTGCCGGACTATTTCAACCAGGGATCTCATGAGTCAGCTGCAAACGAGGCTCGAGAGCGCGAAATCGAAGGATGCACTTGGAGAGGCAACACGGTGGATATAGCTTGGCTTGTAACCCTTGCCTTCGTCGGGATTTGCAGCATTCTCATGCTTCTGGTCACCATTATTGTAGTAACTGCTTTCGCGGTGACCGGAAAGCTGCGGTGATGGAAAAGACTACGCTTGTCAGACGAGCTGCATGTTGCCACTGACAAGCTTCGATATGCGGCCTGTGCACAAAACGCAGCCCGGTGATGTTTGTTAGACCCTAGTGTTAGCCATGTCCCCGTCAAAGAGTCATCTGGATGTCCATTTTCAGCAAATAGGAAGCCCACTTCACCAAGCCCAGCAAAGGACTAAATTGCCTCCATTCTCTTGGTCTATCATCTTGTGAACATATGTACCCCATAGATAAGTAGTCCATGTGTTATCCATATCTCCGTCCCCGCGCACCTCATCTATCTTCGCTGCTTGATGTTCTTTCTATTAGTTCAATATTTTCACTTGAACTGGAGGGTTATCCTTCGGTTGTCGCTGTTTTTTTGCAGCAGAAAAAAGCCGAGGCTGGAAAAGCTTGGTTTTCTTGGCGCTAACTGTCATGTGGCGTGATCTTATCTGATCGTCTGCGTAATCTTATCTTGATCTGATAAGTACCAGGAATCCCCCTTCCACAGAAACCTCGGAAGCGTCTCCCCTCTTAAATAATAACATTCAACGTCACTTCTTCTGTTTGCTTCTCTTTTCCCTTCCGATAAGAAAGCGAATGAAGCGAAGCAAACACATAACACTCGAAGAAACAGAAGAAACATATCTCTGACCCAAAGTAAACCTGGTCTCTAGTTTATACTTCTCTAACTTTCTGTTTAACTCGGTGTCACTACCAAGAGCTCTTGTTAATTTACCTCTACGAAAAGATGAGGTCGTTTATTACCATATCCCTTCTTTTAGGCTCCTTAGGATCGTCCTCACCTATTGAATCCAGATCCGCCTCACAGCTTGATATCGAAGCACCAGAACAGACACGCATTGGCTACTTCGATGGAGATACCTTCTACTCCCCACCCTTTGCTCCTCCTCGTGTAGAAAGCAACTACGAGATATATGAAGATGGTGATGAGCCTGTATCTGATACAGCCATCCCAGACTGGTTCACAACCCATCTACTAGCACGGCGTTTGCTCGCTATCTCCTCTACGGCTGTACTTTCCACAGTCTACCCCAAAGGCTATAGAGACGGCACTCTCGACGGAACGCCTATTGGTTTACCCGACTATATAGCTGATTGCGCTGCCTATAATAGCAACGATGCCTTAACGAATATCCTTGGACGAGGAAATCCTCTTTTACTTGCCCTGAACATTGGCACGACGTTTAGGAATGCACAGGCTGGGTCTAAGGTTTCCCTATCAGTTGACTGGTGGCAGCACTCCCGTATTCCGCCGAAGGGAGAAGATCCTCTAGATCGTGTGCCAGCTGGGCTTCCTCGTCTTTCACTCCTCGGACGCATTGAAGAGATTCCACTCTCATCTTTATCCAAAGGCGACAAGAAAGCAATCGAGCAGTGCTTCCTCAAAAATCATCCAGACTCTAAGTATTGGCTCCCAGGATCACCGAAATCTCCGCATAGCGGATACTGGGCACGGCTTGTTGTTGAAAAGGCATTTTGGGTGGGGGGCTTTGGGGATAGAGCAAGAATAGGCTGGCTTGATATGCATACTTGGAAGGCTGTTCCGGAGAATAGCAAGGACGGGAAGAAAGGGTGGGCTGATGTCAAACTACCAGGAGAGTGATGGGAGTTTATGCTATAGTTAGTTTTCTCTACTTCATTTTTCCCCTTCCAATGCTTTTTTACGTTATCATTCCTGTTTATTACTACTGCATCAAATGGAAGACATCTTAGAACTACCACGCTTTGCTTTGGTTGTGCATATGTACTCCTCATCGATACCATCAGACCTTAAATAGCTCCTTAATCCTCCTGCCAAAAATGCTCTAGTACGAGGGCACTTCCCTGGAGTGCTAGCTAGATTGGCTTTCCTTCCTATGTAATGGCTAGGATCTACTGAGGCATCCTTGCTATTGCAGCGCAGACCTAACAAATATTGAAGTCAAGAGGAGGATTGAATTGTAATGCTATAGCTCCTGAATATTAGTGTCCAAACCGCAAGGCAAGTTACAAGACGAACTAAATCCTAATTCCGGTCAGAGGAAGCAAAAAATAAGTCAAAGAGCTTTAGAGGACTCGTCGAGTTTGATTATCCAAAACGACTCCGGCTACCCTTCAGCCTACAGGCCGCCGGGTAAGTGATTGCCAGCAGGGGCCGCACTCAAATTCCCACATCTCCTCGAGCTCATCGATGACTTCGGTGGTCACATCAGTCCAAGTTTTCTCAGCTGAACTACCTGTGCTCGTTCCAGCTGTCATCTCCGCTATCATTTCGCGTTCATGATGCTCTAGTTGCACAATTTCGAAGCGGTGACCGGCCCATGCACCTCGGTGTACGGGTGCTCCAATATTGACTTGAATCCCCACAGGCGGCTTGCTGGCCCAGGATGTTTTGAAGAGGATAACATCGCCAAGTCCCAGTCCGTTTTTCGGTTTGTAGACATACTCCTTCGTAGTGATATTTCGGAGTATCCACTCAGCACCTGGTGGGTAAAAGTCACCTTCAGTTGGGCAGAGTAGTTCAATCATCTGGCCGATAACGGTAATAGGAAGCTTGTAAAACTCTTCGTTGAACCATTTTGAATCGAAAAACCCACAATCTGAAGGCGTACGAAGTCTATGCGAAAGGAGAGGACGACATTCACGTAAAAACTCGGGCAGAGTCGGGTGATCGGTGTCGACCAGTTTATGCAAGTGCGGGGCGAAGATGCTTCTAAGCTGAGGGTCGTTAAATACCACAGGAGGGAAGTCATTTTGGCCAGCCACATCTCCAAGACATATGATACTCTGTCCTGCCAATTGTCCTAGGTTGATGGTAAGAATCGACTGGAGATATATTGCCAGTATCCTAAGAAAGAACCGCGATGTGAGGCCAAGGTGAATGATATCTAGCAAATCTAGCTTTTGAAGAATATGTTGATAGACCTTGATGGGAAGATGCTCGAGCTGCGGCTGGTAGTTTTCAAAATCATCCGAGGAGTGAGATTGAAGACTGGGAACGTCATCCTCGCTACACTTGGAAACCTTTGAAGGCCGTCCGTCACTCGAGCTGTCGTCGTCAGAGGAGCTTTCTTCTCCCCTCTTGCGTTTTGGTTGTTCGCTCTTGGCTGGGGAGACGGCACCTGCTGCGAGTTGTGTTTGCTGTATTGTCCCCATCTGAAGTAGCTCCCCATCACGCATTTGTCCCAACATATCAGACACGGTATCTGGGCTTGCTTCTGGCATACCATTTGTGGCTGCCAGTGAATCCTGATCTATTGGGGAGGTAAACCCCGTGCTGACACTGGACAGACTCGATCCCCCTGGCGTACCAGGAGAAGCCATAGTCGAAGATGGAAGTGGCTCGGTGGCTTCCATAAAGGCGTCTGACCTGGAATTTATAAATTAGCAGCAGAGTAACAAATGGGCGGAAAGACGCGCCAGGGTACCTACAACGGGCGGATATCCGGAACTGCAACATGGAACAAAACGTCATTGGCAGATCTATGTAAAAGCAGTCTCCTTAGTCTGTAAGGGCCACAGATCTTTTTACGGGCAGATAATGAAATGACGTTGAACCACATTTTGACCGGAGTCTCCTGTTCGTCTTCCGTCTCCTCGGACGGCATTCTGACTGCCACCTGCGGATCTCGCTTGACAGGGAGCGGCTTTTTGAACACAGAGTCTCCCATAATGGATAAAGGGGGTAGAAATGTTGTCGGTTAACGAGCTGCTTAAATTTGATTCTGTACCATATGAATATAAAAGCAAATGATAATAGAATAAAAAAGAACCTTTGGTGGCAGGATTCTAAGCAGCGTCCTGCCCATTTGTGTGGAAAAAGGAGAAGAAGAGAAGAAGAGAAGAGAGGAGGAAGAAGAAAATGTGAAGCTTTGTTTGTGGTTTCCCAGCAACAAGCTCTGTCGTCAAAACATAGAGCAAGAGCTACTCTGCAATTACCAGCGTTAGAATGGATTTGACTCTCAGCGGGAAAGAAAGGAGGTTGATAGACTCACCTATTTATTATTGTAGCATGCTAGTTGTTGTTATATATAGTGTTCTGTTCTTGTAGAGTTATGTGAATCTTTAGGTATGACTTCTATCATTTATTGATAGTTAATAGGTAATAAATCTATGGCTCAGGGGGAATTAAAAGAGTAACTCCCCCAGATAGAGATAGTAGTGGTAACAAAGAGATGTTAAAATAAAGTGTATTAACATGGAAGCATCATGTCTGTCGACATATTGCTATCAAGGTAACCCGTGGTAGAACAGCTTTGTAGATTCCCGTGGCCCTGACGCCATTTATATTGGCTAGGGATAGCAGGATATATGGAACATATGTTCTTCGTACTTCAGTCAGGGTAAACGATCCTTGGAAATAGCCTTTAGCCTACTTTGCAGGCATGTAGCTATTGGTCCCAAGGGGCCAACAGCATGACAGAGATGGTATACCCAGGTTCTTTTCCCCCCTCTAAATTCTGGTACCTGCTCATATCCATCCTTGGGGGTCCTGGTTGGTTGGTAGATGTTACCAGCATCCATGGTGTCAGACTGGGCTATATATCAGGCAGCCGTAAAACCGTCTGATAGCTCCTACCTAGGATAGGTCCAGAACAGCTCCGCTCACGATTTAAGGGGTAAGTTACAGTCTCGAAGTACCTTCCTGGCTGCGGCGGAAACTCGACCGATTTCACCTCCATCCTGTCTGGCAGCATCAAGACCCCGCTGAACCGGAAGGTGGAAAATCTGCGTAAAAACTCTTAGTCGGTCTTCACGAGATTCATACATGTCCGCTTCCTCGCTTTTGATACTGCCGAATAGATCGAGGTAGGAGAACGGGGACGACTTTGTCGGGAGAAGGTGGTATTGAACATGACGGAGAGGGAAACAAGCCTGACTATCATTAACTCCTTGTCCCTCTTTTGATAAGCTCTGCTCATCAGGCTTGCCGATCCCTGCCTGCAGAAACTCGGCAAATATTTGTAGTACCCTTGCTGTTAGCTTTCCCTCACTTCCAGATTTCCCAAATGAGGTTTTATTAGAAGACCATTTTGTTGAGCTCTCGGTATGCCATCCAAGTAGTGACAGGAAGCAATTCAGCGTTTTAACCCACCCCCCTGCTGCAGATACTAGTTCCTGTCCAGCGACCGAGAGCAGCCAGGAGAGAATTTCCACAGATGATAGCCTGATATCCGCCGCCAAGTGTGTCATTCCAGCTCGAACGTAAGGTAAAAATGTAGATACATGACCTTCCAAGTCAGCTCGGGGGAGAACCTTCAACAGCTTAAGAAGCTGGGTTCGCACTCCATTGTTGCCATCCAGAATTAAAGGGAATAAGAGCGGCAGGATAACTCCTACTGGTCGGGGAAGTGGTGAATCAACGGGTCTCGATGAGATAGCGGTAGTGAGATGAGACAAGGATTCCTTGCGCTGGGTATCGGTCTTGGAGCCTAATAAGGACAGCGAATGGATAAATTGGGATGATTCAGATGGCGCACTGGTTGAAAGTGACTGTTGATTTAAAACGATTGCTGAATAGTAATGTAGGTTAGCTCTGCCCACCTCTGCTCCGCACAAAACACGAGATCTTTTGTGCAAGCTAACCTTTCGATTTGAAGCTTGTATTTGTAAAATTCGACGGGGCTGCCTTTTTCTTGCCAACTTTGAGCTTTGTTTTCTATGAACAGTTAATTACCTGAGCGCTATAAAGCATTTCATCTCATATTCGAAGCTTGAGCGCATATTTACCTGGAAATCCTTCTTCTTTTCGTTTTTCTTTTTCTGACTGGAGCCCATTGCTGCCCGACTGCTGTGAGTCAAGCAGCTGATAGCTATTCACGGACTCAAAATATATCAATAACTAGGACGCCAGGTATAAGAAGCAGTTCCCGCACTTCAAATGGAATGTGGTCGCTGGAGAACTCCTTCGATGTCGTTGTCAAAAAAAAAAAGTAAAGCGTTCGTTTCTTATCAGGCTTGGCTTCCCGCTGGTTATCTCTGCTTAGTCATCAAGGAAAGCTAACTGTTTCGCCTTTGGTAGAAATAAACAACAAGAGCATCGCAAGACGAGCAAAGACGAAGCAAGGCTAGATATCTCTCGATACAAGGGCTGTTTTTGTTTATTTCCCGCCCAGCTCTGAAACACGGGTGTTCTCGGATATTTGCTTAGAAGATAATTGGTCTCTTGCTAGAAGATCTAGCGATGAGTGAACGGAACCCGGTTCGTGGAGAGCATATCCCCTATTCCCGCTTGCATGCCATACTAACTGCTAGCTATCAAAGCTGCCAGAGGTTCCCCAGCACGTAGCTGCGCAACTGTCTCACCTCACATCACGGCCCGGGGTACAATCGACATTGATACTTTCGCGCAAGGATGGCTCGATAATACAGACAACAGGCCTTCTAGCGGCGCCGAGCACAACAAATGGAACGTCACCGACTTCGGCATCATCAGAAGAGACGGCAACACCTTCGTCAATAACGGACCAAGATGGTGAACTCTCGGAGGCAGCCAGCAGCCCTATAGTTGTTCAACCTACAAGGGATGCAGTACCGTATAAGCCTAGCCCAGCAGAGACGCTCGCTGTACACATACACGCATTCGTTTCGTCTGCATCATCCCTGAGCACCGCTCTATCCTCACCAGCAGATAATGAAGACGACCATGAAGCAGAAAACGAGAAGAAAAGCTCTAATAAAGATAGTGAGCCAGCTGGCGGTAATCCATTTGAAGACCAGACACCGCCGGAACGCGAGGAAGATGACGAATTAAAGCTTTTGCGGCTAAGGACAAAGATACACGAAATAATCATAATACCAGATCGCAAGTATCTCCTATGTGTCGTCCACGATGTCTCTGCTACAGCTGGAGGGGCTGGTCCTCGAGGTTTGGCACATGTAAGGCAATGAGAAGGGAAATTGTCTTGTTTTCAAAAACAGACATGCCTTATATTGGCCTGCACCATGCTACGTGATATTTCTTGACAGCGATAAGTGGCTGTTTTTATGATCCTGGCCGTGATTTTAAGCAAATACAAAGGCACGTTACCCTATCAAATGAGTGTCTGATTGAATTTATTCAACATTAACCATGACTCTTACAAAATTTGCCAAACAAGTCCGTGTTCCTTTTGTGACCTAACCTATGCTCATCCAAATTCTGTGCCATAAGATGATCAACTCGCTAGTTCCACGGGATTGTTTCCTAAGAAAGCCCTGGACATCGTTTTACTTGGCTAAAAGAAACCAGTCGGGTTAGCACATGCGCGAACAACAACAATGAAGGAATAAACGAAAAAACCAGGGCCGGATTCGGTTGGGCGACGAACCGCCTGGTACACTACCTGTGACATTGGATGCAGCATCCTTGACAGATTGAGCAGCCTCCTGGCCCTTCTGCTTGAGCTCATCGACCTTGCCCTGACCTTGATCGGTGAACTTTTTGGCAGTGTTCTTGGCGTCTCCTACATATTGAGATGTGGTTAGCCTAGATGTTTGACCAGGTAGATTCGAAACCGATATTCTTTTGCCATCTGGTAGCATGCAGGACGTGTTTGAGGGAAAATATCTCACCAGGTTGCTGGGAGCCCTTCATCTGTTTGGTGACCTTGTCCATAATGTTGGTTTTGTTTATAGTGGTATCTCAGCTATCTAGACACGCTCTCCCGTCAGCTTCTGCTACTCAGCGTTTCTGCACTAGACATCCCACTAGGAGCCTCGGGCCATACACTCACCGTAGTCGTATACTAGTTCCGCTTTCTCTTTCTGCAACAGTCTGAGTACAGTTATACGGTGCTTTCTACCAAGGCGGGGGACTTTCACGTCTTCCGGCTCGTTCTTATACGGCGCCTCATGTTCCCCGTTCCACGTGATACTTGATCTGCAAACGTCATGGCTGGTCTCCACACGCACACTCTATCTTCATCGCTGCGGTCTACTTAGTATCAACTACAGTCTTTCGATCTATACCCCTGTGTTATACATTGAGACATGCTATTAGGAATGTTATGGCTTATACCGGAGTCGAGAATGAAGTTGAGAGATGCCCTGGTCTTCTTTTCATGCAGCCAATTTGCTCTGCGGCGTTGACACATACGGAAATTATATATCGAGAACATCTCAATGTTTCTCTCAGTCGCCACCAAAGGCGATTTCCTCTCAGAGTATAACAGAGCCTGGACAGTTCTATGTCTCCAGTTTTTCGTCCCTCGCCTCATATCCCAAGCAATCAACCTTTTTGGGAGAATATTTACCTGGCCTGGACTGGCTTAGTATGCCTCAAGAGTACATAGAGGCAAACAATGCAGAACACAGAGATTGGACTAGGCTATCTAAATCACACTCGTTTGTGGCTAGCACTGAACAGCAGGTTTTTCCTTGGGTATGACATCTCCAAAGCCTGATGATAATATCCAGCGCGATTAAAATCTACCCGGCCAACAGAGGATGTCTGTTTAGTCTTTCCCAGTCTTAGAGGAAACTTCATGGCCTGGTTCTCTGTGCACTTGGCTGCTTAATGTTCAGGAGAGGCAATTGAACCCTATTTTATCGATCTCTACAATGTGCCCCAGTGACAGGAAACATTGACAGGAAGTTCCTTCACAATTGGACCAGCCAGTATTACAACTGTGCAATACTGTAGCGCAACTATGTCGGTCCTCCGGTGTTCAAGGAGAACATGTTCTACTCTCGACTATATGTTGGACAGAACTTGCTAGAGTCATGTTACTCAACATCTCGACGCTGTGTCCAGCTCAACAGCCCCTTTTTATTGCGTGGAAGCAGTTTATCTTGAGGGCTTATTTCTATAAAACTACTATAAAGCTTGTGATTAACATAGGAAAATGGGTTTCAACTACTATAAACTCGTTAGTTGGCCTGCGAGGAACCCTGTTCAGGAATAGCTTATCTGTGCAGAATTGGATCTTACAGCAAGGCTTGGGACCTATTCTAACTCATTTTTAACACAATAACGAAGTCTTGCTTACAGCCTAATGCACCGACTTGAGAGGTAAATCCTTGTCTAACGGACAGTCAACTTAATGCTGTCAGGCATTAACTGCAACAAGTTTGTGTTTCATTGGATCCAGTGGAATGTATATCAATATACTCAAGAGGCCACAATAAAGGGTAATAGTACTCTTAGGATGTCGTGCTTTGGCTGTTGGCCAAGATAGTCACTCAATACCCTAACAATCACTCGAGAACACACTACATCTCCGGAAAGCTAGCTGTGGTTTTGATCAAGCTAAACTGCAGTGGAACGCTGTCTTCCGTGCGATGATGTGTTTAAGATAGCAATGCTACTTACCATATTATGTCAACTGCGACGCACAGAGAGCAGCCAATATATTGATATTGGTATCTGTACCTGAATTTACATTGTCACAGTTTCACGGATCAACTGGGATATCAATTGAGACCCCCTTTTTCGATCAAGAAGGAATCTCAGAAGCCACGTCGATTCAATATAAAAACTCCTTCCTTACCTCCTGATCTGTTCTTTATCCATCAACACCAGACTCGGGTCAGCAATTGATATTCCTCGCGGAGAGAAACCCCTCTTTAGATACTTGGATTTAGCACAGTTTAAACATCCGCTCCCTACATAAACATCAAAAATGTTCTTCTCTCACTTCATTGCCCTTGCTATGGCTACGAGTGTTGCTCTCGTCAGTGCCGGCCCAGCGCCTACCACAGACACCTGCAACGTCAATGTAAGCAATTATCAATATATCCTCTCAAAATTGACGATGTGCTAACACTTGTCCTGCAGGCTGCTATCTATAGCTTGACTGGGTTCAATGGCCGTCGCAAGGAACTCCCAATTGATGCTGAGTGCAACCCGCTGGCTGATCCATTGTATGACCTTCGAAAAACTTGGATACCATCCCGGCCACCCTATTGACAGTATGGTCGATCACTAACCTATATTATCCCATAGCGTTACCTCCGTTGGATCCGTGAAGTTACCCCGCGGTGCCCTGTGCCAATTCTATTCGTACGTCTTCTCTACAATATCCCATGAATAGTCTAGCCCCCTCCAAGCAAACACTAACAATCATCTAGCGATGAAAATTGCGAAACCAGCACTTCTATCGTCTCTTCTCGCAGTGTTCCAGATGCCTTCAAGCATGATGGCCGTCAAACTAAGAGCATCAAATGTCTCTATATCCCCGAAGAGGGTGAGAAGCCTGCCGAACAGGGGGACAGCGAGAGCGGATAGACGGCACGTCCCTTCGTTCAAGCCACGATGGAGCGAATGTCCCTTGTCATATTATACCTCCTTTCCCTTTCATTTCTGTGTGTTGCAAATGTAACAAACCAGTCACTCGTTTACGGACTTCATTTTCTACATAGCTGTTTAATTTTAATCCTCGATTCGGTCTCTGAGCTTCCTTAGAGTACGTTATCATCTTCTAGTCTTTGATAGCCATGATATTAGTGCTCATCAGTGTCTTTGGAAGTTGCACTGTGGAATGAATTTGTAGATTTCATCGTTCGAGGATTGATTTATTGATAACTCGCATCATAGTATTTGTACATTGAAAATTAAACATAACTTGATGACTGCTCCAGACACGCTAGAAAACAAACTGTCTCTCGACAGGTGGACCAAGCACCTCAATGAACGATCTAAAATATCTAAATGACTCGCGGAACATAATTCATCAAATGGTGGTATAAAATGAAATCTGCCAAATGTTTCATGGCTCTTTCTAGCTTACTAATATTCAACGTTGCTTGCACATGAGAAACTGGCTCCGGCCGGGCTATCATGAAGCGCTTTGCCGGACACATATAGACCAAGTCCGCACTATTAAACACATTATTAGTACTAACGTATAGACCAGATTCAGGATTCATGACTTAACACTTACAATTGTCGCACCAGCGACGAAAACAAAGGAGTTGAGGAAAGTGAGGAAGATTTTGCGTGGCGAGGAGAAGTATTTGCCCTTGTTGATGAATAGCCAGAACAAGCCGCTAAGACCATCTGTTGAATCCATTATTAGCTGTTTATTCCCATATTGTAGACCTAGATGGATTGGATAGATGGGGAGGAACTCACAAGTGAACCAACTGGCGAAAAGAGCAGTGATCAAACTGAGAAGGTTGTTGAAGACAGGGATAGCTTCGGCAATGATCCAGGCGATAACCCAGAGAACAACGGTAATAGCGACCCAGGTACCAAGGGAGAGGAAAGTCCGCTGTGACATCTTGTTGGTTCCACGGAAGATACGGACGTAAAGATACTTGCTAGCGACGTGACCGTTGATCACACCAGCAATGACAATCTACAGAATTGTGTGTCAGCAACCAGTGATAGTGGAGAAAATTCAATCTATTGCGACATACTGTTGGCATAGCGACTCCATATGCAACTTTTCGTAGGATTGGTCCCGTAGAGCCGAGGGCGGGGGAGGCAACATCCTTTCCGCCGTAAATATAGATAACAATAGCACTGACAGTGTATAGGGTCGTATTGCTTCCCTGAAGGAGGTAAAGGGCCTTGGGGTAGCCAGCAGGCTCCTTCAACTCAGAAATGAACCCGAAGAATGCCACATGACCAGCTGCACAATTTATTAATATGGATCATAACACAAAGCATTAAGTGCTCTTAAGGATGGAACGTACCATATGCGAAAACAATGTTGCTGACGGCCAAAAAGGCGTGGTAAAGATCGCTCTTGACGGTTATTTCAACTGCCTTTCCAGGATGCTGAATAGCGATTCCAATCATAGTGACGAACACGGCCGCCAGGATACTGATGAAAGCTAGAGGACAGTCAGTGGACTGGTAGCAGATAGAAGCACCTGAGCAGATAACAACGTACATGATATCGACAGCCAAGAAACGTTCTTCAAGGTTCGTGGAAGCGCAAGGAGTAAAGAAAGGATCATCCCGGCAACTCCGAAGACAATGCTGCATGTTCCATGATCGGTGAGGGTGTTCATCATGACGATGAAGGTTAGGATATGACTTCCCATAATGAAGACCAAGAAGAGTAACTGAGCAGCTCCCAGGATTTCTCGCCCGATAGGGCCCATGAGGACCTCTCCGGCATCCGCCATGTTGTGGACATGAGGATATCTCATCTTAAACTGGCCGATTACATATCCGGTGTATGTGGCAAGGAGGCCGAGACTTATTATAATAACTATAGCACTGTATAGAAAGTAGAAACATATTAGTATGGTCTTTGAGGGCTATAATGATGAGCGTGATGCTTACGGGACAATACCCAGCGCTGCGACCGCGGAGGGTAGGGAGAGAATTCCAAGAGATATCGTCTCGGCAATCATAACTAGAGCATTATTAGCTATCGACAGAAGGCCGCCCAACATAACAGCGGGAGTTCATACTCATTCCACATTGCCTGGATAGGTTGTTAGCGATCAAACTAGTTAAAGAGCCATAATAGGTAGCTAGCTACTTACCACCACGTCATGACCTTATACTTGACATCTGAAAATTCTTCATCTCCGAAAGGATCATTTTGGTAGGCTGGAAGATCTTTTGAGATCTCATTTTGCTCTTCATCTATGTTGTTGTTACGGAGAGAGATATCCTGATTGATCTTATCCTCCGATTTCTGGTCTGTCGACATGGCGACGGTGTGTATGCCCTGTCCTGTCTATCTTTTCCCTCTGTGCGGGTTCGGTGTAAGAGAGAGAGCTCTGTCAGTAAATGGGAGAGTGGTTGGCCGTGCGTCTGCAACAAATGGAGAAAGTGGCTGGTGGAGGGTATGTTGAAGGAGATGCAGAGCAGGCACGAGAGGAAGCTGAGAGAGTCAAGAAGAAGAGGAAAGGGAAGGATGTCGAGATGCTCAGCCTTTTATTGAATCATCCACTCTGACCCAAGCCAAAAGCAGGCTTTCCCGCTCTTGGGTTTTGGTAATTTTCAATTTCCCCGGTTCTCCGTCGCCACGCACAACAAGAAAGTTATGGGAGGTACAACGAGCCAACCCCCTCCCGGCTAGTTTAGAGTCAATGATGTAGATGGCTGGCCGCGCTGGCCCGTCTAAGTCGACTTTGGTTGAGCATCATGCGGGCCTGGTTTCTAGGCAAATCCACTATCCAGAGTTCGCTCCTTTTCCAAGGATCATGTTGGGATCAGGTTCGTTTGCGGTGTTAATTCCACACTCTCGTTCCCCGGACGCTCCGGAGAACAATCTTAGAAGGCACGAAGAAGAGCCGATCAACCTGTCAACTGGCAGGGGGCACACAGCGTACCCAATAGCTGTACTTGGCAACTGGCTGACCATGCTCTGGGATCAATCGGGATTGCCTCCAAGAGTGGAGCTGCTATGAGCAAGGCGACGATCTGCTCCGGCCGCTGACGTCCTGATGCAACCAGGGCTGACCAACAACTGTACCATCGCTCCACCGTCTCCGTGGGGCGCTGCAACAGTATTGCATCCTTCTCGAATAATATATGTCAGAGACGTGTGGAGCGAAGCGGGCCATGTCTTCCCCAGGGTGGTTGTCTCCGCATAACACAGCGTGGTTATAGGTTGTCTCCGCATAACACAGCGTGGTTATAGCCATACCATCACAACAACACGTATCTGTATAGCTTCACATTTGCAGCCCGCGCAGAAGTCGCTTTGTATACTGCATGTATAGAAGTTTGATAGAAGCTTCGTCCCTGCGGTAGAAATAAAGGCGGCCGCGGCTCGGAAGCGCCTTGCCGAGCGGGAAGGCCAAGATAAGCTTTTTTCTTGGCTGAAGAGTTTTCGTGCATAAGGCGACGTTAGGCGAGGTTGGCGGCGACGACGAACAACGACGACGACGACGACGACAACACAAGGCGAGAAGCGCCCAGCAATAAACATAAATCTACTTATTAGTAAAGCTGCAGTGTTTGTGATAGAGGACGTGTTAGGGCGACGGGAGATGAGATGGGCTCCATGGAGATTGCGGGTGACGGGGAAGAGGATGGGGGGCTCAGGCATGGACATCGCTGCCCAGCTTGACTGCGTGGTGGACACTTGCTTGTGCCCCTGAGCCAACCACCACACAGCAAGCCAGGTTGAGAGTGGAGGGCGCGCTGACTGATACTGTGGGCTCTAGATGCCGTGTGTTTTACCCCCAGGACCCCCGACAATCGTCGTCTTCCCTTTTACGGAGTGTACATCAGTGTGTATGGGGGTTGTACCTTAGCTATACATCCGGCCATCCCCGGCTTAACAGGCGGCTTTGAAATTGGCCAAAGAGCAGGTAGGCTTGGTTGGAGAAAGAGAGATGCCATTTCCATTAGTTAAGGTCTTCGAGAATTGTTTCTTCGTCTCCGTCTTTGTTTTGTTTGGGGGGTTTTTTTTTTATTTTTTTATTTTTAATTTATCCCTCGTCTGCATGATCTCCCTCAGCCCCTCCCCCAAGATAATCTGGCCTCTCCGCAGCTTCGTACTCAGCGACGAGGTCCATAACCACTTCTCGCGCTTCGTCAAACTCACCCAGCCCGTCTGCAAAGGGAGCTTCCTTTTTGTACTGCTCCAAAAAGGCGTTGCGTTTCCGCAGACGATCGTACTGGCTAACGATACGTTTGAATAATGTCGCCACTGAGGTATGATTGGCCAGCATCAAGCCACTGACTCGGTGCGTGTTCTGGAGATAAGGTGATTTCTTTGGGATAGCTACCTGTATGCTTGCCGGGCCCCAGGGTATGAAGGAGGCCAGATGCCTCTCCCGGATGCGCAAAACAGACTTGTGGACGTCGGTCTGGTCTGCCTCGCCCTGGATAATGTTAAGGATGCTGATATAGCAGCTTGATTTACCGGGTGTTATTGACATCATGCGGTTCTTAGGCTGGAGTAGCCTGCGCATCACATCCAGCACCGTCGTCTTCCGCACGGTCTTGGCCTGCTCAACCTGATCGCCGGTGAATGGCGTGTATGAAGTAATCAGGAAGTGCGCACGCGGGATTGGAATGAGAGATGCTATCACGCTGACAAGGTCGTTATGCATATAACCTGGATACCGAAGGGTAGTTGTCGAAGCGGACATGACTGTGGAAACCTAATGCAAGGGTTAGCTAACCGGAAGGAAATATTGATCCTGGAGCGGTTTCATCAGGCATAGGAGAGGCTCACCAGCTGGTTCGTCTGTTGGAATGACGGCTCTTGCACGTGGAGCCTGTCTGCCGCAATTCTGGAGAGTGCTCCATTGTCTAGCACAACCTAAGCATGCATTTCGCTATTAGTTGCCTGTCTGATGCCGTGTCTGCATTTTGAGATAGCTGGTGATAGGCCGTTGCAAACTTACGACTGAATCTGCATTTTGCGTAAGCCTTCTCATAGTCAACAGACTGTTATACGGGTTGACGACAACATCTGCAGCCTGCGTGTCAGGGAAGACGGAGTATGTCTGGATCAGTTTCTTTGGAAATCGGTCGTTCATTCGCTCAAGAATATAGCTTCCGAGTCCAGAACCTGTTCCACCTGCAATGGAGTGAAGCAGCATGAAACCCTGGCAGAGTTAGCTATACCATCCGAACCACCACGCCGAGTTGACATCACTTACCTCCAATGAATCACTGCCGTCTGCTTCTCGGTCAATCATGTCAAATATCTCCTCCTGCACCGTGTCACCTGTGGCATAACCAGCTGCCCAGTTGTTCCCCGCACCACTGCCATCTTTGCCTATAAAGAAGTTCTCCGGGTTGTATATGTTGCTGTACGGGCCGTTCTGGATCGTGCTGAGGACCTACATAGCAGTTAGCCAGGCTCCTTCAATATTATACCCATCGGGATATCTCGTCGTTCCAGTCAGGACGTACTCTCGGCTCAAGATCGATTAATATGGCTCGGGGAATATAGCGAGTATCGTCACTCTATACATCCTTTTAGCAATGCTATACGTAGAAACCACCGCACCATTTTTCCGAAAATGTAAATACCTGGTAAAAAAACACGTCTTTGCGGTCGCCTCCCTCTGTAGCAAACTCCTCTAGATTTCCATCCTGGTTGATGCCATGCTCCAGGCAGAGTTGCTGCCAGAACTGCGTCCCAACTGCAAGTAACCCATGTTAGCAGTCACACAACGCCAAATCTCAGAAGACTTCAGCTTGAACAGCGCAGTATATAGGGCGTATTCGAGTCTCTAGACAGTAGCGCATCCTTCTATCGAGCTTGTACGCCGTCGTCGGAGGGGCATTTAGGGAATCTGGAGAGGGGTCGAACGGGGGGCTTTTGACGGCCGAACATACTGTTATTGCCACACTGGCCGGCCTGGATAGTGATTATTTCCCTGCAGAGACCGGAAACGTCAGTATATCGTTCAAAATAAGACCAAAATCCATCGCCTGAAGAGCCTACCTGGGCATTGCTGTTGATTACATCGCTCTGCGGTTGTGGTTTTTCGCTGGAGAAACGCGACGCGCCGGCGGTTTTAACTAACCTGCGGGCAGCAACAACGTCGGCCCAAGCAACAACCACGCTGGTACGACAGACAGACTATTCGACGAAGATGGCTATTATTCATTAATGACAGCGTCTATATTGACAGAGACTACTGGCTTCTATGCGACTAGGATGCTGAATATGTGGTTATTAGCTGGCTAGCTACTACCGGCCCTACACTGCGCGAGCAAGACAGCAACGCCAGCAGCGGTTCCATCGACTACAACAGCTCCCTGACTCTCGCCGAAGCCCTCAAGAACAGCTTCTTCCATCCCGGCCATGGCTGCACACCCCATAGAAACCACCCGCAGTGACGGGCCTGCGCTGTCCTTCAGCCGTTCCCGTCGCTCTCTTGATGCGGGACCTGACCAGCTCTGCTGGAGCGCTGTGCAATTCGCCAGCCGTGAGCCCCGTTGTCTCGACACCCGCGAATGTCAAATCAGGATCACTTCCGTTGGACTGTAGCATCTCCTTCGCTGCGGTGTCAGGCTCTTCCTTCCACTCGTCTGCCGTGGTGACGATTCCAAATTTGCCTGGAGTATGCTGCTCAGCGAGGCACGCGCTGTTCAACCCGGCGAAATATGCGCTCATCTCTACGCTCGCATCCATTATGCCGGTCACATACTGTCGCCGTTTTTGGAACGGTGCTTTTCCATCGGTGGATTCACGTTGGAGCTTCTCATTACGCTCGCTGATTGCTCTCCTCAGCATACCAACCAGTGGATGAGGAGAGTAGCAGGCAACCAAGAAGGCGTCATACTCCCCTACCAACTCCCGGAGATGCGGGAAACAGTGTTCGGCAGACAGGGCTGATTGCCTCCCACTGTTGATACTAGGTATGCCTTCTAGGATATTCCCTTCTTTTGAGACAGTGGGCTCCGTGGGGGCTGTAAAATAGTCAAATCGAACCGCCGAGAGTTCTCCCGAGAGCTCATTTCCTCTACTATAGATTTCGGCAGCCGATTTGCCCCTGAAATTTACCCCATTGACTATCGGTTTGAAGGCATCGGTCATATGAGCTGATGTGTTTGGGTTGATTATGAGGAACCGTTATCGTTGCTTGTCCTGCTCCATTTTTCAAGCCCTATGCAACAAAAAAAAGAATCCGTTTATCTAGACGAGAGAAACAATCCGATGGATACTCGACGGTCGAGACCCTGAAATGTGTACCTGTTCCATCGGGATCGTGGTCTATCTCTGACCAAAACTCCATAGATAACGACCAAACCCACTGCCGAGCTGGCCGGCTGAGTGCTTTCGGCCCACTTGGAACCCGATAGAGAAATGCACCGCACGCGAGCAAAATAGACAGCTATCCATGGAACTAATTGCATTCGAATGTGGACGGGCTAACAAGTACTTAGATGAATTACACACTCTGCTCTAGTTTGAACAGAGCTGCCTTTGTGTCATAAGTATATTTCAGGTCTAGGTGCCAATAATTCGCTGTGGTAGCCTTTGCAACCATCCAAGCCTCGTCGAGTGCAGTAACAACTTCATCCGGAAGCGGGCCTTTCTCCAGGTCGTCCAGGTTCTGTTCGAGCTGTTCATAGCTACTCACGCCTATAATAACTCCGTCTTTGCCTTCTTTGATGTTCAGAGCAGAATGGTGCAGCATCCAGCGGAATGCAATCTCGACAAGACTTAGCTTGTGCTTTTCCGCCACCGGTTCGATAATCTTCAGGGCATCGAATGTGGCATCCTTGAAATATCTGCGTCGGTACAGCTCTCCGCCCGAATGGGTGTTGCTGTAGCGGCCGTCTGCCGGGACGTCTGCCGTTTTATACTTGCCTGACAGGATCCCGCCGGCTAGCGGGTTGTAGACAACAATGTCCATCCCATATCGCTTGCAGCAGGGTATTAGCTCAGCTTCAATGGACCGGGCTGCGTTGCAGGAAGCAAATAATTAGTTTTCACACCCCTTGATAAGACTGATCTTCATGGTGATTGTGCCACTTACTGATAGCATTATACATGCCCTGGTAGATTGTCGGCCGCACCCATCCTCGCTCGTTGCACATCGTAACTATTTCCGCTACCTCGAAGGCCGTGTAATTGCTCAATCCAAGCCGCACAAATTTTCCTTCCTTGTGCAGTTGATTGACTGCCTCCAGGGTTTCTGCAAATGGCACAGATCGATCAGCAGCGTGAAGATAGAAGATGTCAACGCAGTCCGTCTGCAGTTCCCTCAGGGACTCCTCGAGTTTGGCCCGAACCTTCTCCCCCTTGTGATCACCAGGAGCCCGAGGATACCATTTCGTCGCCAGCGTGAGGCCGCGAGCTTTCCAGCCAGCCTGGGCAGTGAAAGCTTCCTGTTTCCCGTCAACGTAGACCCGTGCAGTGTCGACTTCAAAGTGCCCTTTGCTCATGAAGAGATCGAGACATCTCTTGAACTCATCGATACTTGTTATCCGGGCCATAGCCTTCTCATCAGGGCCAAATGTCATAAGCCCCAGGATCACCCGGGGGACTTCCGGTACTACCAACATGGCTGGTTGGGTTGGGTGTTGTTCAGTAGGTGTTTAATTTGACGGCCCTTTCGGTAGGGGATGGATATTGAGAAAGGGCGGGGTGCTTTATATCCTTTGCCGCGGTTATGTACTCTGCCTGAGTCCTGGTTTATTCGAAGTTCGCTGTTGCTCGTATGAATTACTAATTGTTATCATTTAGTTCTTTGGCTTTCGCAGAGTAAGGCTGCTTGCTTGAAAAATCGGTCGTAGCGACCTCTCAGTATCAGGACCTCGACCCGAGATAAAACACTCTCCGAATATGTCTACCGCGAATGGCGGTGCCTCCTGGGGATGCAGTTGGCTATATTGCGCAATATTGACGGTCGAACGGACGTGAAGCAGTTATCTGATATGAGGGCGCTACAGCAGCGATATAGCTAGAGTGACGTCATTCCATCACAGGCAGTCCATACTCCAGACACAGCCCCGGGCCGGAAGATAGGAAAACAAAAGCAGGAGGCTGCTTGTTATCCGAGACTTGCTCAATGGAGTACGAGACTCACATTATCCATACTCTGTGCCAGTCAGTATCCTGCTTCCAGGTGGCGGGTGTAACGTGTACGCGATGTCCCCTGGCCAAGTGCCAGTTTACCCTTATTGGACGCCATAGCTGGCCCCTGTGCGAGGGTACTCTCCACGGTCGCAGCTATATATAGTCCTATGGACACGTCTATATTTGCTATCATCTTCGCTATAAAAAAACGGGGGGTTCTGGCGAGCCCCTGACCGCTGGCCTGGTGATGAACAGTGCCTCCTGAGCAGCGCCTTTCAACCATGCGGCCCACCACGCGGCCAACCAGGCACACCCAGCAGCGGCGTGACAAGCCAACGGCCTCAACAGGACCAACTTAGAGAGAGAGCAAGAAGCCAGACAGACACTCTTGCTCAGCTATCATAGAACTATCGAAGAAAATGCGCTTTCTTTGCTCTTTAATTGTGCTTGGAGACACGTAGACTTACTAAGCAGAAAGGGGGCGAAACTCCTTCAAATTTCGTATTTTCGTCATCGTCAACCGTCACAAAAAGGACACAGAAGAAGCTGAGAAAGGACGGAAGCAGAAAGGAGGACGCTCATGTGTCTCTACAACTGAATATTGCTCTATCAGCATCACGCGTGCTACGTTCCGCCTGCTTCCCATACGCCAGAGGCACACTGCAATTGATTTGGCCCGTTGGCTGTTCTGCGCAACCATCCGATGTCACTGGTGCTTCACGACCGGACGTGAGCCGCAAGGCCAGCAGCCTCTCAAGCGAAAAGAAGAGACGGACAGGGCAAAGCTGAGCGCCCAAGAGACAGATCTACAAAAAGAGAGTCGATAGGAGATCTGTTTCCCTTTCGAAGGAGCCCGCATGGATGTCACCACAAAGCTTTAGCCAGCCAGCTCATCATTCTCACACTCCACGGGACGAAGATCAGTTCAACAGTTCTACTTCCGAACGGCGCAGCTCGCTTTCTCGACGTCGAGCGGCAGCCGCAGGATCAAGCAATATCTCGTCCAGCACTGACATTCGGTTGCGGGAGTTGAAACCGGCGAATAAGTCTACCACGCTCTTTTCCGCCGACGACCATACCAAGCCATCTTATACTTCAGCAGAGGAGGATTCGGATGGAGACATGGCAATCGGACGCCCCAGCATGCAGCGCCCGGGCGAGAGCCGGTCCAAGGTGCCGCTCTTGAAGGGCGAAAGCCGTGGACGGTCTGCGAGCGTCGGCCCGGCCAGCATGGAAGAAGGACGGCCATCTCTGTCTCGAGCACGGCCGAGTTTTAGAAGCAAAAGTCCGGATTTTGGAGCAAATAATGCCACAAGGAAGAAATATATCATTGCTGCCTTTGCATTGTTCATCAGTCTTATCAGCTTTACAGTGCAGACTCAGACTGCCGTTTATATCCAGCAGGAGTTGGGATGGAATAAACCATATTGCATGCTGTGAGTTGTCATCTTATTTTATTTTTTATGTGCCTCCCTCCCCCAACCCCGATGGTTACACTTTTTACGTCTTTGTTCCCACTAGCTGTATAAGCCTCGAGGATGCTAATGGCTTGTCCGGCGATGATATAGTTACCTTACACATGGCTCGTGGATTTTCCTATGGCCGGTCCAGCTGCTTGTTCTTCGAATTCAAAAGAGACATCTCACATGGTCTGCATTCTGGCGTAAACATGTCTATATCCTACAGACAACGGCACAGATGGTCGAGACTCAGGAACTGCATCTCACCACCCGCCAGTCGAACAAGTCTCCGATCCCTTATATGGTCAGGACGACGGTCTTCGTGGCCTTGGCTCTCACCATAGCAGGAGGGTCCTGGTACGTTGCCGTTGACCTAACCACCAGCAGTGACCTGACTGCGATCTACAATTGTTCCGCCTTTTTTGCCTACGCATTCTCCATCCCCCTACTCAACGACAAACTACGATTCGATAAAGTCTTCTCTGTCGGTGTTGCTATCGTTGGCGTCATTATTATTGCATATGGCCCCGGTGGTCCTCCGGAAGGTGCCCCTGCGGGAGATGCAGAGACCCTCAAAGCATCTAACAGGGCGTTGGGTAATATTATTATTGGCATTGGCAGTGTTCTTTATGGGCTATACGAGGTTTTGTTTAAACGGTTTGCTTGCCCGCCGGAAGGGACAAGCTCGGGTCGCGGCGTCATATTTGCAAACACCTTCGGGAGCATGATCGGTCTATTTACACTTCTCGTTCTTTGGATTCCTTTACCCATCTTCCATCTCCTTGGTTTGGAAACCTTCCAGCTGCCACGGGGAGAAACTGCGTGGCTTCTTATCATTTCCACCCTTTCAAATGCCAGTACGTATAAGTCCCACTTCTGCCCTTAATCACCACGGGTATACTAACTAGTATCCTCCAGCTTTCTCGGGATCATTCTTAGTTCTTATCTCTCTTACCTCACCGGTCCTCTCGTCTGTCGCAGCACTTCTCACCATCTTCCTGGTTACCCTCGTTGATTGGAAATTCAACCACAAAGCACTCGGTTTCACATCTATCGTTGGTGGTATCTTGATCACCGTTGCCTTCCTACTTTTAAGCTGGAGCACATATCGTGAACTAGACGAGGAACGAAAGAAGCGACTGGAAGACGAAGGTCCGGACTCGGAGTCTGACGAATGAATTACCAGCTCATGATATACTTCACCCTGAACCCGTAGGGCGACATGTAATTTTAGGGCTTCCTCTTATTCCCCCTTTTCCAGGCTTTTTCTTCGTCCGTTTTTCCACTTGACATATATAGATTTCACTTAGTCCCTGGACTCTTTCATTCACTTGTAAAAATAACTTTTGAAACATGTTTATATGGTTGATTTTTTGGCTCCTGAAGCTGGAAACCATGGGTGGAGTTCTAATATATTTTCAACTCTGTATTTTTTCCTCGCTAAATTGTCCCTGATGTTGTGATATGAGGGATGTTCAAATCGGCACGGAAATACTAGTCAATGAGCAGGCAAGCGAGGCTATATCTTGATTTGGTCATAAAGTACGTACTGTGGAGAGCTAGGTCTAGTCTTTGTATATGCTGATTTATCTAGGGCCCAACTTCTCCAGGGCCCTCGGGCCCTGTTCCTCCCATTCCTGTTTTGAGATCCACATGTTGTCCTTGTCGGCGAGCTATAGAGTTGGTTAGTTTGAATTACTTTAAGAAATTTAATTGGAGGCGTCTACACTTACCAGATTTGCAAGTACCGCACCTCCAAGGAAGACCATATGTCGTCTTCGTGGGGGATCTTCGATTCGCGGTTTGAATTTCTATTTAGGTGTTAGTAACTAGCGATCAACAAAGCTGGGGAAAGGATATATGCAGTCTTACGTCTAGCCGCTCGGGGTCGCCATGTAGATTTCTGGTCAACCATAGCTGCTTCAACTCCTTTTCTAGTCGGGACGGTAGGCCCGGGTACATGCTGCTACCGCCGCTTAGAACAATAGCCTTGTACAAGCTGCTTCTCACATCCACGTCGGCAGCTTGTATGGTGTTAAATAATAGTTCGGCAATACCGGGTTGGTCAACATCGACGAGGTGTGGCTGGAATAGACACTCGGGCGCCTCGAAACGTTCGCTTCCGACCCTTATAACTCGGCCATCGGGGAGAGTATATGATTCCACCAGTACAGTAGTGTCTTCAGAGAGGCGCTTGTCCAGCTCCAAGTCGTACGAGACGTAGCAAAGCTTCTCTTTAATCTGGCGTACGGTTTCAAAATCCGCTGTCCGATTGAGGGCGTAGCCTCGACGAAGGAGAAGTGCAATAAGGTTACGGGTGACATCTCGACCGGCAACGTCGAGACGACGGGTCAAATGGTTCAGGACTGTGGACTCATAGACCGGAATAACGTGAGTTACGCCATCGCCAGAATCCACAACGACACCACTGCTCAGTCCTAGTATCACGGTGTGTCAGCATTTGGCCATGACCAGAGCAGAAATTGCAGATGAAAGCACACCTTGGGCATAGAGCGCTAAGACAGCCTGGATGGCAACGTATACGCCGCCAAAGTTGTATCCTTCAAACATGGTCTCACACATCTTCTCTCGGTTTCTAAGAGGGTTCATTGGAGGTTCAGTCAAGAGGATTTTTCGGCCTGTGGGATCAATCTTCATCTTGTCATAAAAGGTGAAGTTCCATAGATGCTGCATATCTTCCCAGTTCTTCACAATTCCGTTTTCCATCTAATCAAACCAGATGTTAGAAGTGGACCAGGCAGCAACGGTAATCACAACCGAGGCGGGTGTTCGTGCTCGTACAGGGTAGGAGATCTGAAGCATAGATCTGGCGGCAGCGGCCTCATCTCCACACATAATATCCTTGACTACTATGTCACCAGCCTGTTCTTCTGTTCGCAAGATTGGACGCCCGACTATCGAGGGGAACTGGTGTTCTGGGAAGTTCTGGCGATGCGGGGAGATATACAATTAGCAACCACTCTTCTCCCAGATCAATGGATGGTGTCTCGCAGGGGTTTCTACCTGCGCGGCATATCCGACTTTCAAGAAACCCGTTCCGCCATCGAGGACTAGAATGTGCCATAGTTAGCAGCTGAAACTATATATCGATGCATGAGGAGGGGGTAGGTACCGATTGGAGGCTCCGCCATCTTCTGTAGAATATGAGGTGAGAATGAGCACTTCTTCCGGACACTTGTTGTCGCGTAGAGAGAGCCTCGAAGCAGTGAATATCAATGCTGAGCTGCCCTCGCTGGGTTGTTTGTTCTCGCTGTCTGATCTTGTGGATGCTCGCGATGTCTGAACTTGAAGTTGTTGCGTAGTTCGTTGCGTTGCCGCCCGATCAGGTTTAGCGCGTTTTTTTTCCAATATATAAAACTCGCGGAACTACCATGGAGGCGGACAACTACAGGACAACTACAAGACGGGGAGTTATTACTCTAGGTGTTTTTTAGATTATGAGTATTGGACTGGGTTAAGGCGGATAGCAGGCTACAAAGATGCTTAATCGATATCTATCAACTCCAAAGCGACGCCATACCTTCGGTAGTATCAATGTCTGGCTATCACCGCTGTATATACTCCGTAGACATGCTGAACTTCTCGGAAATCAAATGGCGAACCCCAACTCCCCCGCTGAAAGCATCTGAATGATATATCAAGAAAAAAGTCCCAAGTAGGCTACTGGAAGGAATATAAGAGTACAAAGGTCAACCGCTGCTCCGGTTCTTGTGTTGAGAATTCGACTCAGGAACGATCCTGGTTGTGTCGACTAGATGAGGATATGTGGTTGCAAAAAGCGTTCCCAGAGACCAGTTATTCAGGTCACGCAAGTGCCGTTCAAAGACTGGGTTTATTATCAGCTCATCCGAGTCATTAGTGGCAAGGAGGGTGTCGGTGGGTTCATAAGGCCAGTTGAGACTGAGCCCCGTTGTGTAAGGGATAAACCAGTTGGAGAAGTCATAGTCCGCATACGAAGCAACCATTCGGTCCCGCATACGGGGCCAGGGTAAATAGTCAATCCATGCCGCGTGGGGAGTTACAATTTGTGATGTCCGTGGTGTCATCCACTCAGGGAGACGGTCGTAATTCTCACGGGTTGGGTATATCTGCCACCTCATCAGGAGGAACATGACATACAGAACTGCAACTTGCTCTGGGAGGTTCGAGATATTTGGGAATTTGCTGAGAATATCGGTGAATACCTTTGAAAGAGGATGTGAATAGATTCCTTTGGCCGGGTTTAGCAAAGAAGAAACACTGGGGTAAGGAGGGCCGACAAGCTGCTTGTTTGGAACACCTTCGGCTGCTTCTCGCTGGCGGGTGCGAAGGAAATCAAGGAGGATGCCATCCAAGGGGCAGGTAGGCTCAACATTTCGGATGGGTGTCGAATACGGACACATGTTTGAGTCTCCATACGATGGAGTGTTCAAGCGGTTATTGTACGACAGGGGTCCGTTGGCGGAAGAAGAACCAACACCAATACGGAAGTTGTTTATTTTGGGAACATTCTGCGTTGAATCCAAGAGAAAATTCAACCCCAGTCTCTCGCCGTTTCCCGAAAGCTCTAAGTTATGCGTAAGGCTACGCTTCTGGTAGTCGAAGAGCTGGTTATGCGGTGGCCATGCATTATCAGCATTGCGAGAAGTGGGTGCATTCTGCTGCCAGCTTTGCCGATGGCCGTGCGCCTGGCTGGAGGCCGACGGTGACGGACTAACGCTTGTTGCAGGGGAGCTTGTATAGACGCCAGCGCCGCCGTTAGTAAATTCGGCGCTCGCGGGGTTTCGTAGATGTCGGTCGGATGGCTCACCCTGGGATGCCTGATGCTGAGAGCCTGCGTAGTCTGACTGCGGTGGCGGAATTGGAGGTATATCTGCATTGGTAACGGAACTGGGCCTATGGGCCCTCGTGGAAGGAATGTCGTCGTGAGGACTCAAAGGCGGGATTGTCGATGTGAGAGGTCCTGAATGATGATTGAGGATCGGCTGAAGGGTCGCCATGACAGAGGCAAGTCTTCGCTTGATTTCATTGTTCTCTGCCTGTAGTATGTGTTTCTGTCGTAGGGCTTCTTGGAGATCCTGATATGGCTGTAAAGAGGTCAGTTCACGTACCCTCTGCTCCAGCAACTCAATCTGTGTGCGCGTCCGCTTTCGAATAGCCCGCTGCGCCTCTCGGTCGTTCGCCCGTTTCTTCGCCAGCTGTTCCGCTGTGAGGTTAGCGACTCCTCGTGAGGACGTGCTCGCTCGTTTCTTGCCAGGCATCGCAGGCTCTGCTGACGCTGTCGTTGGTGCTGTAGCCGCCGTAGCACCACCCACCGATCCAGCAGCCGAACCAGAACTGGGACCAGATGCAGATCCGGGGGAAGCTACGCATTCCTGCTTCACCGAGGGCGAGTCGCAGGCCGACACCGTCTCCGAGCCAGGTGACACTTGTCCAGCCATAGTGATTCTTTGATCCTTCGTCGTGACGTAGGGCTGCCACTTGCTTGCGTTCATCCGCTGTCTTCCCCCGCGGCCAACGAGAATGCATGTAACGACGGGGTTAGATGCGTAACGCGCGACTGGGTCTCTCCCAGGAACCGGGCGGAGGAGGTCGTTATTTAATTGCGACTTCAGCGGACTCTTTTTTTTTTAAGCTGATAGCAAGATAGTTCGGTTTCTTCCAAGGCGAAGACGAAGGAGACAAGGTCGCCCGAAGCTAAAATCCAGCCCCCCTGAAGGGTCTTGGGTTGCCTGCCAGTTCTATATACCGATTCCGGGTTCCTTTTTCCTTTTTCCCCAAGCCCAACACAGGACTCTGGAAATGCGAAGATAGATCCGGGAAGTCGGGCAGCGGCCTTCATCCAGCCCTCTGGGGACAGGAGAGGCGCTTTAACTCTCGTCGAGCCCCAGGGATGGAGCGGGATGCTTCCATGATTGGCCTTGTTAGAGCGCCACTGTCGACTTGGGGGGAACTCCTCTTCGTTCTCAGCTAGGGGCGAGGGATGGGAAGTTTTAGCTGCATCTTGCAGGCTTCGACAGCAGATGACGACTCAAGCCGAAGTTACTCCGACTAATATAGGCAGAAGAGATGTCGAATACAGAATGTTACATAGGTTAATATGCTAGCATGCACCGATAGACTTGGTGAATATGCTGTATTGTTGGCGTTGGTTACCAGTTGACCTCAGTCAAAATGTCCTCATCCCAGAGTCTTGCCCGCCGGGTAAAGACGATATGCAGATACCATCACGATAGATATTTTTGGCCTGGAAGAAAAGCCGGTTCAAGCCAAAATTCGAATGACTGGATCAGCATGGTGATGGCTGAGTTTGATTCCAGAGTTGTGTCGCGTCAGAAGCCTGAAGACTCGCAAAGCCGAAAAGGTCGAAGATAGACTCCGTATAAAAAAGGAACGAGCGTGATACTACCCCCAAAGCAATGATAGCACAAGCCATTCGGATAGGGACACCCCAGAAACGACGAATAGGGTCCCCAGATCCAGCCGTTGATCCCTATCTCTGGCTCAAGTGCTTAGCTGTTGCAGGCGGCATGGAGACCTTGTCCTGCAGTGTTTGTACGCCGTGCATATATTATTATTGGCGAGCATGACAACTCTTCAATGTGTCTTGGATGGCTACCCGTTACCTGATTTGTTGTTAGCATACGGCCAACAGGCTTCGTTAACTATCCCATCTCGCAGCCCGGTCCAGAGTCCAAACTGTACAACTCAGAATTCGCTCTGCCGTCAGCCTCAAGAAGGGGGGAGGGGAAAAATATTATAAAACCACAAGCCTTTCTTGAGGAAGGAGGGGCTTGCTTCAGGTCTAGTGATGGCGCTAGAAAAGTGATACCGAATGCGCTGGCAGGGGTGACTTTGCGATACATAACTTGTAATTATGCCAGTGCCTTCATAGAAGAAACTCAGGGATGGACGTATCCATCCCAAGCTCATCAAGCCAGGTGAGAAAGCTTTCGCCAGTTCCAATAGAGATACCATTGGTCAAATCATTGCCAAATGGCTCAGGGTGTAGCATTGGAACCCCCAAATCGTAGGGCTTAGTGTTTTTCGCCGCGGTATCGGCGTCTTCTCCTGGGGTAGCACTGGTCGTACTTTGCGGGATCTCAGATGGGACGGCTAGTTCAGTGACTCCCTGCTGAGCTCCTATTCGTCGCTGGCAAGTACCAGGCTGATAGTTGAGAGTATCGTCTAGAAGCTTATTGATAGCTTTACTAACCTCCACACAAGTATTATGAGTGGCATTAACTGGCAGGTCAGTACATTCGAACCATGAAACTATCATGCTGAGGTTGCGAACGACTTCTGACCGAGGTGCGCTAGATGATAAAGGGGTCTCGGTGACCGTGCATCGATGTAGCTCAATTGCGAGGACACCCGCCGTTGGTAGAGCATAGAGTAGAAACTATTCGCAAGGGTCCTATATTTTAATATCGCCCTTTATACTCTATAGAGCCGTGGGTAACCTGGATAATTAGATGAACTTACCACCCAAGCAAAGTCTTTCCAAACTTTGTTACCCTTCTTCTCCCCCTGTTTGGTGAAGTCTATCACAGCAGAAACGGCTTGCATCGAGCTGTCAAGAAGATCCCTTATTGAGCCCTGCTTTTCTCGACAGCGTATGCGTTCAATCTGAAACATTGTATGTATGCACTCAAGGTAAATCACAAGGCTCACAATGCACGTAACCGAGTCGAGCGTTTCCCAGCAGTTAGTTCGATAGTGGAACCAACCGGGAACCCCATCCAACATCCGCTTGCACTCTTGATACGTTTCCCTAAATAGCTGCATGTTAAACCTATCATCACTCTGGAAGTAAACATGACGCTAGGCAGGCGGCTTACTGCAGGTCATGAGAGAAATTGGCCCCTTTTCGACCAAGAGACAGCCTCAATACTTTCTCCCGAAAAATTGAGGAAAAATAACGCATCCTGATGGCGGTTACAGGGCGTATTTTACCCTTTGAGGTTCCTTCAGAACCCCAGCCGTCGTGCGTAAGTTTCTGTAGAACCCTGTCAAGCTCGTCGCCTTGAAGAAAAAGCTCGTCATCATCAATATCGAGAGGAAGGGATGCATCACAATAGTGATAAGGAAGGCGTGGGGGCCGTCCTAAAAATGTGGCTATATTCTTATCTGTTCGATATGTTGCTGCAACCAATCTCTTTCGAACTTCTGAAAGGAAAAAAGGTACGTCCGAATCTGGGTTTTTGTGTCGATGAAGGCCCATCCCATATATATCGGTGACCAGGTCGCCTAGAACTGCGTATACATGGTGGCCTAACTGCTCAGTAAACGTTTCCCGGGTAAATATGGGGGGGGGGTATGAAGGGAATATATTTACTCGTTTCTCCCAGAACATCCGACGATAGCACTGCATAAGTGTACTGTAGCCAAACCATTATATCGTTGCAGTTGTCATAGCGTTTGCATAGTTGAGAACAGCTATTACATGCAGCAGCCATTTCCTTTGCGAATGCTTCTCTGTTGGGAACCTCGTCCTCAGGAGGGTAAGGCGTTGCCGTAAGAAGATGGTCCGAAATAGCGCTCAGCCCAGCTAAGGAAAATATTACTCCGACAAACTCCCATCTTATGTTCTCTCCAGAGAACAGAGAACAAAAGCCTTCCAGCGATGGAGTACCGGTGACTTGCAGTGGGCGAGCCGTGTTCTGAGTTATCTTCGCGTACAGTTCACGCTGCCGTGACTTTTGAAGCCATCCACCGGCATCAAAGTAGGCCCTAGTGGTCCTTATAGGAGCAATAATGAGCTGCATTGGAATAATAGTGAGGTTGCATCTTTCGTAGAAAGAAATGATTAGCTTCTCGTAAAGTTCGAAAGCGGAAAGCAGTCGAGCCAGGTTAATTTCCGTATATGCTGCATCATAGCCCCATTGTCCTAGATCTACTTGTGGCGAGAGGACAGAGCAGCTGGAAAATCCAGATGGAGTGTCCTGAAAAACGGAGAGAAAGCTGGTTGAGCCAAGGTAGGCATTCTGAATGGTGGTCCCGCCATCTGCTTTCTCCTCTGAAGAAGCTGGGTATTTGACAAGGATATTCTCGACATCAGATATACGCCGCCCCGAGACAGATGCTCTAACAACACTAGAAGCTTGTGGCTTGGTGACTCGATTCCGGTCCTTAACCCGAGTCAAAGGGGCCTCATGGTAGTAGCACTAGCAATCCGATTAATATCAAGGAGTAATCCGTAAAAAAAACATAGACATATTCCGGAGTACCTTGTCAGATATCCCTTTCTTCACGCACCGCTGACAGATGGGCATTACATGGTCACATCTGACCTTTGAAATTCGGCATGGCTCACACGACGTCGGCTTGCCATTCTTCCGGAACATGTTGACGCGGGAGGTCCGGTCCGCCGCGTTTGTTGGGACAGCGGGTGAGGCTTCCATCTGTTCCGCCATCTAAGTGGACTGTTGGCTACCTTGAGCGAAGGTGCAAAATTTCTCCTTCGTGTCCGCGTTATCATCTATCTACTTATAAGAGTTATCGCCCTTTTTTATCATCGACTGTCAACTAAAAAAAGGAACCGGCGAGCCATATCACGTGTTAATTACATAAGGTGCGCCCTGGCTTGGCACTAATCTTATCTAATCTAATCAATCTTGGCAGTTTTCTTCCCACAAACTGAAACTTGACAACGTCTGATCATGGTGGACGTACATGGTGTATCAATGTGATACAATATCTTGGTCCTTTATTGAGTGCATTTCATGATACATTAATCGCACCCCGTTGGTGGAGCACATGGTGATCAACATGCACACCGCGGAGACTTTTTCGGAGCGTTATGCAGCCCCTCGCATCCCGGTCTTTGATGATGTCAGACAACAATTGGTTTCGAAGCACCTTGAGGGCATAAACGCCATAATACCTAAAATGTTCGACAGAAACCGAGCAATAGTGTTGTGAATGTCTCGTTACCCATCAGATATTATTGTGCTGACATGGATCAGCTCATGGAAAAGTTGGCGTCAGTTGTGGGTGATTTTGAACCTCTCAGGTGCAGGGTACACAAGGTTGGAGCCGCACTTTATGCTCAAAAGCCCCATAATCTCAGCCATCTGGTCGAGAATAAAACAACCAAGAGAATTAAAAATAGTGCTCGGAGACAATTTGAAAATGTCTCCGGGGTAATTGATGGATGTTGAAATGGATGAGTCTGAGGTATAAAAGGACCTTGAAGCATCGCTGTGCCCTGAACTTTTCTCAAGGCATCAGACATCCCCTAGCCAAATACCCTCGTCACAGAGCATTCAATACCTGGTATTCAGCCTTTATCAACATTGCCTTAGCAATCAATCATGAGTGGATACAATCACCATCACCACCACCACCATCATCACCACAGCCACGGGCATGGCCCCAGCCATACCCAGGTCAATGGAGAATACTGGAGGTACGGCCCCATTCCCCCTCCAGTAGGTGCTGCCAGGACGCTGAGAAATCTTTAGTTCCGCTGCTTCGACTGTGTTTGACACTGAATGGGTCATCTCCTGCCAAAAGCAGATCCGCGAGCACCTCCAGGAGAACCTGTCCTGGTTCGATGCTCATCCCCCAACCGATGGTCAGTTGAAAGGTAAAATGATGGACTATGCGTGCGGTGAAGGATATATCTCACGGGTAAGCCATGTCTGCTCTTCAAGTACTTATATATTATCTCAACTAACCAATGCACAGTTCTTCACCCCTTATTTCTCCAAATGCATCGGCGTCGACGAGGCCGCCGGCATGGTTGAAAAATTCAACCAGACGGCTCGCCAAGAGAAACTGCCAGAGACTCAGATATATGCTGTCAAGGGCAATCTGACTGAAGCCGAAGGCACTCCCTCCATTGCCGGAGAGGAATTCTTCAAGTTCGACCTTATCATCATCGTCCACGCGCTGCATCACATCGACGACCCACAGAAGCTGATCAACAGGCTCACCGAACGTCTTAGACCAGGCGGTATTGTTGTTGTTGCCGATTGGGAGAAAAAAGGAAAGGACGTTCATCCCGTAGATATTAATCATCCTGCCGCGCACACGGTGTCTCATAGTGGGTTCACCGAGAACGATATGCATGAGTTTTTCAAAAAGGCAGGCTGCAAGGAGAGCGAATATACGGTGCTGAAAGAGGAGATGACCGTTCCTGAGGTCTGGGGTGGGAAAAAGACTCTATTTTTTGCGAAGGGGAGAAAGTGATTTCCTGTTCATGTCTTAGACTAGATGGTGGCTGTTTGCCTTGGTATCTTCTAGACATCGCTCGAATATAGACTGGAATCAGTATTTGAATTTTTCAAGCGGAAGAAAGGAGAGAGCCGTCGACACAAGCCAATGTGAACATGGTCATGTAGGTAGCTGTAGTGGTTGGACGTATAGGTATCTGACAAAGTGACCTGATCATGAACCCACACAAGTCATGTAAAACCAGTGGAGAGTAAGCAGGTCTAGAACTGATATCGCAGTAATAGTATAGTAAATTATAGAGAGTCTGCCAACTCCAAGATTCATATTAGCGATAATTAGCTTGGATTCCAAATATGTTCAAGATAAAAATAACAATTGAAAAGTAGAAATCTAGACATTTGCCCCCATATTTAAACGCTTGTCCGGAAACCAAGATCAGGTATATCTCGATCTTTGAGAAGATGATGGGGGGTGTTTGAGGACCTTTGGCAGGTTTCGCTAAGGGCAAAGTTCACCTTTAGAGGAAGCGAAGAAATCCAAGGCTTTATACAAGGCTTCGTACGGATGGGAGAATCACATTAGTAGCATGCATTGCATAAACCCCCCTAATATAATAAAATAACTAATTAGTTTATTATATTAGACCAATTGTCGGGGTTTGAAATGTCAACATATAAGCTGCTTTTAACGATCGGAGAATTGACACTGAGTGATACTTATAACCCGGCTTCTCTTTTTTTTTTTTTTTTTTTTTTTTTTTGGCAGGACAAGGACGCTCTAATCCTAGATAGATACCGGCAATTAATAGTCGAACAGTCGATTCACTTAAGGGAGGTGTGGCAGGAAGTCATTATAATAAAGCAAAGACGTCTTTCTATATGGCAAAAAGAAGGTATCATTAAGGCTATAAGTGGCTACCTAACGATCGTTCATTTGATCGGGCCGTGCCCAACTACCGCGGGTGGGTTGAAAGGTTCTTCCCGGTCATATAACACTAGCTTGTTGATAAAAAAAAATCAGGCTGAAACAGCAAGTAAGTTTAGAGGCTCATTAAAACGTGCAGAAATAGTAAAAGAAGACTCGCTGTAGATGTAAACAGATGCTAGAGAGATGGGTCCTGAAAATATAAGTGGCATGGAAATTGAAAAGCAAATGGAAATGCAGATTTTGCGGGTTTGCGGATTGTGCGATGGGACGGTGCTAAACGGGGGTTACCGGTCTATTCAAGCATATGGCCCATCTTCCCGATCTATGTTAATCATGTCAGTGGCGCATTGAGACACAGAAGACAGGAATCAATCAGCCAATTTTAACTGACCTTGGTTCGAAGGTAGCCTTCAATCTCAATACTTTTGATACCCTTGGCACCGCCTGTTTTCCACGCAAGCGGTACCATTGGCACTCTCTCCTGGACGACAACTTCCCTATTCGGTCCCTCGATAGCAGCCACTTTATCGGGGTTATTCGTCAATAGCCGTATACCGCCATTGGACGAGTCCTGTCCTAGTCCCAAGTCTACTAGGATTGCAGTTGCTAGGCCGTAGCTGCGCGCATCTGCGGGGTGGCGAAGGAGTAGGTTGGCTTCGACGGTATCTGAACCGAGGTCTTGCAGATTGTATGCCTTGAGCTTCTCACCGAGGCCAATCCCACGACCTTCCTGACGCAGGTAGACAATCACACCTCCAGGTCCCGAGGCGTCTGTATCTTCACCGGATGGAGGTGTAGCAGGTTCGGACATGAGGCGAGCAGCTTCATCAAGCTGCTCGCCACAATCACATCGAGCGGACCATGCTGTTTCACCGGTGTAGCATTCTGAGTGTATTCTGACCAGCGGAGCTTGAGAGAGGGTCTGTACGGAGGTGTTCTTTGGAGAATGTGTGTCTTTTGAGGGAATAGCCTCGTCGTACCTACTGCTCTGGCGTCCTGGCCGCAGTCTGCCCACGTATGCGCCCCTGATCATACGATCCATCTCTGTCTCACCTTCTCGCACTCTATCAAGGCTCCGGCTGCGGATTGAGTTGCCGAACACAATAGCCAAATGCTCTTTATTATCGACATCATTCTGGTATAAATGCAGAAACATCTCCGCGCCGGATGTTGTGGGTATACGGGCACGCACAATGCATTCTACCTTTGGGAGATGTGGGAGTAGTCTGGGAGCTTTAGAAAGTGCTCGTTGGTCCTCTAAGCCGGCCCGTGGAGTTATAATGGCAGGGTACGCATTGCTGGTACCGGGGCTGGCCCTGGTGACATCCGGAGTGGACGCCGGAGTAGAGGTAGGGGATAGGGCGGGAGATATTATAGACGGCGGCAAGGCTGGAGTTGAGGCAGAATTGGGAGCGGCGTAGCCATCGGCATCAATATTCCTGCTACCGGTGCTGGTGCTGGTGCCTCCCGCGAAAGAAGACGACGGTAAGGGTATAGCTGTGTCTTGTGTCAGGGGAAATTCGGTGAGGTGAGGGTGGAAGGGCCGCGGGGCGATAAAGGGCGAGGCGTGGGCTGATGGCGAAGGCATCACGACGTCGGCTCATAGAAGACTCTGACTGGCAAGGGGGGAATCGAATGTTTTTCTGCGCCTCTGTAACTCTCACTCTCTCTCCCGTCTTGTCGTCCGCTCTTTATCCTTTTTAAACACCGCCGTTCTGCTCCTGCGAGTTGGATGTTTCTCTCTCGCCCGCTCCTTTCGGGCGCAAAAAGCAAACCTCGGCAGCCGGATGCTTAGTCATCAAGAAAAAGTTTCCAGATGCCAAGAGATGCCAAGAAAGAGCTCAAAATTGTCGATATCAAAGCTTTGTGCGAGGATGAGGAATGACTTTTTGTTTTGGTAGATAAAATACACGGAAGAATGTCCAGAAGTGGTAGATGATAAGTAAGTGCATAATACCTGGGCCCAGCACCTGCAGACAAAGATATAATATATAAAAAAAGAAAAGAGAGAAAGAAGCGGCCATGGCTCCTGCAACTCCAAATGGGACGAAGACCATAAAGATAGAATGGTAGAAAGATAGAGATGGAGAATAAAGATAGCAGACAGACAGACGAGACAAAAAGGGGCAGGGTGGTTCACTTGCTGGGGATATCCAGGACGTAGCGGCGGTCGACTTCCATCTCCTTGTTGTCCTCCTCGCCCTCGAACTTGAGGCGGTAGACCTCCTTCTTCAGGCCCATGACTTCGGCCCGATAGAAGGTTGTGGTGTCTGGATACCTGGCCAGGACCTGTTTGCCGATCTGGAACTGGGGGAGCGGAGAGCCAGCCTTGGGGATGTGGATCAGCGAGGCTGCCGTGGTCTTGTAGATGGCGCCCTCCTCACCGTTTTCGATCGGTTCTGGGTCTTGTACATCATACCTGCGAGTAACTCGTCAGTTAAGAGATCTAACTTAAAAAAAAAAATAAAAATAAAAATAACGGTAGACTTCCGGAATGCCAAGCGTACCGTCGTTTGTTCCCTTCACCGGTGATGTTCTTGATGATGCACTGGATGCCCTCGCCCTCGACGCCCTGCTGCTTCTTATTGTGCTTGAAGACAACTTCTGCACCGATGACAAGGTGGTCCGCCTTCTCTGACGGACGGCCTCCCTCCACGCCATTGTCTAGTGAAGCGGTGTCACCGCGGTGGCTGCTAGACACGCTAGTGCTGCGTTGGGCACCGCCCTTGATCCGGTTCAGTTTGTCAGACGAGACGCCTGAAGACGAGGGTGCCGGGGACTCGGTCGAGGCCAAGTCGACGTCCCCTTTCCGCTTGCGAGACTTGTTCTGCGAGAGAGACCGGCTCTGGGGGTCTGCCGCCTCTGACGCCGAGCGGAGGGCTATCAGGATGCCCAGGTTCTTGGTAACGTCCGCGGGCTCGTCCTGCAGGATGGCCCTCTCCTCCGCGCTCAGCTTCAGCTGCTGCCGATGAAGACTGTCCAGATGGTCTATCTCCGCCAGCGATGGTTCTATCTCGATATTAGCAACCCGTAACAATTAGGTTAGACATTAAACAAATAAGCCAGATAAATGGAAACAAACGTACTGTTGCCGTTCCGGGCAATCTTCTCGTTGAGGGCGGCAATCTGCAGGCCTATCGTCCGCTGCTTTTCGTTCTTCTCAGCGGCCTTTCGGATATCCTGACAGATCTTATTCCACATCTCGACCTCCTCGTCGGCCGCCAGCCCATTCTCTCTCGTCGCAGGCCCGCGCGGACGGTTGCGAGACATGTTGATGACGACCTGCTTGTTGCGCTGCTGCTGAATATCCAATGCTTCCCAGGCGTACGATGTGTGGATGGTCAATGGCCGGCTGCGGGTACTTCTGACGTTGTAGCCGCCGCTTTCAGTCTTATGCTGCGACGAGCGCGGTGCCGCTGCCGACGCCGCCCTTATTGGCCCTTCTTCTTCTTCTTCGTCGTCGTAGTAGTCGTAGTCGTCGTCGTCGCTGTCGCTGTCGCCGTCGTCTGTTTGTGCTGCTGCGTCTGAAGCTGAACCATGGATGCCATCAGCGTCACCGGCCGTCCCGCGGGTCCGCTCGTCCTGCACCACCAAATCGATGACAGTGGCCGGCCCGGTCGCTGTCTGCTGGCTGTCCTGGACTTCCTCCGCTGGCTGCTGCTGCTGCTGCTGCTGCTGCTGCTGGAGCTCCTGGCGCTGCCGCGGCGTCTGGGATGGGAGTCGCTGCAGGAGTGGCTTCTGTGGCGCTGCGCCGGCCTCCTGTGGCTGGAGTCTGCCCGCATCTGGCTCCATCCAGTAGTTGCTTGCCCCTCGGCGATGATGTAGCTTGTTGTTGACGGTCAAGCTTGTGCTTCTTCAGCGTCTTCCTCTTCTTCTTCGTCGATATTGCATCCTTCTGAGACGGTCTCGCTGCGCTGTAGACATGCAAGTCCCTCTCTTCCGTCTCCAGTGTGGTGAGCTCGTCCCTGCGTAGTTGCTGCTGCTGCTGTTGCTGGGAAAGCGCCTGCTAACTGGTGTCTACAGGAGTCAACAGCTACGACTGGGGTGAGCATGCCCTGTTTTGCCCTGCTGGGCGATTTTGCCCTATTGCAGGAAGCCTCATGGGTGCTTCGACGGCTCCGGGCATGGCCAATTGCTGATATCTCGATTGTTGACAGGCAAGGTTGGCTCTGAGTCCGCGGCGGCCAGGTATGCAGCTGCCACGCCCATAGATGGCTTCTCGGTGGAAGCAGACAAGCCATACGCTGAGGTAGAACCATTATTGCTATTATTATTATTATTATTATTATCAACGGCGATACTGTTATAATGATACTGACAATGTGTGTAGCTGTGGATGGGAACACACCCTTCCCTGCCGTCCAAGGATTTCGAGACCCAGAGGACACTGCTCGACCTGGTACAGACGAACAAGGCTCTCATGTCGACAGAGATAGTCTCTCGATACGGAGGAAAGCTGCCCTTCCTCTTCAAGATTCTGTCTATCGGCAAGGCGCTCAGCATCCAGGCCCATCCGAACAAGAAGCTGGCTGAGTCTCTGCATGCCAAAGACTCGAAGAACTATCCAGGTATTAACCTGCTTCATCCGGGACCATGAGAGTAAACACTCTACTAAAACGTGATACAGATGACAACCACAAGCCAGAGATGACCATTGCGGTGACTCCCTTTGAGGGTCTCTGTGGCTTCCGTCCGCTCGCTGAGATCGTCCACTTTCTACGTGCTGTCGAGCCACTGCGAGACCTGGTTGGCTACGAGGCAGCAGAGGCCTTCGAGAAGACCGTCAGCGGCCAGGAGATGACTCAGGATGAAGAGGCTACGCAGAAGAACAAGACTGCCCTCAGAGAGATCTTCACCAAGCTGATGCAGTCGTCGCCAGAGTCCATCACCAGCGCCACCCAGAAACTCATCAGTGCCGCGGAGAGCTCGCCAGACAGCTTTGCTACTTCCTCCTCCTCCCCAGATACTAACCCAGCCAATCCCTCGGAGCTCGCTGAGCTGGTCGTCCGGCTAAACGGCCAGTTCCCCAACGACATTGGCCTCTTTGTCCTCTTCTTCCTCAACTTCATCAAGCTTGAGGCCGGAGAGGCCATGTTCCTCAAAGCAGACGACATCCACGCCTACATCAGCGGAGACATCATCGAGTGCATGGCTTCGTCAGATAACGTCGTCCGAGCCGGCTTCACGCCCAAGTTCAAGGACGTGTCTACCCTGACCAGCATGCTTACTTACTCCTATGCACCCATCGAGGAGCAGAAGATGACCCCCACGGAGTACCCGTATATGAAGATGAACACAACAGCCTACTCCAGCGGATCGTCAGCCGCGCTGTACGACCCTCCGATCGAAGAGTTCAGTGTCGTCAAGACCGATCTCAAGTCTGCCGGTGCCAAAGCAACCTTTGAGCCCATCAACGGGCCCAGCATCATCATCTGCACCGCCGGCGAGGGCAAGATCAGCGTCGGCCCAGCCAAGAGCTTTGACATGAAGGAAGGTCACGTCTTTTTTGTTGGTGCTACGGCTGAGTGTGTCATCGAGAGCACCGTCGACGGCAAGGACTTGACCACCTTCAAGGCCTTTTGCGAGCTCGACGATGGCCCCATCAACGGTAACCTCTAGCTTGTCGCTGTGCCTAACTCGACACAGCGTTAACTGCCTTTTTTTACCTTCCACACTTTTAAATGGATCATTCTCTACCGGCCTTTTCGACGTAGTTTTTCCGTTCTTTGTCCTTCACGAGATATTCCTCATATTCCCCCCTATTTGACAGCATGTTGCTGTCCCAGCCATGAGAAAATGAATATAACTAACTGTTCAAACCAAATATATTTCATAAATGATGACCAGCAACCTATTCTAGTAAATGGACTACTTACGTAAGCATGCAGAGAGTTAGTATTTCGATTACATAATTATAGAATAATGAGGCATTATTGGATAGGAGAGAAAGATTTGCTTATTAAGCTATATAAACTACAGATATATCGCTTAATAAGCATTCTACATCTCATCCTTCTCCCCCTTCAAGCTTGCTTCCCCCCCTGAGTATAATATACTCCCCCTAAGCCTAATCTCTCCCCTCAACTCCCTATAAGCTATTCTTTTTACCCATAAGCCATTTACTTTACATATGCCTTTTCTTAGTTCGGGACATCATGTTCCCCATTTCTACTCCAGAGTCCGGGCGGCTGGGTGTCATTTCACGTGAAGCTTCCCCTTGCGCCGAGCCTCGGGAAGCCCCTGAGTGCCTGAGCATGCGCAGAGCCTTTCTCAGTCATGATCTCAATCATGATCGCTGTACTTAAGCCAAAATATTAATGTATTACCCCGTACCCCATGTAACTCCGCTTGTCGCAATTCCGGGGATGAAATAAATAGTCAATTGAAGAGCTTGATTCTGTCTGCTTAATTGAATAATACCATAATACCACACATTCGTCCCACGCTGTCCTGCAATAATGGCGGCGGAGAAGGCCCTTGTCCCCGTCAACCCCCCCGTAAAGCTGACGGTGCAAGAGAAGCTTGACTTGCTACGAGCTGGTATCGGTCTGCTTGCGACTGGCATCGCTGCAGCCATCACTGGCCTGGTGCGCCAGCAGGATGGCGCCAGATCATACAGGACTCACATTCGCCATGCGGTCGTTCGGCGATTCCTCTGGCGGATGTCCATAAGGCAGCTTCAGTAAGATAGTTTCCCAAACGGCTCGCATCTTCTTAATATAAAGCCTATATAGACTGACCCGTTATCCCGGCAGCTTCATCTATCCATCTACTGCGCAGAATTATGAAACGTTCTCGAAGAAGCGTCGCCTCAAGCCGGATACCGTGCAGCTTGAACATGGCGCTCAGGGTCACTGGGTTGGCAAGAAAGACGCAAAGAACGTAGTGGTCTACTTCCACGGTCAGTACACCAGCGCTCCCTGACATGTATCTAGCGTACCTATCGTATATATAACTGACCAGAGTATAGGCGGTGGATTTGCACTCCCTGCATACCTAGCTTACTTCCAGCTGTACGCTGACATGCTCAAGAAGCTCAATGCGGCCGGCAAGGACGTCGCTTTCTTCTTTCTCTCATATACCCTCACTCCTGAAGGCGTTTATCCCACGCAGCTACGACAAGCTGTCGAAGCTCTTCGATACATCATTGTCGAGACAGGCCGTGAGCCTCAAAACGTCTTTATTGGCGGTGACTCGGCCGGGGGGAACCTGACGATGGGCGTGCTTTCACATCTCTCCCATCCGCACGAAGCTATCAAGCCGTTAGAACTATCCGGTCCGCTTGGAGGTGCGTTCACCATGGCCCCATGGGTTTCGATGGATAAAGATTATCTCTCATACACCAGCAATGCGAAAAGGGATTACCTCTCGATGAAGAGTGGAGAGTACTGGGGCAAGGTGTACGTCGGGGACGGGAAGTTGGACAATTATATTCAGGCCAGCCAGGCACCGGTAGAATGGTGGAAGGACGTCAAGACAAAGGCACTGCTGGTATTTCTAGGAGGGGATGATGTGCTCGTTGATGCAGTCGGTCAATTTGTTGATAAGATCAAGGTAAGACGCGGATATATTCCTCCATCCATCAGTTTTTGACTACACATCCTAATCTTCTGGTAATAGTCTGCCATTCCGAATCTAACGTATGTGGTTTGCGAGGGTGAGCCACATGTTGGTCCTATATTTAATCGTATCATGGGCATAAAGAAGGAAACTGGAATGGGCAGCACATTGCGGCTTTGGCTCATGGAGAAGTTGCCGTAGCGGATAGACTAGACGAAGACGACAGCCACCTTTAGATACCATGCGTTTTTGCTTTAATGTGATACATATTAATAATGTCTGGTGATTTCAAAGGCGTTACCAAAGTTACAAGATGTAGATTTGGGGATGGTAGAATTGGATAAACCGTAAAATTCATTATCACTGGAAGAAAAAGCAGGTTCTATGTCGTAAAATTGAAGATAACTAGGCCTTGACGGAGTATTTTGCTGCAGCCGTGTCAAAGAGTTCCGACTTTTCCTTCAAGTCGGTAAGGAATGAATGGTCAGGCTGGACCTTGCTTAGTCTCCTACATTTGTCTATTAGCATGGTACCGAAAGTGTACAATCTCGCAGCAGTATTGACTTACTCTATCAGCTCGTCCTTGTCCTTTCCACTGATCGCATTCAATACAATAGAGTTTGCGAGTACATGAGGATCTTCAGGATATTTCTGGAGAGCAGACTGTAGTGCGGCTTCTGCCTCGGGTATGCGGCCCAAGTGCAGTTCAGACACTGCTTGACCGACTATTGACAGTGCGGAAGTAGTGCTGGGGACGGAAGCGAGTTCTTCGTAGACGTAGAAAGCAGCCTGGTACTTCTCACCACCCTGATTCAAGCCAAGATATTAACCTTTTTGTATATTGTACTGCATTTCATGAGTATGAACGTACCACTCTCATGCCAACCCACGACTCCGCCAAGTTGACAAGCAACGAATCCTGTGCCCATCGTCGAGCTGCCTGGACTTCTTTCAGAGCGAGGTCTGATCTATTCTGCTGGAGGTGTATCTGGACAATCAAAGCGACACTGTAGTAGCCGGACTATCAGCCGTGCATTCATGGCGTAGACAGTGTACGGAGAACGTAGCACTCACGCCTCTAGGTTTCCAGAATGCTTCGATAGCAGAGCCAACGCCTCGGCGGTCTTGTCTTGTGCATGCAGAACCTGGCCAACCAGCACCTGCACCGCTGCATTATCCTCATGCTTAGCTGCCAGGTCTTCGGCCAGCTTCAGGGCTTCTTCCTCGTTTCCAGAGACATGTTGAGCCAACGCCACAACAGCATCCAACTCTGGTGTATCTCTCTTGGCTCCCAGGCTCTTTAGCACTTCGTTACTTTGCCCAAGAGCAATCTGTGCTCGCAGCTTAAGGACACGGGCGGCAAGAGTGTTTTCGGAGGAGAAAGAGGAGGTATCGAAGTCGACTACTTCCTGGTACTGCCCCTGGTAGAAGGCATTGTGGATGTTTAGGAGCTCTTGTTAGCAGCAAAGTTAGCCATGCTACCACACTGCCATTGGAAGCCCGTACTCACCTCCTTCTGCTGAAAAGGGATCCATTATGTTGGTTTGGAGTACTCAGTACCGTCGTGTAGAATATATACTATCCTGGGTCAACTTCTATATTATCTACTCGTTGCTTTGGGTGATAAGCCACCTGCACCTTTTCGACAGACTAAACGCTGACTAAGTAATGACTAAGCTCCGGTTGTCGACTTGAACCAGATACGAGAAAACTAACTTCAAAACATCGAGAAAGCGATTCTTCTACTGATACAAACAATACAAAAGACAATGTTTGTTTAAAACATGCCATGGTTGCTTTCAAGGTCCTGGAATATCCCGTCCCACTGAGTATAATCCGTGGTACTGTTGTATTCCCACACGTTTCCCCATAAGCCCCCAAGCGACCCAACTTCCATGTTTTGGAGGCAGTTTCCATCCTGTGGATACCCCGGATACTCCATGGGGGCTGATTCTTTCGACGCAACCACTGGATCGTTCCCGGCTTGACTGGCGACAGGCTTGGGCTCGAGGTTAATAATTGATAAGAGGCCCCATTTTGCAGCAACCTCTTTGAGCTTCTTCAGGCCTCTCGCAGCAACCACACTACTCTGAGCCGCTGCCTCCAATGCTCGGCAGCACTCAAGCACTTCTTCAGCCCGTTCCTCTGATCTCGGCTCATTCCTGTTGAAATGATAGTCCATAGCTAGGACTGTTGTGACCAGGAACAGCTGGTATGCAATGGCCCAGACCTTGGACGGACTTGGAGTGGAAGGGCCTACGCTATTTCTCATGCGCCGTTCGATCTCGAGTACCACCCGGGCCGACTTGATACATGCCATACGGGAGTATGCATAGCGGGGATCACGAGCTCCAAGAGCAAGATACGGCCTATGGAGACGGGTTATCCTTGTGCAGGCTCCAAACTGGGCCATCAGTCGCTGCCATTTCATGTAGGGCCGTTGCTTGTCCAGTTCTTCTCGTTTCTTTTCTAATTCTGCAAAACCTTCGCCCTCGGTCTCGACTTGGAAAAAGTACGGTAGCGCGGCGAGGAATTTGTTGATTTTCTTGTCAAATGCAAGTATCTGATCGTATTCCAGTTCATGAATTCCTACACCTTCCCTATTGGCAGTTTCCATGAAGTCCACAAAGAGCCTGACGAGTTTGCATCGAAGGATAAGATAGGTTACCTCTGTTGGCTCAGTCAGGGGCTTGTTCGGACAAGTAGTTGGTGTTATTTCGTGATCATCCGCATTACTCGGCAGATCCACATGCATCTGATCAGGTTGCACTATATAAACACCCAACTGAGGTCCTGATATGAATGCATATACCCTATACCGCATTTTAGCTTCAACATGATTTATATTTCTGTGGGATGATTGACATCTTACCAGTCCGTGGACGCAATGTGCCACCAGAGACGCCGTTTAATCTCCAGGTCCAATTTATCATATGGGCCTTTCTGGCGCAGTCTTTTGTTTTTCGCTGAGTCCAACTGATGTAGACCCAATGCCTGGGCGGACATATACATGGAACCCGCGAGGGCTCTGGCCGAGCGGATAGCTCCTGTGTTGACAAGCAAACAGATACCAATCAAGATGCCGGTTTGGATAGACTCCACAGTAGGGTGTTCCAAATGTTTGGCCTCTGCTAAAGCTTGACTAGCCATCCCGATATACTCCCGATGAGGTTTGTCTCGAGATGTGTCGGATGCACTGAAGGCCGAGGTTGACTGGGAGAAGAACTTAGCCAGCGCAAATACTGCACAAATGAGAGCAAGAATTGGGAGATTCGGTGTATATCCCGCCCCCAACTGTTGGTAAGTCTCAAGGAGATAACGTCTCAGCGTTGGCATATGCAGCAAGCAATAAGCCCAACCAACATGTTCCTGATAATAATCGACAAGCTCGACTGCCCGTGAGTAGGGTGGCAAGAATGCCTGGAGCTGAGGACATGTTATGCCGCCCAGTCCAGTGGTACCTGACCAAACCCCAGGGAACTGAGAGCTGTCTCTATCTGGTTGCAAGAGACTGGTGATAATTCGAGACTGTTCATCAAATGTTATTATCTCCCCGAAAAGCATTTTGATGGATGGAGAAAGGAAGACGGAGGGAAGAAAAAAAAGACAAGTACTTACGGTCATATTATCGTCATCCTCATCGGCTACCTCATGGCCAAGTTTGCTCCCGTCCACTCCGATAACTGCGGAATCAAAGCCGATTCCCTCTGCCTCGACGCGGGAATCGGGAAGATCCTTCTCCTTAGCCGGCGCCTGGAATGCGGGAGGGGCAGATGCACTGGAGCTCGAGGCATCCTCTGCCTTTGATACCCCTTCCAGAGGGATGCCAAGCCTCTCCTCGATCCTTTTCACTCGCTGTTCAAGGCTCCTACAAAGGGCGGGTGAGCATAGGTCAGACATAGCGTTTTAAGGTTTGATAGCTGCTAGCGTAAAAGCAACGAGTGCACCAGCACTCCAGCTTTAGCAACATCTCCGACAGAGGGCACCATCTTACGTTATTTGAGCGGCCTGCCCGTCCACAGTGGACAAGGGACCGTCGTGTTTTGTCTCAACTTTTCGGACTAAAAGTAACGTTACCTCATTAGCTAGTCTATCTTCCTTGCAACATCGACTGTCCATCATCACTGTTCAGGGCTGCGCAACAAAGCACTAGAAGCCACAATATGCAACTCGGAAACTCCGCAGCGTCGAGCCCGGAACCATGAACCACTCACTATACGAAGGGACGCATTCTATGTTTCGTTGGCGGCAGTTTGCGCAGGGAAACTCTCTTGTGCACTTGAGCTTTTTGCTTCGACAGAATCGACACGAGACAGGCTCCTGTCGTCTCCAGACCTTCGGACTGTCCGACGTGGTATCTAGCGCGCGCTTCATGGCTGTCGTATTGACATTAGACCAAAAGCGGGGATTTGAGACCTAAGCCCGGAGCATAGCCACTGCAAATTATCTCGATAAAAGGTTCTGCATGAATTCGCATTGTCCTGGCCGTATTTTCAACTTCTTTTTGTTGTTTTGAGCCAAGTGGCTTCGAAAGGGGACCCTCGGAAGTTCCGCGGAAGATACGGGTTTTCCGACGCCACTCCGACTCAGCTAGCGCAGTAACAACATCCATTGGGCAAAAGGAGGCTGAAACAACTGGCCAGGTCATTTTTGACGAGATATCCAAAGACAGGCTGCTGAGTGCGGAGCCCGGTCATGAGCCGTTTGTTGCCTCGGGTTCTGGCGAAAGGGTGAGCCAGCTGCCAGCTCGTCAGGCCGACAATGCTGGAAAAGTTGGCCTTCCATGGGGATAACTCGTTTACAATATGCGAAATTGCCTGGGTGGAGGCACCGTTATGATGCCCCTCCTGATATCCGTAGCTGGCTTGTCTTCATGTCCACTTGCTCCGGAGAAAGAGAGAAGCCGGAGCCAGATCTCAACATCCGCTTTCGTACTGCTGCATGATTATTATTATTACTGTTTTCTTTCTTTTTTTTTTTTTCTCCTCTCTGGCTTGGGTCTGGTTGTCTGTTTCTACGGCTTACGGAACGGTTACTCCATAACTATATTATCTGGGAGGAACCTTGAGGTACCAATACCCGATACCCATGAACACAGAAAGCTACATTGGATGTATCCTCTCATGCTCTGGATAGACAGTTACGGCAAAGTCAACATCCTGGTTCCGGCAATGACATTTCCCGCATCATTTGCTGCTGTATTACAGCGGCAATGGCGCCTGGTGGACTGGATATCTAGTCACTGCAGCTACATGTGGTTTTGCTTTCCCGTCCATGTTAAGTTACACACGCTAACCGAACGGTTGAAATATGCTATTATTAGCATATAAGGAGAGCTTGTGCTACACGGCTTATTGGCTCTGCCCTACACACGGCACAGCAATGAGAGCCAGTTTAGGTCTACTATATTTCGTGGGTTTTGTTAAAAACTACGCTGTGTTACACAGTATGAAGCTTGTTGCCGGTTCTGGAATTCCCTTTCGGGGCTTACCGGGCCATCGACCTATCTAATAGTGAGAGAACTTCTGACCAGCATGGCCATCCCCGAGCAATCCAATTTGACGGCCGGTTGCTGGTTCCTTGTTGGCCGTAGTGTGTCTGACTGCTTGAAAGTTGTAAAACACCCCTGGCTCTTCAAGTTGGTCCAATATATGATCACATCTGTCTAAAAATATTGTAATTAATTGGCACAAGTTTACAGTTAGAAGATCATGGTTCATACCATCGCTGGAGCCCATATCCCCTGCCCGATACTGAACAGCTAGGTACAAGCCGACTACAGATGATTTCTAATTCAGGGGTATCCATCCAAGCACAAACATGCAGCTGCCTAATATTGCTTCAATGTGCCTAGCGCTAGCGCATGCAAACCCCGGCATCAAGGGATTAACGTCGTGTCAACTCCGCGTTCTTGCTCAAGGAGAAAAAAGATGAGTACAACATACCTGTCCCCGCCGCCTTATCCAGCTACAGAAAGTCCGATTTGGCAAATATCGATATCAGGATATCTCAGTATCTGAGAATTTAGTATTACTATCCTCACGAGATGCTCAAACTAGATTGTCTACAAAACTTCGAGCCACTACTATATCTATATAAATAAAATTCGAGGGCGAAGATACGAATACCAATCAAGGTGACAGAGCTCCAGTGCTACTGGCTAACCTCAGCCTCCCCTCCTCGTCTGCGAAGACTGCCAAAAAATATCGAGAAGAAAGCGGTGATAGATGAACAGCTCTGGATAAAATAACGCCGATCGGGAAATCAGATGGGCAAGATAGTAGAGCAAGCCGGTCAGGGGGAGGAATCGGATCCAGCTACGATGGAGTGGTAGAGACCGCAATCCCTATAAGACCCGAGGATGCGTTTCAGTTGTCGTCATCAGCGAAAGCAGCCAAAACTCCCAGACAGGGGAATATCAGTAGACGAGAGGCACTAAGCCACCTAGAGGGTCGTCACCCGGGCGAAAGGAATGATTTAGGAACCAGTACAGGCCATCCAAGTTATGATGCAACTGTCCACACTGCTATCACTATAAAACCAACGGATGCTTTCCAACTGTCATCATCAGCAAAGGCAGCGAAGAAATCGCGACAGGAACAGGCGGACCGACGCAGAGACCAGGGAGCGGATGAGTAGTCGAGGATTCTTTTTCTAACTTGTTGCTGCAGAGAAGAGTAGTATATTGGAGAAATATATGTAAGGCAACTGTGGCATGTCGAATTCAATGCGAAGCTGTTTACCATAATCAGCTCTCTGCTGCAACTTATGAGCAATAAATGCGTGTGCATCCATGGTGAAATATGGATAGGCAATCCTGTAAAAGTTTGAGTCTGTAGCATGACTTCGCTCAAATCGTGGCTGTATACGGTCGTAGAAGATGGAAAATACTCCGGTTTGACTCTGGAGTGCTAAAGAATACCAGAAAGTCCCATTACTCCAGCCCTGAGGCATGGTTTTGGAGATACTGTCGGACCCACCGTATATCCGTTGTTCCTCTTCTTGTAGGATGGACATGAACTCTAGTCGCTGTTTATTATAAGCGTCGTCATAGATCACATCGACAGCTTGACTGGTAAGCCATCCAGGTGGATGCAGCATTTCAATGGGTTTTGCACACGCCCACTCTAGGTCAATTACATACTTGATATTCCAGTCCTTATCGACTAGGATATTGCTTCTGTGAAGGTCATTGAGCATATAAACGAACGGACAATGGGATAGTTCGGGCTTGAATAAGCGAGAAGCCACAACCCTGAACATTGTTAGAGCAGACATCTGGTCGATGCAATCTTGTCTATCAATGGCTCCGTTGGGCTGGTGCCGAAGTCGGTTGTCGTGCAGTGAGATTGCACTGGCAAGATATGAATCAGCTGAGGAAAATGTGACCTCACGAGGCATATTAAGTGGAATGTTGCAGTTTTCCATGTCAGCAACTTCGAGGGTGAATGGTCGGTTGGATAGCTGGATATAGCCGTGGTCGTCTATTATGAACGAACCAATTCTGGGCAGTGGAATACGGGCCATGTCAAGGAGTATCCTTGACAAGCCTCGATAAAGGTTGGTTCGAAGCCTGGCGTCACTGCGGCGGTCCTCCCATGTGCGTGAGAGCATGGCACCATCAGCCTCCTCAACGTAATCGACCAGTATATACCCGGCTCCTACAGTGTGAGTAAGAGACTGAGTGATTGATGTCCTACGAGAGATGTATGTAGAAGGGAGTGGATATGCAAGCAATCTCAAGACAAAACGGCAGATATATTCTATATATCGAGGTATAATGGGTAGGTTTTCGATAGCGGTGAATCAATAGAAGAGTGTATAATAACGATCAGAACCGACAGGGAATAGCAAGTATTAGAAATGTGAACATACAGTTTGACCAGTTGATAGTGCAAAGCCATGTAGCTGTGGAATTGGCACAGACGGACAATTCTCCTGTAACCAAGCATACGGCCTCACAACGGATCTTTTCGTCCGCATTGCCTGGTCTGAAAACCTCGCCAACGCGATGGGGGAGAGGGAATCGGATGAGTGCCCGCCTACGCCCGGCAACGGTAACGGGAATGTAGACATTGAAGCTTCTCCAGTGCCAATCTTTGAATTTGGAGGAAACGAAACATGCTTCTGGGGAAAGTCGAAGATGGTACCCAGCAGCTTCTTGTATGAGGCTCAGCTTGGTCTGTAGCCGGGTGAAGAAAGTGACGGATTGGGGGTAGAACGATAAGGCGTGGAGGATGTCAGTCTGATGCAGAGGAGAATGTGATCTCCCTGCGCATCAGGCGGCGCTTCCTCGCCATCTCTCGCCGTCTGCTGTTAGGTTTCTTGAAAGTTGAGATCAAAACGGATGGATGGAAAGAAGCTCCAAGGTACGTACCTTGAGTTAGTTATGTAATGAAAAAAATTCACGTGACAAGTGAGAGATAGACTGAGCCAAAGAATTGAGAGCTGTTGATTGGCTATTTTACACGTGACGTGGGTATAATGGGTCCACTACGGGATAACCTTAAAGTAACCGTTGATTCGCTCGAAGTCAATTTTACTTCTTGTTTACTCCGTAGTTGGATGGTTGGATGCCTAACAAGGACTCTCACGACCGATTATTAAAAGGTAGTCCGTCTGGAATCACAATAGCCTTCCACTATGCCGATGCTCTACACAAGCATAACTGGCTCGGCGGAGATGCCGCCGCATATGTCTACCACGTCAGCCCAACGATTGCAGTGAAGACCATCCGCCTCGACCTGAGCGACCCGGAAAAGGAGTGGTTAGAAGAGCACCAGCTGGCCAAGGACATAGCGTTTTACAAGCGACTCAACGAGCGTCAAGACCGTTGCCCACATGAAGTTGAATGCTCCCTGATACTCCCTGACCATTTGTTCCTATCAATCTGCTCGAATGGGGCAATAGAAAAGCGATACTATAAGCGTCAAGAGCGAGAAAACGACCACCTCTTCGGTCGATTGCTACGGGTGAAGGGATAAGAAGACCCGGGCTCTGGTGGCCCGATGGGTGCAACAGCTTACCTCTGCACTAGAGTACGTGGAAAAGATGGGCTACTGTCACAACGACCCGCGGTCAGGCAACTGTCTTCTAGACGCAAGGCTGAATTTGAAACTGACTGACTTTGGCTGTGCGACCACCATCGGCCAGTACCTGGAGTATACCGGAGCACCGTGGGCGGCGAGGGTATCCGG